TGGAGAACGCCGCGAAGGCCGTCGTCGAGAAAGCGGCGGAAGCAAAGTCAAAATTCGACGAGGTTGGTGGCGTCTCAAATCTCATCGGCGTATCTGGCCTGAATCTGATTTCACCAAGAGATACAAACGATGGTAGCAAAACAAGTGAAACTAGCGGCAGCGGCTTCAAAGACGAACGCGTAGAGTCTTTGAAAGATGCTCTGCGCGTGGCGAGGAATGAAATCGCGAGACAGGAGGATGTCATGCGTACCATGGAAAACGAGCTGGAAGATGCGAGAGCGGCCACTGCGCGAGCCGCTTCGTTAGCAGTACGAAACGCCAAAAATGCCAAATCAAACGCGACGAACGATGAAGATGAGAATAAAAAGCACGATGAAGAAGAACGCTTACGAGCAAAGAAAGAGAAAGAAATGTTGGAAACAGAACTCGCCAGTTTAAAAGAAAAGTTGCGGAACGCAGTGAAAAAAGGAAAAAGCTACGAGAGCGACGTCGAGCGCTTGACTCGCGAATTAGCAACCGCAAAAACGACGAAACAAAATATAACAACAGCAAAAGGAAAGAAAGGAAAGAAAGGAAATGCCGGTGTTGTCCCGCCTCCTTTAACAACCGAAGGTTCTTCCGAAAAAGCAATGGAGACGATGAAAAAGGAGAAAGAGGAATTGCAGCGTAAATTTGAAAGCGCATCGAAAGAGTTAGAAGATTTAGTGAGCAAGAACTCCGTGGCTGCGCTCGATTCGGAAGGATTGACGCAAGAGCTTACGATTGCCCGGGAAGAGAAGGTAAAGAGCGAATCGCAGGCGACCAAGTTTAAGAAACAGTTGAATGATTTGACGAAAGAATTGAATACCACTCGCGAGGCTTTAAATTCAACCAAGAAAGAAATTGTACAGTTGAAATCTGAGTCGAAACAATTAACGCTGTCGAAACGCGACATGGAAGATCGCGCGACGAGCGCAGAATCGCAGTTACAAGCGTTGAAAGCAAACGCGATGAGTGCAATTGAAGAGAAGCGAGATTTTGGACGATCCAACGAGGAAATGCAATCAAAGCTCAAAGATATGGAAACTGAAGTTTTAAAATACAAAGATTTGTGCGAAGAGTCGAAAGCGATGACGAGCGATATGGAAGCGGCGGTAGCGAGGGGTGCTGCAGCTGCCGCATCGTCAAACGCGAAGGCTTCTGCTGCAGAGAAGGCGAAAGTTGTAGCCGAGAACCAGCTCGCTGAGCTTCGAGCGCAACTCAATCTCATGGATGCTACCGGCAGAGAAGCTGCCGCTTCGATTGCGCATCGAGACCGAGCGCGTCAAGCGCAAGAACGCGCAGAGTCCAGAGCTGCTGAAGCAGAGCAAAGCGCCGAGGAAGCAAATCAACGCGCTGAAAGTGCGATCCGAGAAGGTGAGGAGCGAAAACGAAAGTTTGCGCACGTACAAGTTCAGTTCAAGGATACAGAAGAAAAACTTACGAAAGAGATTGACTCCTTTAAAGATGAAATACTCGCGATGAAACAGTCGCTCTCTCAAGTCGCGTCGGCGAAAAGTGCTGCTGAGGATCGCGCCGAAGGAGCACAAAATCATGCGGACGAAATTGAAAAAGAACTCGAAAAAGTGAAGAAAGGAGAACAAGAACTGATATCTGCGCTCGCTCAAGCGCAAGCCGAATGTATCGAAGCGAGAACGAAAGCGAGTGTTTTGGAGGAAATGGCGGCTTTGCGAAAGAACAATTTTGAAGCCGCGACGACGGCTCGTGTGCCCCCTTCTTCATCGCCCAATTTGACGACGGTGACGGAACCGCAAAATTCAGAAACAAACCGACAAGTAGATGCGAACAATGATTCAAAAGCAGAAACTGAAGCGATTCGAGCGCGCATATTCACAATTCTCGGTAAATTGAAAGGTCAAGTCGATAGCAACGGCAAGCCTTTGTTGAGCGTGAAAGAAGCGGACCAATCTATCTGGGGATGGCTAGGAACAAATACGAACGAAAATGAAACGAAAACCTCGCCGCCTCCCGAAGACGAAGGTAGCTCGAGCGTGGATGACTTATTGGTTCACTTGGAAAGCTGGGCGAATGATCAGGGCGAATCATGGTCTGCCGAGCTCAACGCGCAGTCGCGAAAAGCCGCAACTGATGCCATGCGTAAACTCAAAGAGAGCGAGAAAGAATTAGAAGAACTTCGTTTGGAATCGTCTCGTTTCAAACAACAAGACGCGGAGCGTTCGAGCGCAACGGTGAATGCCGCTGCGAAGCGCGCAACAGAGGCTGAAGAGAAGTTGAATACGCTGAAGAAAAAACTCGAGACGCTTGAACAAAGAAATAAAGAGTTAACGTGGCAAATAAGCATGTACGCTGACAATGGAAACGCGATGAATACATCGGATCCAAAGTTTGGATCGTCTAACAACACTACACCAGCTGTTGGTATCTTGAAGCAGCTTATGCTTCAGTGCACTGCGCCACGGAGGGAACAACAGCAACAGCATTAGTCGGTGACTTTTTGTACTAAATATGTAAAACTTCCCGTCCCATCGTGCACGTTTTTCTACCATGCGCTAGTTCCGTCTTCTTTTACTTTGTTCTTGTTGTTGATGATAATGCTGCTGCTGCTGAAGCTGAAGCTTTTGTTGCGCTTTCCTGTTTGCTTTAAATTCGTACGTCATGAGCAGAGTAGCCAGAGTCGACGATGCACAAACTGTGAGTATAAACAAGGCGCTGCGGTCTCCAAACTTCATGCCAACTCACCGTCTAAGAGATGGGTGAGCGAACGTGTTTTCGTCTCTGCGCCGCTTCTCTGTCGCTAGTCTTTTATTTTGTATACTGCTGCGGCGTGAAAAGAATACTTACTACTACTGCTGATTGAAATATTATCTCGTTCGCATCATTGTTTGGCGCATATGCTAAGCTCGCGCGTCATCGCAAGGTTGTCATCTCTATTTAAAAGTGTGTGCTTTTGTGTTCGCTTTTCAAAGTGTGGAGTCATTTTTACGAAGGCGAAACACAAGCATTAGACCACAAACAAATTACACCATTTCACACAAATAATAAACGTCTTCTACGAAGGAAGCGCAACAACATCACGCGCATAAAATGGGTGCGAAGAGTAAAGACGGGTGCGATACGCCGGCGTGTTCATCCAAGGACGATATGATGAGAATGATGCGCGCAGTCGTGCGTGAGCGCACAACAACCTCTAAATCTGAATTAGGGGAAAATCTAGCTTCTTCTTCTTCATCTGCAACAGAAACAGCGCGTGATAAGAAAGAGAACGATGCTGCGAGAGTTCAAAAAGCCACGGTTGGAAGGGAAGAAGAAGAGGAGCGCATTCTTAACGCTACTATTGCGACGTGTCCTCTGAGCAGAGAAGATTTAGGAACCGGGACGTGGGGACTTTTGCACACAATAGCAGCTCATTTCCCAGAGAAGCCTTCAACTGTAGAAAAAGTGCAAGCGAGAAGGTTCTTCGACGCGCTCGGCGATTTGTACCCGTGTACCGTATGCAAAGAAGATTTTAGACGGGACATAGACGAACATCCACCAGATGTATCTTCTAGAGAAGCGCTGAGTGCTTGGGTTTGCGAGAGACACAACGAGGTGAATGCAAAACTCGGGAAGCCGACGCTTGGTTGCGCGTTGAAAACGCTAGACAAACGATGGAAGAATGGTGGCGCGAGGTGCGGTGGATCAACGCCGAGCGAATAGCGATTTGTGACATGTACTGTATTAAACGATGAGTTGCAACGCCGCGGTTTCTTTTTATTCTTTGCCTTGTTATTACAAATAATATCTGAGAAAATTGTTGATGTGTTACTCGATGTGCCACATTTTTGCTTTTTGCGCCAAAGTCGTCTTTGCGTGGCCGTCTTTTTCACCTTCTTCTTTTGCTTGCTCCCATGAGATTTTTACTTCCATTAATCGCTTGTTCGTTTTCTTTCGAACCATTTGTAAAGTGCCGCGCACGATGTTTCCGTTACTGGTTGAAATTTCTGGATGCACGTAAAACGCTTGCTGACCCCAGTGCGTGGCCCCATTAGCGTTTGGCGCCGTTGTCAATGGAACGACATTTTCGGCTGGATTTTCCTTGGAACCTGCGAACTTTACGTCAAACCATCCAGCAAATGCGCCGGCACCTTGTTGCTGCATAGCCCCACCTAACATTTTCAATTTGAATTCGCACGATATCTTCTCGATATCCTCTAAAGTTGCCGTGTTTAAATCAAACTCTTTCAAGACGAACGGCGCGCACAACTCTTGCGAAGGATGGATGTCCACCCATTGAGACGTGTTCATGAAGAAGTCTTCTTGTTCGGCTTCGTATTCGGAAGTGAGTGCAGACATATCCACTCCGTAGTTTTCCTTCGTCGTTTCAATGAATCCATCCCACACTTGTAAGGACTCCTGCATATCTTGCACCTTTTTTAGCGCTTGGTGCGTTTTTATGAGCGACAGCGACATCGTAGCGTGCGATGGATACATAGCCCCTCCTGGTTTCATCCATTTATCTCTAGCAACGATAACAGAATCAAACATGGATTCACGCAAAAGAAAATAACCCATCCACTCAGATATGATTACATCAACCTTTTCCGGAAGTTCCGCGTCTTCGATGGACGCTTGTATCACCGTTATTTTGTCCTTCAATCCGTTCGCTTCGATAAGTTTTCTCGCGTGCGTTGCCATGAATGTCGCTTCTACCGCGTACACGTGTTTCGCACCCGCTTGCGCGGCCCAAATGGCTAAGATACCAGAGCCAGTGCCGACGTCGAGAACAACTTTATCTTCAAACTGCGACGGATTCATCTTCACGGCGTTATAGTAAGCCGTCATGCGGTCCTGGTCTTCGAGCATATCTTTTTGATGGTATAAATACCCGTACGTGCAAAAGTAGTTTGCAAAATCGGCTTCAGATATGTCTTTTGGTTTCGCCAAAACCATTTCGGACGCGATAGATTGTCCATTGTCCTTCATTGTTGTCTTTCTTCTTTCTTCTTCTTCTCCCTTTTTCTTAATTGCAGCTGGCGGCGGCGACTTTTTCTTCCTATGATTACTTTGTGCACGAATCACGCTCGTTATTCCTCCTCTACTTTCGCTCCTTCCTCCTCTTCTTTGAAACGCAGTCGATGATGCAAATGTAATATATAGTGCTTTGGTCGGAGATACGAGCAAGTTCTTGATCATATAACAACGACACGCACACACACCCCACTTTGTATTAAATATGACAAAATAATCACTTTAATTTTACGAAAACACACATCCTCACAGAAAGTTTTGAAACACGAAAAAAGCACGCGCGCGTTTCGTTTCTCCTTCACATCTCGCCGTAGCCACACGCTCTCTAATATGCAAACAGCCGCGGCGACTACAAAGGTGGTTTGGACGTCGGGATTTGCTACTGGACGGAAACAAAAACCGCGGTTACCACCAATCCGATCTTCTTCCTCTTTGTTGCACCCGAGAAGAAGAGTTACAGTTAAAAACAACGATTTTGAGAACAATAACAAATCTTCCTCTTTATCGTGCATGGTCGCGACATCTGCGTTATTTCGTGGACGAACTATGCTTTCGCGTGCAAACGTTGGTAATCACGACTCCGCGTCTGACTCCGCGACTCCTCTTGAAGGAAAAGCTTTATTCGATAACGTCTTACCAGCCGTTTTAGTTGCGTGCATCGGCTCTTTCCTCTTCGGTTTTCATCTTGGAATAGTCAATCCAGCCTTAAATGCCATATCATCCTCGCTTGATATCGCAACGAACGCTCCATTGAAGAGCGCTATCGTGAGCATCATTTTAGCCTTCGCTGCGGTTGGCTCTTTACTCACTGGTCCCTTAGCAGATACCCTCGGACGCAGATCTTCGCTGACATTTTGCGCCGCACCTCTACTCGTCGGCGCAGCCATGTGTGCGCAAGCGAACAGTATTGGCGAAATGCTCGTAGGTCGCGCAATTTCAGGACTTGGTGTCGGCATAGCAAGTAACTTGGTTCCTTTGTACGTCACAGAGATATCTCCGGAAAATTTTCGAGGGACACTCGGTTCGCTTGTTCAGCTCTCGATTTGCGTTGGGATACTCGTCGCCGTTTTACTCGGCATTCCTTACGATCCGAGTTTCCCAGCTTTGCAAGAATCCGTTTCCTTTTTGAAATTTGATTTCGAAACTTGGTGGAGATCAATGTTCTACGTGGCTGGGATGCCTGCATTGCTCATGGGATTCGCCGGGAAAGTCATTCCGGAATCCCCAAAATGGCTACGCAGCCGAGGTCGGATTGAGGAGGCTGTGAAGGCTGAAAACCTTCTTTGGGGTGGTAGCGAAATTAGTTCTACCAGCGATGGCACGAGTAGAAATGATCAAAGTGAAACGCTGCTGAAATCAGAAAATGTGACAGCAAATTGGATCGAAGCGCTCTTCGATCCACGATACCGCAAAGGCGTTTGGACTGGGGCGCTGTTATTTTTTGCGCAACAGTTTGCGGGCATCAACGCGGTGATCTACTTTTCCACTCCTTTGTTCGCCGCGGCAGGATTAAGAAACGCGGTGCTGGGATCTGTTGCAGTATCTGCGGTTAATATTTGTGGCACATTAGTGAGCACGAAGGTTCTGGACAAATCTGGGAGAAAACCGTTATTGAAGAAGTCTTTTCTTGGGATGGGCTCGTGCTGCATTTTTCTTTCTCTCGCAGCTTTGAATCCAACATTGACGATATCCTCTTACGTATCTTTGTTTGGAACTTTACTCTACATCTTCGCCTTTGGAGTTGGCGTAGGCCCGATTCCCGGACTTCTCGCCGGCGAGTTGAATTCGGAAAGGGTCCGAGGGAAAGCGATGTCCTTTGCGTTTCTGTCGCACTGGTGCTTCAACTTCTGCATCGGGCAAGGCTTCCTACCGGTAGTTGAAAAAGTTGGGATTTCTTTAGTATGGTCCTTCTTTGCTGCTGTGTGTTTCATTTCTTCCGCGTTAACGCACAAGTACATCATCGAGACGAAAGGTAAAAGTTTCTCCGAAATTGACAAAGAAATGAGAGTATTTTGAAACAGCATTAGTCGGTGACTTTTTGTAAATTTGTACAAATGCAATTGCAACGCTATTCTATATATTCTAACCTGGTACACACTACACGCTATTTTCTCTTCGAGGCTTCTAACGAGAGCATATCTCTCAAAGAATCGATATCATAATCGTGCAACTTTATTATGACATCTCTTTTAAACTTTCTTTCTTTGTCCTCCTTCGAATTGAACGCATATTTTGTCCTCGTACTCAAGCTCACTTTCCCGGCCTTTGCGCCTTTGTCTCCATCGGCATCCGCTGTAAGACGCTTATATCGCAACTTCAGCCGTTTTGCAAAGTTCATATACGTATCTTTCGCGTACCCTTTCGGCATGATTTCAACGACGAGGGAATCTTCTGGCATGTAGAGCATATTTGTGAGCCCGGCGCCGTGGAGAGATACGAGCACGTCCACGTCTGTAAACATTTCGGCTTGCTTGACCATCGGATTCTTCTTCAATATCGAAGAGTTGATGATCAAATACTCCATGTTTGGTATCGCACTTTTCAAAGCGTTATAAACAAACTTTTCGTTCGATATTGCCCTCCGCTGATTTGTACCTCTCGAGAGCCAAACGATTCTTTTCCTCCTCTTCTCACTTCGGATAGTCTTCGTTGTGTTAAAAGCGTCGCCGAAACGAAAATCGAGAGCTTTACACGTCGCGTCGTCTTCAAAAAAGTTACCACACACCGAATGCAACAACTTATTCCAGGAAAACAACTCGTTGTTCGGAGCTCTTACGATTTCGAATTGCATGCCAGCACGTTCTAATCGCTTGAAATATTCCGGTTCTTTATCAATCATCCACTGTTCCAATCGCACCGGTCTTCTATTTGTGTTGGCTTGTTCATAGTCACCTTCTCCTCCCCAATCTCGAATAACACTTCTCCATATGAGATCTCTGACAAAGTGTGAATAGTTGTTCCGCGTGACGTACAACATTTGTCGATAATCGCTCGAAGTTTGCACGAGCATAAGCGGGTTCACCTGCCCGTACGCGAGGTGGGAAATGAAGAACACGAGCGACGATTTCGCGCACATCAACACAACCAATACGATGCACAACTTTGCGAGTCTTCGCGTTCTCGATGGAACAGAGGAGGAAGAGGAAGAAGAAGAAGAAGAAGAAGGGAAGACGAAGGAAGGAAGAAGCGCCATGCGCTAAATGTGTGGATGAAGAAGGAGGAGGAAGGAGAGTATTATTATATAATTATAATCAGTTTGTTCTTTTGACGACAAACAAAAAGTGCAGACCTCCACACAGAAAAAAAAAACTAAAAAGAGAGGAGGGTTGCTTGCTCCTTCTTCAGTTCATAGCAACTCCTATAAAAACAAGCACACGCGCCTATCATGAAGCGAGGAAGAGAGGAAGAGAATAAAAACGGCGCCTCGGCGCGAAAGAATGCGCTGGGCGCGACAATTATTACCACTAATTATTCCGATGAGAGAAGACGTTTCGAGTTTGAAAGCAAGATGAAAGAGTTGAACGCAAAATTTCTCGAGGCGTTCACTCGATCGGTAAGGGATCACCCGCGCGCGATAAAGAACAATCTCATGCGTCAGTACTTGCAATTCGTGAAGAAGCTCGGAGAAGAATACGCCGACGTTATCGCATCTTCCACAGAAGGAGCTCGAAAAGAAGTGAGTGGAGGTGGACTTTGGATTTTTGGTTCCAACGGAGACTCTGGCCAGTTTGGGTTTGGCTCCGACGCGAGCACGGGAGAACTCATCGACGAACTCCTTCGACCGCGAGTGCTACAAAAAGGTAGCATTCTAGGTAGCCCCGCGAATACGAAAGTGATTAAAATCGCATGCGGTGGTCAGCAAACGTTTGCCATTCTAGAAACGGGACGAGTTTTATCTTGGGGAGCAAACGACTCCGGTGCGCTGGGTCGACCAACATCACCGCCAGAGAACGAAGATGAAGACGATGAATCTTGGTTACCAGGGTATGTCAATCTTAAGCAAAATACTAAAGCTGTATCGGTCTGTGCGGGAGATACGCACGCTTTAGTCGTTGCGAGTGATGGGACTGTATACGGATGGGGTCAGTGGCGGCATCAAAACGGTCAGTGGCGAGGCCTGAACAAACTAAAAGTTTCGGACACTCAGACGTTTTACAACCCGGTGGAAATTTTGAACAAAAAATACAGAGCGAAATGCATTCAAAGCGGCGAAAATCACGCGTGCATTTTGACCGAAAACGGCGAGGTGTACACCATGGGATGTTCGGAAAAAGGCCGTCTCGGACGAATTGAAAAAACCGGCGTCGGAGCGGCGTACGCGGATGACAATCAAAAAGCGGACAGGGAGAATAACGAGTCGTACGTGAATGATCTCTTAACCCCGGGGCGTGTTTTGATAAATAATAGGAAAGATCTGAAAGTCAAGGCGATTGCTACCGGTGAATTGCACGGGCATTTAATCCTGGAAAACGGTGACGTGTATAGCATCGGTTTATCCTCCTTCGGACAGGGTGGCTTTTTTGACGACGGCGTGATAGAAAGCGAACAAGTCGCGTGGCTACCTCGCAAAATCCCATCGCTTTCCGGCAAAGGCATTATTGCAGGAGCAGGCGGTGGTTTTCATTCTTTGTTTCTCGCTAAAACGGGCAAAATGTACGCCGTTGGCAAACGACACGATGGCCGTTTAGGCGCTTTGGAGGAACGGCAATGCAACGACGACCCGCATCCGAATCCTTTGGAAATTTCCTCCTCTTTTTTTGGTAGAGATTCAGTAAAAATGGTATATGCGGGTTCAAACTCGTCCGGAGCGATTACAAATTCTGGAGAAATATACACGTGGGGTTCAAATTTAGGCGCGCTCGGTCAAGGGCCCGATAACAAGGACATCTACCAACCGACGAAAGTGCCGAGAGTCAAAAGCGCTCCCGTAGGAATTTCGTTTACAGATATGTCGATTGGCGCGAGTCACGCTGGAGTCGTTGGCGTGAATAAGACGGGGGAAAATACTCCTCCCGCGAGGAATACGAAGAAGCGCAGATATTAGAGTGGAAATATTATTATTATTACTATTACTATCATACATTAACGCAAAGCGTTGCTACACTTTTCACGCAAACATCGAATCGATTGTTCTGTGAGCATATCTAGTAAACGCGTGCGCCAGTACACCCAGCGGGCCAAACATGCAACACAACAGTACCGAGTGTCTACACGGCGTTCCCCATTCCATGGCGTCTAAGAAAACGCCTCTCGCTAAAAATACGTCTAAAGAAATCAAGTGCAGCCATGACGCGCACGCGGTTTCCGGGGTCGACATGAAATTTGAAAAGAGCGTTAAACATCGCGAGATGAAAGGTTCGGCACTGGTCCCTGCCGCTGCCGCGGCAGAGACAGCGGTATTACCACCTTGTTGTTGAGTAAACGCGTTGAGAATGGCTCGAACGACATCTTCGCTGTTCAAACTCAAATACGCCGCGACGATATATAAAACCCCTAAAATCAACCACAGGAGTTTACTCTCCATCAAATTTCGAGTCACTCGACTGTTTGGCTTGGAAATCATGAGCGCATAGAACGGCATCACCATGACCGTACCAGTCGTGAATAACACGTCTGTGAGGGCTAACGATGCTTTGCACTTTACCACTCGTCCGCTCGTCCTTCTTTTATTGTTACGTATACTACTACTTCTGCTACATCTAAATCTATCACTTCCACCACTTTTGAAACAACAATCCCCTAACTCGACACTTCGCTTTGAAAAAGCGCGAGGAGCGCACCTATTCCTCGAGGGCGGTATCCTTCGATGACTGACGTTATGCGTAGCATTATCACCTGATGACGATATTACTTTTATAGTAGATGTCATCGATGATGCGCTCGCGAGAGAAATCATTCGTAGTAAAGATACGATTTTTATGTGTGAAGGAGTTTTTTTATTTTCCACACAAAGAGATTCTCGTTACGTCAAACTCCCAAAATTCGTGCGAGGATGCCTCACAACCTCACAACACACCCCTTCATTTCATCACTCATCATTCATGAGTGGGAAAAGAAAACTCGTCGTCTTATTCGGCGCGAATGGATACGTCGGTCGAGCCATCGCGAAAGAGTTTGTGAGAAGAGGCACGGTTGAACTCACCGCAATATCGCGTTCAGGCGTACCGCCTCCCAACGAGGAAGGTAAAAACGGAAAATCGTCGTCGTCATCATGGACAGATAAAATCAAATGGGTCGCCGCGGACAGCACGAAACCAGATACGTACGCCGAACACTTACAAGGCGCGAGCTGCATAGTAACGTCTATTGGTGTGTTGCCTTTTGGTATATCGAAAGAGGATTGTTATAAAGGAAACGCAGACACGAACATAATTCCCGCAAAAACAGCGCAAAAGGTACACGGGTTGAACCGATTCGTTGCAGTAGGCGCCTCGTTAGGGGTCGCCGGTGCGCTCGTTCCGGGAGCGAAGCCGTACATTGAAGGAAAGATGGCGGTGGAAAATTTTGCAAAGAACGAGTTTGTGCGCGATGGAAATAATGAACATACGAATGCGAGAAGTAATGATAGTAATAGCAATAGTAATAGCGCATCGCCGCCGACGACGCCGCCGCTCGCGGTGGTTGTGAAACCAGGAGGTGTTTCGGGAACGAAAAGAGTAGGGGAGAATTTGAACTTACCGCTTTGGATGTTGATGGATCCAGTAACGATGGTGATGAAACGACTTGGAAAATTTGGGATGGAAAACTCGCCGGTGAGAGTAGAGCGTGTCGCCAAAGCCGTTGTAAACGCGGCGCTTTCAGATGACGAAGCGCGGTTTTCGAGCGGAGGTTACGTCGAAATTTCAAACGAAGAGTTACTCACAAATCCAAAATACGATTTTTAATATCAACATACCAGTAGCACGGTTATACTTTCTCTAACTTCCAACTTTAAACGCGTCGATAAACAACCCGTAGAAAACGCCAATTTTGAACGCGTTGAGGAGTATCGGAACGGATTCTCCGTACTTTGCCCAACGTAAAAAGCCTCCTTGATTCTTTTCGCTGTATAAAATAGAACTCAAAAACTCACCCAACGTTACAATCGTAAACGTGATGAAAGCGTCTCCAGGCGATTCCGGATGCGGAAAGAACGCCGTCAAGGCGACGCCAACTAAAAGTGCGATGAGTGCTATTGGTATTCTGTTGAAGTTTCGCTTTACCCGTTTCGACGCTGATTTGAATATACCGCCGAGGGCTCTGCCTAACCGCGTCGCCGTCGATGATAGCGACGACGGTGCCTGTTGGTCTGCATCCATTCCTCCCGGGTTGTCGCTGTTGAAAACTCGAACTATTATGGTCGCAAACTTTTCCGGCTTTCCTCTTCCCGCCATCGTGCCAAGCGGCACAAACTCGTGCCGTTGGCTATTTCTTCTTCTTCTACTCGTTCTTCGTAGGTTTCTTACCGTAGAAGTCGTTGTTGTTGTTGATTCTGACGATGTTGTTGCTGTATTTCTCCTTTCGAAAGCGATATTCATCGCTGCTACTCGTGTTCCTTTTCTTCTATTTCCTCTGCCAACACCTAATAGAGACGGTGATGATGGTACTTTCGGCGTTGTCGTTCTCGTCGCTCTCGTCGTCGTCGTCGTCGCAATTCTTTTACCGCTCCAACAGTCGCTCCTAGTAGTATTGTTGTTGTTATTTCTCAAAATCGGTGAAAGAAGACGACGACGACGACGAAAATTCTCGACTGAATAAGAAGAAGGAAACGAGTGCCGCGGCGACGAGGAGGAAAATAGTGCATACGCGTCGCACATCGTGTAGACCCTCGTGGTAGAGTGCATGCCTCGACGCGAAGTGAGCGAAGTGAGCTCAGGAAAAAATTCAATAGAATTTCTTCTGTCTTTGTAATAATAATGAAACAAATTACTCCACATGCAGTCCACAAAGTTGACATCTCTCTTTGACTCTCTCTCTCTTTGACTCTCTCTCTTTTCTCTGATTATGGACGGGTTCAGAACCACGGAACGTCTTCAACGAGCCATGCACCTCGTTGCTTCCTCGTCAGATGATTGTTACGACAGTTCAACCGATAAAGAAGAAGAGAAAGAGAAGCAAAGACAAGTTCTTGAAGTTGTTGAAAAGTGTAAACTGTATGAACACGCAACGGTAATTCCTTACGAGTTTATCAAAGCTTTGAGCTCGTTATGCGTTCAAATCGCTGCTAAAAGAGAATCGAAAGGAGGGAAAGAGGAGTATATGATTCACAATCTGCTGCGTGGATCTGAGGTTATTTTCAAGGCGCCAAAGAAACGCGCGCCGAAAACGCCAGAGTTTGCGAGAAAGTTGGACCGCATTCGCGAAAGACTCGAGGAGGAAAAATACGAAGCGATGGTTGCGGACGTGACGAAGGCGACAGGTATTTCAGAGAAGAGCGCTCGAGAGCGAAGAACTTCTTCGATAGGATATTTGATTAGAAATGATTTAGGAATGGCAGTGCACGTGATGACGCTCATGGCGGCGTGTTTCGTAGGAGGTTTCATCGCCGGCGCGCACGTGTTCCCAGAATTTGGATGGGAAATACATTTCGTGTGCGGGACGGTGGGTGCAATATGCTGCCTGTTTATGGAGGCGGCGCTCTTTATCGTGCGTGGCGTTCGAGAAGACGAAAGAGACCAAAAGAATCGTGAACAGCAGGATGCAGATGGTAGAATGATCACAAAAAGCAAGAACGAGTTCGCGAATAATAGTAGGAGTAGCAACAGCGACAGTACGATGAAGAAGGAAAATTAGATATAAATGTAGTAGTAGAATATTATTCATTCATAAAGCTTGGAATCCAATACAACGCAATCAAGCACGTCGCAATGATCTTCGTCGTTATCCCTACACCCCCTGAAACCCATTCCGGCACGTTTGCTGCTTTCTTGAGTTGCGCGCCAAGAATCACAAACAGCGTCGGCAACAAGATACCAATCGTATCCGCCGACATGGCCGGATCTAACACCCACGTGATGAGATCTTCCTTATTACCCGGGATTAAAATGATCCCATCGGATCGAATGACGGAACCGTTGATAGTGGACGTCGTGCTCGGTTTCATTCGTAACGGTGATTGATAATCATCTTGACACTTTTTCAATTCCGGATGAGCCGCACACAGCTTCGAAAACCGTTCTGTTTGTTCCGCTTTGGACATGTACACGTCCTTGTCGAAACCAGATGCATTTTGCTCTCTCTTCACTTTTGCTTTTTCGATTACAGATGGAAAGTATCCATACTGGTTCGGAACTTCAAACTCGATGTTTGCGCTGGTGGTGGCAGTTTTTGAAGAAGTTGCTGCGGTTGCTTTCTTCTTCGCGTTTGTCGTCGTCGTCGTCTTTGTCGCGGACGTTTTTTTCTTCGCAGATTGAGTAGAAGTCTTCGAAGTCGCAGTAGCAGCGCTTTCTTTTCTCTCTTTAAACGAAGTCTTTGTCGTCTTTTTTGCTGTTTTTGCCGTCTCCACGACAGCAGCGCTTTCTTTTCTCTCCTTGAAAGCAGTCGCGTACGTTGTCACGGCATTACGACGAAGCGTGGCAGTCGCCCTCTTCTTGTTTTGAAGCGACGAGGCAGCGCTCTGACTCCTGTTTGTTTATTTATTTTAGCACGAATGCATGAATGAATAATCGTCGACATAATCTGAGTGGTTAGTTTACGATATGGTGGTTATATAATCATCATCATATCGTTATGATGGTTATGAGAAGATGATACGCGATACTGCGATGTGAAGCAACAACAATCACGAGAGAACGAACGTACCAGGACGCGAGGGATAGAGACATATTGTTTTGATGATGCGAGTCGATGAGTTTATTTTTCTATGACGTGTGTTTGTCGTCTAAGTTAAAACTTGTTTTCCATGCATGGAATTCGCGGTGGAGAAAGAATTGCAGATTTTGTTCGTGTAAAAATCTTTTCTTCTTCTCTCCTCTGCTGCATTCTCTCTGCACTTTTTATCTGCTCTCTCTTCGCTCGACAATTGCCGACGACGACGAGAAAAGAAGAGAAAGGAAGACAATCGTGTCCTGTGTCCTGTCCTGTCCTGTCCTGACGGGGTTGTGTTTCTCGTCATCTTTTCATGCTATCGTCGTCTTTACCCCACTACTCTTCCGGCACCATGAACTCTTCTTTATCACCAGCATCGAGAGTTAGGGGAAGAAAACAAACAAGTTTTGCACGACCGAAGACGAAGGTTTCAAAAACGACGAGGACGTTCAGAGGGCGAAAGGGTGCGTGCGTTACCACCGCCGGTATAGACACGAAAAGAGACGTTGTTTTAGTTTTAGGGTGTTTAGATCGAACGGCGCAGTGCAGCGCCGAACAGTTATCTATGAATGAAAAGTCACAAGGCGCTCGCGTTGTTTCCGTATTTCCAGCGCAAGCGTTTGAGGGGATCAAAAACCCACTCGATGCCATGGCGAAGGAGTTGGTGTATCCGAATGAAAAAGTCATCGACGCGATGAACGAAATCGAATACGTGGAAGTTGTGAGCGACGAATCGAAAGAGTTTCAGAAAGCTCTTCCAAACGTGACGGCGGTGATTATCGCGGATGAGTTTGCGCCGAACATGTTGAAATCGACTGAAAACGTCATCTCGTTGATCAAAGATAATAAGCTCCCAAAGTTGAAGCGCGTCGTGGGCTTGTCTCACATCGGCATCGATCGACGAGATCAAGATCCTTACAAAATGATGAATAGAAAAGTATTTCGAGGAGGCGCTATATTAGATAGGTGGTCAGACGCCGAGGAATTGATCAAAGCGACGGCGCCGAAAGGTAATCCGTTGGAAGTTAAATGGACATACACCATTGTTCGCGTCGGCGATTTGCGAGGAAACGGACCGTGCTCGGTCGTTTATGGAGATGCCATGTTAACTTTAGTCGATAACGCTTTCGATGTTCGCATGCAAGACGTAGACATGGAGCCTGGGGACAAATTTGATGGTTTCACAAAACGACTATCAGCGGCGTGCGTAATGAACAGAATGTTAACAAGTACGAAAGTTTCCGTGTTGAATCAAACGTTTAGCTTGATTAGCGTTGGTCCCGTGCCAAGAGATCGACGAAAAGGCTATGATGTCGCAAAAGGTAGATCGCCGCCACCTATTCGAGACGAAGAAATAGACGAAGCCGTGCAACCTAAGGGAGAAGAGGAGGAACAGGGTAGTGTCGAAGGAGCTCCCGTACCCACATAAACAAACCATGTGCTTTTATTAATTTATTATTTATGTGTGCTTCAAATGTTGTGTGTGTATTTTTACAAGAAATCTATTTAAGAAATCGGCAACTCTCTCGTTTCATGCAGGTTTATTTCTTTTGCTTCTTGCTCTTCCTCTCGTCGTCGTCGTCGTTATCGCTCTTCGCGACTTTCGGCAACACGTCGTCCCTTCCGATCTCCCACGCTCCAGGATTAGACTTATAGGAAACTTCACATTTCTGAACTGCTTCGACGAGCGCATCGACTCTTTTGATGTATTCGGGGATTTTAAATTTCTTCTCGCAGCCGCTGTAAGCCATGTACCGAATTTTCCCGAATATCTCTCGCTCTTTCCACCCTTGATCGTGCACGCCGACGATGGACCACATGCATCCGACGTAACCGCTCGGATCTCTTCCATCGAGCGACCAACGATCGTTCAAAGCGATGGCGTATTTCAAAGCGTTTTCGGGAGTATCGGACCATTCCAGTATTTTCTTTGCCCAATACATGCGCATAAATCCATGCATTTTGCCACCGTACACGAGCTCGCGTTGCGCAGCATTCCATAAATTGTCGTGCGTTTTGGCTTGCTCAAATTCTTCGTACGTGTACGTATATTCCCTTTTATCTCCCGCGTGCATTCGTAAAGTATCTTTCGCCCAGTCATATTTTTGACCCTCAATCGTGTCGTACTGGGGAGAATAATAGCAAAAGTTATCCGCAAGTTCGCGTCGGACGACGAGTTCTTCAAAGAAAACGTCCACCGCTTTGCCATTCGATCCCTTCTTCGCCTCGAGCGCTTTCATAGCGCACCTTTGTCCGGAAATTTGTCCAAAGTGCAAGTACGGGGAGAGCCCGGACAGCGCTTGAGGCTTTGCTGGATCGTTTCTCAAGCCGTACAGACTCATGCGCTTGGTTAAAAAGTTATCCAAAACAGCCATCGCAGCTTTTTCTCCGGGAACGGCCCAAGTCACCTCGGGAACATCTTTCCCACGTTCCAACGCTTGTCCTAAAACGTCGTCCCAATCCGTTTTCACGCTTTTGATTTTCGCGTGTAACGCGGCATCTTTATTTTCAACGTTCGGGAAATTATCAGGAAATGGAACCATAAAATCGCCGTATAATTTCGCAAGCTTGCCGCGCAAAGTTCGAGCGCCAACTTCAAGTTTCGGAGAGGCCACCCAGCACGGCACTATGTTGTGCGCGTCCACGACTCTTACCGAACGCTTCGTTTCTTTCGCGAAATCGTCGCGCCACTTCAAACCTAATCGCAGAGGAGAGAAGTCCGTCACCACCGCGCTCGCGTTGACTTCATTGCAAAACTTTTCAATCTCCGCGTTTGGCTCGTCTCCTCCATGTAACAACTTGAACGGAATATCCCGTTCTTCCAACGCGCTCTCGACTTCGCGCAGACCTCTGAGCATAAACCCAAACTGTCGAGCGCCGGCGCCGAGAAATTTTGTGACCACGTTGAACACAACAACAAGTGGTTTCTTCTCTTTGTTCGCTAACTCGATGGCGTATAACATCGCCCAGTTATCGTTCACGCGTTGGTCTCGACTCATCCAGTAGACGATAGGCCCGTTTCCTTCCCGGAGAATCGGCTGGTCGTTGATGAGCATTACACGATCTGGATGCACAATCATGTTTTTATCCTCGTTCTTGTTGTTGTTGTTGTTTTCGTTAATATCGATGGTGGTATTTGTTGTACCAGCATATACTACGAACGTGCTCGATATCGCAGCCGTATGTTTTTTTCTTCGTGTTGTAAATCGACCGCCGTTCGGTGACTGCAGTAGCGTTAATAGCGTTCGATTACTACTCGCTCTGTTGCTTCTTCTCGCAAAGTGATCCTGGAATCCGCGCGCAGTAGCACTAGCAGTTGTTGTGGTAGTGGTAAGATTAGTGAACAACGAAGAAGAAGGAAAAAAAGCACACGTCGTCGCACTTCTTCGTGCTGGCGTTCTCTTACTGCTTTTGAAAAGCGCGAATCGATTATTATTCAAAAGGGGCGAACAACAGCGCGTCGCAGTCCGCAAAAGCATGCACAACCACCCACGCGGTTGGTGTTCGAGAAGATTGCTTTTGTTGTGCCGAGAGTTTTTGGCGAATTCTGAAAAGAGAGAGAGAAAGATGTGTCGCGTGGAAAAAAAATGTCCATTTCTGTTGGTGGTTTGTGAAGAAGAAGACGACAGACACTGAAAGAGAGAGAGAGAGAGAGAGAGAGAGAGAGAGAGAGAGAGAGAGAGAAACGAGAGAAACGAGAACGAGATTTAAGTATTACTGCGATGTTGTCATCGACGACGAAGACGACGACGACGACGCAGACACAAACATCATACATTCGGCGAAAGAAAATAACGACGGCGGCAAATTCAGAGCTCAAAATGCACGTAAGAGAAGAAGAGAAAGAAGAACACAGAACGATGTGTTATTCGTGTTTTAGGAGGGAGAATCTGTGCATATGCAAACTGTGCGAAAGAGTTTTGTTGGAAAAGACGCGGTCGAAAGAAAAGCTCGTTCTTAAGGACGGCTTACACGTTTCTATATTGCAGGATAGAGATGAGTTCAGAAGAAAACTCGGCTCGGCCCACATTGCAAGGAACATCGTAGAAAACTGCGACGTCGTCTGGCGCGACTGCTCGTGGCCAAACGCGTTAACTGTCCCAAAACTAGAAGTTCCTGTGAGCGCCTCCACGGCGGTGACGGAAGAATTTGACGGTGACGAAGGGCACGAAGAGTACGAAATGGTTGTCTTGTGGCCGAGCGAAGACGCGATATCGATTAAAGAATATAAGAACCGAAACTTAAACAAGAAGAAAACGCATATGGTTGTTCTCGATAGCACCTGGTATAAAGCGAGGCGAATGTACAACCGAATCCCCTGGTTGAAAGATTTACCTTCTATCTCGCTACAGAATATCGAGAATGAGAGCATGTACAAGCCAATTCGTAAGCAACCGTTTCGAGACGCTCTGTCCACCGCAGAGTCGATCGCGTTGGCTTTAAAAGAGTTTGGTAACGAGGATGCGGAGCTCGTAAACATAGCTTTTAGCGAGATGATTAGAGAACAATTAGAAGAGGAGAAACGGCACGACCGCGACGTTCGTTCTCGTGCCGTCCGCGCGCGTGAACGGCGAAATGTTGTGTAAAACAAAATTGTGTGTAAATTTGATATAGCTATTTTTTAAGTGTACCTTCGGTACCTGGTACCCAGTAGTATGTATTTAGATGATAGATAGAACTAATCTGCTAATCTTCGACCTCTCCCGACGAACCGTCGCGCCTCGTTCGGTTGTGCTATGTTACTCGCCGCGCGAATGACTGGGTTCCCAAAAACACTTCCCACCGCTGCTTCGACCCACTGCGGCGTCTTGAGAAAGTGCACGCCGCTTTGGCGAGGATACAACACGGAGAAAAAGTAATACACGTGCCCGGAGAGCACGCCGAGAAAATCCGGCACAGGGTCGCCTCCCATCAACACGGTCAACGCCATCATCCCCCACGGTAAATAAAACGCAGGCATGCGAATCATACCCATGATGGACGTGTTTTGCGTCGGATTTTCTCTGGACCACAAGTACAACATGGCGAATATCAGCGACGAAGAGTAAAATGGTTGCGACACCGAAGGCACGATGAATTTCAAAGGCAATAAAATCATCATGTTTATCATTAGCATCCACACAAAATCCGAAGTTCTGTTCTCGAACGTCTTCTGTTCCAAGTGGACTCCATATCTGGCAATCATTAACGTTCGAAAGACGAACGGGAAGCCAAACCCGCCGATAAAACAGAAGTTCCCAATCAGTCTCCAAATTTGAAACTTTTCCCAAATCAGTTTGTAATCTAAATACAGATTGACCGGTAACGGTAAACCAAACTGAGTTCCGAACGTGATCAACACGCAGGCCGTACCCCAGGCTTTACAGATGGGAGGTAAAGAAGCGTACCATTCGCCGGGAGAGTTGGACATTTGTTGTTGTTGTGTTGTCGTTGTTGTGTTGTTGGGGGGGGGACTGTTTTTTGTGTTGTGATTTACTTTTTTGTTTTGAGACGATTTTTACATGACATCGGCACTTTTTACGGTCGTTCGAGACGCTGAAAACAGCGAGAATAGCAATACACGCACGAGCTCACTCAGCGCGAGGGTATTGTCGTTATCATAATGTGGTTGAAACAAGCGCAGATTGAGGAGTGCGCGCGCGTCGCGCACGAGAAGTGCTTTTCATGTTTTCAAAAACACCACGACGACGAAGAAGAAGAAAACGCGATGATGAAAACGACGAACGAAGAGAAAGAGGCTGAGTTTTACCTCTCCTTGCCGGCGCATAAACGACCAAAGTGCGTAGGAAACGTGAAACTCTATTACTTTTTCGCCGAGTTGCGAGAGCAGACGATGAAGATTAACACAAACAACAAAGGCAACAGCAACAATAATTCGCACCAGCACTCGGTGGTGGGAAAAGTGCAAGAATCCATTCGCAAGTGCGAAATACAAATAAAAGATTGCGAAACCGCGAACGGTTTAACCGGCGTTGGTCCCAAACTTTTGAAGTATTTCGAAACATTTTTCCGTTTGTATCCTCCCTCGCAGAGCAAAGAGAAAGAGTTGGAGAAAGAGCGCCTTTTGCAGCTGGTCAAAGAGCGCGAGAAAATAAAAAGGAAACAAGAGAGAGCGAAGAAAAATGTGGGCACGACGACCACCAAGACCACGATGAAGAACATAAACGACAACAATAAGCGCGGACGAGAAGAAGATGGGTGGGGGAGAGGAAGAGATATAGGAGACGTTGAAGAACAATTAGAGTTACGAAGGGCTTTCAGTCAGGAGCAACCGAGTCAATCAATGCTGCAACAGAAACAGAGAAAGACGGCTTCGTCTAAAAAGTGGCACCCGAAATACAAGACAGCTCCTTTTGCGCTTTTGGCGACGTTGCATAAACTCATGCTGGAAGGCAAAAAGCAATGCACGAAAGACGAACTGATCAACGCTACCGATGCATCTGGTTTATCGAACATGTCGATACGACCAAGAGTAGAGGCTTTTTCGAGAGAGCAAGCATCTTATCAAGGAAGGGATATGTCTAGTCAATATTCCGGATGGAGTTGCTTCAACAAATACCTGAAAAACGCACCGACCGGTCACGAAGCACCGATGGTTTTTACGTGGAGTAACCCGATGATTATTCGCTTAACGGACGAAGGCACGATTGTTGCGGAGAAATGTCACCGCGAGGCTGAAATACACGGCGATTGTACCTGTGGTCTCATCAACACGGACAACACGAACAATCCATCAATGAATTTAGCGGCGAAACAATCTCAAGAGCGAGAAAATCAGAAAATTAACGTAGTGTCGCTTCTTTCAGATAGCGATGAGGACTGTTTTAACGGCGACGCGTCGCGTGAACGACAGTTTGATGCAAAAATTAGCAAGAACAACGATGAAAACGAGGATACTAAGACGGTAACGAAGAAGAAGATCAATAGTAAAAACGTTGTACGAAATTGGCATGGCATCGCCGCCGAGGAAAACGACTGGAATAGCGCGGCTGAGCTCGAGGTGCGTTTACCGCCTTTGCAACCGGGCGAAAAGTTTCAAGACGTGTACGACGTAGTTTTTTTGTTTGATAACCGTGAGCAGTACGATAAAGATTTCAGACCAGAGCATTTAGTGAAGTATTTTGAAAACGTGAATCTTCGCGCTGAGCAGTGCTTCATTACGATTGGAGATGCACTTTGGGTTGCCGAAGATAGAAAAAGCAAAGAGCGCTTTTGCCTCGATTATATTCTGGAAAGAAAATCCGTGGCAGATTTAAGCGGTTCAATCACGTCAGGTCGATACATTCGTCAAAAGTATCGCTTAGATAAGTGCGGTTTAGAGAAGGTGATGTATTTAGTCGAAGGAAATATCGAGCGCGACTTTCACTTGGAAGAACGCCAGAAATTGGCAGTCAAATCTGCGTTGATTGAAACAGACATCCACGATGATATATACATGCTTCGAACGGAATCGCTGGAAAAAACGAAGAAACTTTACGTCGACCTCACGAGATCCATACAAGATTTGTATAACCCGAGAGTAGGAAGAGACAAAGCCGCGCAGCGAGCTTTCTTCGCCAACTGTCTTCCTACGTTCAACGCGTTTCATGAAAATATGAAAAATTTTGTGGCGAGCGAAAGCACGGTACAAAATACGTGGGGAGTAATGCTCGCTCAGGTGAAAGGAATGGGTCCGGACTCAGCGGAAGCAATCGTGAATCTCTACCCAACACCAATATCCTTGTATGAAACGTTCAATCGATTGAATTGGGACGAGAGTCGATGCGTCGATTTGATTGCACAAATCCAACCGAAGGAGAGGAGAATCGGACGTTCAGCCGCGCAAAACTTCTACGAAGCTTTCTTCAAATGACACTTCGGGAGACGATTTCTACCCCTTTGTATTGCTACGCGTAGCAAACGCATTTAATATTAACACGTGTGAATGCAAGTTCAACGGAGAGCACACGTAAATTTACTTCTTTTTTGCATTTTCTTTCTCTACCATGTCCATGATGTCTACTTCTTCGGACTTTCGGGTCTTTTCTAAAACAAAATATGTACCCACCGAGAAACGTCAGAAAAATAAAACTCAACACGCGAGGTAGAAGAAGGAGGATATAAGATGAGCGGGCCTCCCCGGGTCGGTGGTGGTGGCGATGATGGCGGTAAACGCAACGGTGGTAACTTAATGGACAATCTGTTCTCCACAGATAACTTACTCGCGCAGACGAGGAAGCAAACGAGCATGAGAGATATGAAACAGAAATCCTCTTCTCCGTCGTCGTCCCCGATGAACTCTTCGGCTGCCGACGGAGGAAGAGGAAGAGGAGGAGGCAAGGTTCACAACAACAACAACAACAACAACAACAACAACAACAACAACAACAACAACAATGGCAACGGTCTCGATGGTTTCCCTGCTTCTTCGTCCTCGACGATGCAGGCGGACGATCTCGACGCGTTCTTTTCGACGCAAACACAAACAGAAACAAAAGAAGCGAGTAAAACGAAAAATGGTGTTCATCAAAACGATAGTTTTTTGGACGAGCTCGCCGCTTTCGCGAGCACTCCGGTACCACCATCATCGGCATCTGCAACGACAAATAGCTCCGTAGATGATTTGTTCGGTATAAGCAGCGACGCGCAAAGTTCTTCGCCGGTTGGAGCGGCTCGCGGGAAGACGGAGACGACGACAGAGACTCAACCTACGCATCACGGCGAACCCGTGCTGAGACATCAAGAAGGAGACAAGGAAAGAGCACGGGAACAACAGAACCAACATTATCGAAGTAGCGAAATGAAGAGAAATAGTAATGATATCACCACCGATAGTAATAGAAAACCAGCGAGGAATACTGGCGACGATGGTGTGGACAGAAGTGCAAACTTTGAAAAAAGTGCCGCGACGTTGGCTTCATCGCCACCGTCGTCTCGCGTGCAGCCGCAACAGCACGCTCCGAAATTAGCATCCTCGGTGAACTTGGATTCTTTGAAAACAGGGATTGATTCTGTGGCTGGATTTTTCAAGGCTGGAATTCGTCGCGCGGTGGTTCCACAGGTTGTTCATTTCCCGCGGGCGCCTCTGGAAGACTCTGCGCCAAGTTTGAAACAGGCACCCTCGAAGGATGGTCGAAGCGAAACACGAGTCGCATCGAAGCAAAATGAAACAACAGAGTTCGATAAAAAAGTTGATTCGTCGAAGATTGTAAACGAAGAGATGATACTAGCACAAAAGTCCGAGTCTGCAGTGAAAATAACGGTGAAGGAAACGAAAACAAAAACAACAAACAGTAAAAATACGGACGAGAGAGAGAAGAACAATCAGAAGGAGGAGGAGGAGAAGAGTCAAGATGACCTTCCTTCTTCAGATATGGACGCGTTTTTTGGCTCGGCTGGAGCACGCAGCGTTAATAGTAGCACCTCAAATAGTCACATCGACTTAGAGTCGATGTTCAATAGTAGTAACGCGCCGAAATCGAACAGCGCTCCTTCTCCGGTAGCCGATGACTTTTTCGGAGCGTCAGTTGGTAGTAGTGGCCCAAGTGGTAGCTCGGCGATAAAGGATCAAGGCGCGTTTGAATATAATCCCGAATCAGACGACGAACAAGACGGTGACACGGAGCAGCGCGCGCAATTGCGAAAGCAGAGACACGAACGCAATCGTGTTCGGATTGAGCAGGCGCTCGAAGAGAAACGCGCTCGCGAACGACAAGCCATGGAGGAAAGAGCAGAACGACAGACGTTGCAAGATCTCATAGGAACTGATATCGATGAGTGGGGTAAAAAATACGGTGGCAATGTTCGCACGATGCTCGCAAATCTCAGCGAAGTTCTTTGGGAAGATCACGCGTATAAAGTCCCTTCGATGATGGATTTAATGGAACCGATCAAGGTGAAAAAGTCGTATCACAGAGCCTTAGTCATCATCCATCCCGATAAAGTCGCTCAAAAAGGAGGCGGCGCTTCACAGCGTTTTATCGCGGATAAAGTCTTCGACTTGATGAAAGACGCTTACAGAGATTTCGAGCGAAAAGAGATGTCGTGAAGAGTTCAAATGTAAAAATATCTAAAGAATAATGTATAACAAATTCGGCTAAAAGACGCGTCCTCCTTTGGACGTCGTCGTCGTATCTATAAATAAATCCTCTTCTCTATTCTCAATCGAAGATTTATAAAAAGTTCACACCATCAGAATTATTTCTTCTTGCCCGCAACGGTTTTCGATTTACCCTTTCTCGTTCTCGCGTTCGTCTTTGATCGTTGACCTCTGACCGGCAAATTGGCGATGTGTCTCTTCCCGCGATAGCACTGAATCTCTTTTAATCTCTTGATGTTCAAGGAAATCAACGATCTCAACTGTCCTTCGTTTTTGTACTTATCGACTTCTTCACGCAAAATAGTTAATTCTTCTTCGGATAACTCGCGCACTCTTTTGTTCTCTAATCCAGTCGCTGCCATAACAGCCTTCGCGGTGGTGTTTCCTATGCCAAAAATGTACGTCAACGCCGTCTCGGCTCTTTTGTTGTTTGGGATTTCAACGCCAGCTACACGCGCAGCACGGATTTGTAACGCACCACGCTGTTGCGGTTGCTGTTGTTGTTGTTGTCGACCTGTATTACATCATAACGGAAGAAGAAGAAGAAGAAGTTAGCGACAGAGAAGAAGAAGAAGAAGAAGAAGAAGAGAACGACAAACGAGAGAAAGGAGAAGTGGATAAAGGAGGTTTTTATCCCCCACGTAGGTTTTTTTCCTGAGGAATGCACATTACGCGCGACCGCGTATTCAAGACGTCGTTAAAAGCTCCAGAGACACTCGGACCGTAATTCGAACAGAACAATACTAACGTTCGAGTGCACGTCGTTCCTATCGTCCCTCGATGTTCGCGAGTGCACGAAAACAGCGCGCGTAATTTTCCTCGAAATTCAGGTTCCCTCCGCAGGCAAGTGTCGTCGCCGCTTTAAGCGACTCATTTTACGCGACTAAAACAAAAAATAAAAATCGCCGCGCTCGGAAAAGCACTCTCGAGCGCCTTTTGCGACGAACGCATCGCGCGTACCTTTGAACGAAGCCGAAACGGAAGTTCCAACGAAGGAGGATGCGGAAAGAGAAAACATGTTTGTGTGTGTGTGTGTGTTTCTTTTCGCGCTCTTTTTGTTTCGCTCAATTTTTATTTCTGCAAGAGGGTGAGAAGAAGCCGATTTGTCTCTCCTCTTTCTGTTCGTAAAAAAATATAAATTCTTCATCAATCCAACGACAGATACGAAAGAAGAGAGTCGTCCGTGCATAACAACACAATACAAGATGCGCGCGTGCACGAGTAATCTCGCGTTCGTTTGTGCGGCGAGGAGAGCGTCAACTTCGTACGCGTCTACTACCACGTCCGCGTCGACATCCTCAAGGACGTCTCCTTCCTGTCGAGGGAGAAGCAAGACGTCGGTCCGAACAGTCGCATTCTCTTCTTCTTCTTCGTCGTCATCGTCGTCAACAACTTCTTCTTCTTCTTCTTCTTCTTCTTCTTCTCCTGCTGCTCCTCCTCCTCTTGTGAACAACAAGACCAATCAGAACATCAACAATAATAACAACAACAACAACAGCAACATTAGGAGATCATCAAAAGTTGTCGCAAACGCTCGAAAAGGCATGCTCTTCAACAGCGAGATGGACGACATTCGGAGAGATGCGAAACCAGCAGAACCGGTGAAGTTTACTTTACCGCTTTCCATCAAACTCTACCCTTCAAAGTGTTTACGAGCCGAGAATGAGCCGGTGACGGTATTTGACGACAATTTAAAAGAGCTCTCGAAAGAAATGTTCAAAATCATGTACGAAACCGTCGGGTGTGGGTTAGCCGCACCACAAGTGGGCGTGAATTATCGTCTCATGGTGTACAACGAAGCCGGAGCGCCGGGCGAAGGAAAAGAAGTCGTTTTGGTGAACCCAAAGATTAGCAAATTCAGCAAACAGAAAGATTTCTTCGAGGAAGGATGCTTATCCTTTCCAAAGATTTACGCGGAAGTTGAGGTGCGTGTTATAGTGGTTTCGTCTTTTCTCTTTTCCTTTGTATCAATCACCCTTCTTTCTCTTCGCGTTCGCGTTCGTGTTCGCGAGGGAGTGTGGAAAACGAAAACGGCCGATGAGCGATAAAAACATAAATATACGCTAATCCGAGTTTCTTTTAATCGAGAAGCTGTGCGGAGAAATGTGAGCTAATACGCGAGGCTTTTCTTTTCATTCTTGAACAACTTCTTCGTTTGTTCATTTCAACATCTCTTTCATTGAAGCTCACCCCCTGGTTCCTCTTTTTTTATTGTATTATATTTGCTTTAAATACCAATACAGAGACCGATGGGCGTCAAGATTGAAGCGCAGGATGTCGAAGGAAACAAGTTTAAAATGACTCTAGAAGGTTTCGAAGCTCGAGTCTTTCAGCACGAGTACGACCATTTAGACGGCGTTTTATTTCACGATCGAATGTCGAGCTCAGTAGTCGGGGACATTCGAAGCGATTTGGATAAGTTGATTGAAGATTTTAGCGACGATGAAAAAGCGATTTAATGACAAGATAGACGCATTGGATTACCTAGATGAATAAGTGTTTGTATGTGTTTTTCTTTCGTTAAAGTAACTTCTCAGTGTTGAAGTTTGTAAAGATCCTCCCTCGTAATTATGCCTTTGATGATATTCTTGGAATCGACTACGCACAAGTGACGCAAGCCCAATTGGCGGAATATCTCCCAAACTCGCTCCACGCTCTTTTGCTCTGTCACGCTTATTGGCGACAACATCATGAAATCGCTCAAAATGACGTGCGACTTCTTTTCATTTTCAGATAAGCCGATGGATTCGATATATTTTACGCCAAGCGCGAAGCGCTCGGTGAACAATTTTCTTTGATGAAATGTCCGCATGGCGATTTCCAGGTTCTCAAACGCTTCGCGTTGCTGCAAGGATCTGAATCTTAATTCTGACGGAAGCTCGCTGGAAGTAGAGACATCAAGAAGATGCGACTTTGACGAACCTGGGCGCAGCGGCGACGACGACATCGCACTTTCTTGGTCTTGGTCGCCCTCTTGTTCGTAAAAGATTATGTTTTCAATAAAGGCGCGCCGCGAGAGTAACGTCAGCAATTGCGATCTAAGCATAAGACCAATTAAACGCTTTTCACCGTACCCAACATTTTTAACGATGGGGAAGCCGTTATGAGTCGTCGTCTTCAAAATTTCTTCGATATTACCCACGCTTTCAATTTCTTGGAAAGTTACGGCGGGAGCAGCACAAATATCTCCGGCCGTTAATGTTTCCTCAGTTTCACTTACGCACGCTCCTTTCGGTGCCTCTACGTGCAGATACGGAATATTTCTTCTTTCCAGCTGACTTTCATAGAACGACGGTGAGATAAAGGAAGCAAACTTATTGGCCACGAACACGCAAAGAAGTAACGGGAGCAGAAAATTTAATTGGCCCGTCCCTTCTAAGATAATGACCACGAGCGATATCGAGCCTCGAAACACTCCTGCCAAAGCCGCGGCGGCGCCAACGAGCGCGTACGCTCCCCCGGAGAGCTTTGTTTTAAAAAGTATCTCCGATACCTTGGAAAAGATGTTCCCTAACATCGCGCCCCATGTAAGAGTTGGTAAGAACAATCCAGCCGGTAAGGCGCACTCTGCTGAGAAGACGATAGCAAAGAGCTGAAAAAGGAATGAGTAACTTAAGATCAAAATAGACGTAGCGTCCTTTGCTCTTCCTGAAAGCAAGTATTTTAAATTGTCGTCCCGTGACCCGAGTAATAGACTGGCCAAATCATTGTATGATTTTTCTTGATTACCAACGCCACATCTCATCGCGACTCTGATGGACCTGGGAAACGTTTTGCGAGTGTTCGCGGGATCGTCGTCTTCGTCGTCGTATTGAACACATCGACCGAGTAATATCGATAGAAGTATTTGCGTCAAGCAGATCATGAACGTAACTGCTGTCGCTTCGCTAACGCGCCCAAACTTAGAACTGAGACGATAACGCGCGAGTTTAGAAACTGCCAAGGTGACCATCGCACCTAGTATTCCTGATAAGATCCCGAGGAGGAGGAAAGGTCCGAGCTCAAAGAGCTCCCAGTGCTTCTCCTCCTCGGCAAAATCGAGTTGAAGTAGTCCGAACGGTTTCCCAATCGATCCATTCAGAGCCGCTAAGACAAACACGGCTAACGTCGAGCACAGGAGGGCTCTTTTGGTCGTATCGTGAGACCAAAAAGAGCTCGCTTCTTCGCTCGAAAACAATACTCCGCCGATCGGAGAACCGAAGGCGCTGGCGAGCCCTGCGGCCGCACCGGCGCTCACAATGTCTCGAAAGTCTGAGTCTCCCATAACTCTCCACTGATGTCTTCCAGAGGCACCACGGGCAAAATCAGAGCCGATAATTGCACCGATGTGTACGAGCGGACCTTCCGGGCCTACCGCTAGGCCGCTCGATACCGAAAATATTGTCCCGATCATCTTGACAATCCCACTTTTCAAAGATATGGCTTTCGGAGAAGAGACGCCATTAAGCTCGGCGACGACGTACGAAACACCCGCTCCAGCTGCCGTTGGTTCAATCAAAGTTAATGAAGCGCTCGTGAAAGAGAACAATGCGCTCACGAAACAAAAGAAAACGACGCGAACAACGAAAGAAAACGCTGCATTCGTAAGAACTGTATCGACGCGCCATGTGTACAAAATATCGATCAACCTCATCATCGCGAATGCCACAGATCCTACGATGATCCCAATAAATGTCGAGTTTGACCATCGCTCTAGAGTAAGTACACCAGTTTTAGTCTGTTTAAAGTTTAATCGAGACCACTTGGAGTCAATCTTCGCGTAATCTAAACTTTCCCACATTTCTCTTCTTTGTTGTTGTTGTCCTCGTCGTCGTCGTTCTTCTTCTTCTTCTTCTTCTTCCTCTTGTTCTTCCTCCTCTTGCTCTTCCTCTCGTCTCTGAACGGCGTGCGATACGCCGAGAAATAGTGATGCTTTTCTTGGAATCAGTCGACGATATTGCCCTTTAATGAGCGGCGGCGAAGATGGCAACGGGGCAGTTGTTTCTCTCTCTTCTTCTTCTTCTTCTTCTTCTTCTTCTTCTTCTTCCTCTTCTTCTTCTTCCTCTGGAAGTATCGCTCCTCCTTTTCTCTCTCTTTCTTCTTCTTCTTCTTCCTCTTCTCGGAGCAGCAGCCGCTCTAAATCGCTCTCAAAGCTCACCCTGCGACGAGCGCCACCGCCGCCGCCGCCGGAGAAGGAGGCCATTCTCGTTTTATTAGCGCGTAGAAATGTTTATGAAAGGAAGGGTTCGCGCGCGAGTATTTTTGTAAAGAGGTGTGAGAGATATAAAAGCAGATGAAAAACATGAAAAAACACGCAAACACGCGTGCGCGGCAGCAGCAGCAGCAGGAGCAACAGCAGCGGTTTAGAAACCTTGTTTACAAAAAATGCGAGTAGCAAACGTGATGTCTTCATTACAAACAGAATGTACTATCATTTAGAGAGAGGCAGAGAGAGTGCGACAGATTGGTATGTCCGTCGCTTTCGCGCGTTTTTCCTCCTTTTCTGCAAGATCTCTCTCTCCCTCTCTTCGCTTTCACATCGTTCTTTTCGGAATACACACACGCGCACATCATCGTCGTCGTCTAGTTACAAAATTAGTTCGTTTTTGTCATGCTCGAGTTCAACCCGGGCATAATTTCCGGTTTCATTCCTAAAACCGAGCGACGGATGAAGTGGTTTCTAAACTTTTCACCCTCTTTAAAGTCTTGCGCGGTTTCCGGAATCGCCGTCGCTCTTTTCGCTTTGCTCGCGGTAAAGCCCGGAGAAGTGGTCAACTGCCTCGTGCAGAAAAAGGCGCACAAACCGACGGCAGAACCTAACGCGGCGAAGATTGGGTAGACCTGTTTGTTGTATCACATATAAGAAGGAAGAGAGAAGAAATCAGTCAGAGAGAGATAAAGAAAAAGAGGAGAAGGAGGAGGGTAAACGTTCTTCAAAATTGGAAGGAAAAGAAGAAGAAGAAGAAGAAAAATGTACGATTAACACGTATCGTCCGTCGTTGTTTCGAAAAACGAACTGCTTTTCGAATCGCTTACCTCTGGTCTGAGCCATCGTTGCGACCAAGAGACGGATGCTGCCATCTTTACTCTCTCTTCTTTCTTAATCAGCGTCCAAAAGTTTGACGAGGGCAAAGGGAAAAAATTTTCTCTCTCTTCTCTCTCCTTGATCGACTCGAGAAAAAAATTCTGTCTGATCAAAAATCGCCCCATGACCTCTGCCCTGTTCCTGCGCCAACCAGCAAAAGAGAACAATTTTGTATTTTCTCAACTGCCTCATTACACTCACACGGACAAAAGCAAAGAAGTTAAAAGAAAGAGTCAACATATGTATTTACGACGATCGGCGCAGCGCGTCGCCGCCTCGTGCTCTTCCTCTGTTTCTTCTTCTTCTTCTTCTTCGTGTACCACATCTTCTTCATCATCGTCATCATTAATAGGAGCAAGAGCAACGGCAGTGACAAAATCAATGTCAACGAAATCTTCCTCAAATCCACCGAAAGTGTTCGTCAACAAAGACACGAAAGTCGTTTGTCAAGGATTTACGGGGAAAAACGGAACGTTTCACTCGGAACAGGCTATTAAATACGGAACAAAGTTAGTCGGAGGCGTGACGCCAAAGAAAGGCGGGACCATGCACTTAAATTTACCGGTGTTTAACACGGTGAGAGAGGCGAAAGAGCAAACCGGCGCGAGCGCGACGAGTATATACGTCCCTCCACCGTTTGCCGCGAGTGCGATTTTGGAAGCCTTAGAGGCTGAGTTGGACTTAATCGTGTGCATTACAGAAGGTGTGCCTCAACACGATATGATCCGAGTAAAAGACGCACTAATGTCGCAGAGTAGATCTCGATTGATTGGTCCAAACTGTCCCGGAATTATCAAACCGGGCGAGTGTAAGATTGGTATCATGCCGGGATATATTCACAAGCCGGGAAAAATCGGCATCGTCTCGCGTTCCGGGACGCTTACTTACGAAGCGGTGTTTCAAACCACGGAGTATGGACTAGGACAATCAACAGTCGTTGGAATCGGCGGTGATCCTTTTAACGGGACGAATTTTGTGGACTGCTTAGAACGATTCGTTGAAGATGATGAAACGGAAGGGATTATCATGATTGGAGAAATTGGCGGCACGGCGGAGGAAGAGGCTGCGGAGTTTATCAAAGCTTCTGGAACGAACAAACCCGTGGTTGGATTTATTGCCGGTTTGACCGCTCCTCCGGGTCGACGGATGGGCCACGCGGGCGCAATTACACAAGGTAAGGCTGGAACGGCGATTGGTAAGATCGAAGCTTTGGAGCAGGCTTCTGTGAATGTGGTTCGGAGTCCGGCGAAAATGGGCGAAGCGATGCATAGAATGATGGTCGAACTGGGTAAAGCGTAAGTTCGTAAAGAGCGTGGGTTTATTTAATCAATACTAACACTAACACATAACATGAGCGAGAAAAAGAAAGTAAAGAATATATTGTAAGTTTAATGTGAGCATTTTACTACAGCGCAAAGAAACTCTTCATGTTCTCGTTGGTCATTCTATTTTGTTCAACACGCATCAAAATTACCAGCCATTCCTAACGCCAGTCGTTCGAGTACGGATCCGGAGCTATAAAATTCCAAATCGAACCGTGAGAAGATCCTTGGCGCGCTAAACCCATTGAACTACCACGTCTACCCATCCCTCTGCTACCACGCGCGCTTTGCCTCTCCAACTCATCCTCTAACTGCATTCGCATCGACCGTTCGTCTTCGAGCTCAACACGGAGTTGTTCTTCCACTCGTTTCGCTCTTTGCAGCTGCCTTCTCAACGCCGCGAGTTCCTCGTTCATGACTGAATTGCTACTGTTTTCTCTCGTTTGCATTTGAGTCGAATCGTTCTGCTGATTGAAGCGCTGCACGGAAGCTGTGTGTTGCATGTTGCTATTCGAACTGTTATTAGCATTATTGATGTTGTTGTTGTTCGACGCGTTCCGCGAAGGCGCCACCGGCGGTTTGCCGGCGCCCAACAAGTGGTCTTTTGATCCGCTTCGTTCAATCAGAAACTGAGGATGTCTTGAAATGCTACAGTCGCCACGGTCTCGTACACCATCGTACCCTCCAAACGATACTAAAGCTGCAATTTCAGGGATAGCTATGCACGTGCCGCTCTCGGAGGCCACCGCCGAAGCCGGTGCCGCTCTACACGTTTCCGCCCACGCTGGCTCCGCGGAAAGAGGATCTCTAAGGGTCAAAGCCACAGTATCTACGCATCCGCCTTCGCTATTACCACCACCGACTACGTACCACATATCGCCTAAACGCGCAGAGGCCGCACCAGAACGAGGTTGCGGCATAAATCCACCCTCAGGATTGGTCTTTCGCCATCGACAGGCTTTCACATCTAAAGCGTACACTTCCGAGTTCACGCAGCCCGACGAGGTGCTCCCGCCAAAGACGTACACAAAGTGCGCGCCCGCGCTGTTTATGTACGCCGTCGCGCAGTGACCTCGTCGAGGCGACGGATACGTCCATCCTTTGCATCGAAGTTCTGTCCACGTCCTCGAGCTGACGTGATACAACCAACAATCTCCCAAACACTGACCGCTCGGCGTTTCGCCTCCAAAAATAACTATGTTTTCGCCACATCTCGACGCCGTATGCCCACCTCTCGCGCACGGACCTTTCCCGTTCGTGGTTATTTTCGTCCATTTTCCTAAGTTTGAATTTTGCGAAAGGTTTTGCGAAATGCCCGTTTGAAACGAGTTGGATAAGTCTAATATCCACATTTCAAACTCTGCGGGTTTTGTTGTTCCGTTTCTCCCAGCAGCTTTCGACGAAACATCTTTTGTAAACCCCCCACAAACGAGTAACTCGGTATGATTCTCTCCGCGTTCATCAGTAACGCACACGGCGTGACCGTGCCGAGGCGTAAAATTCGCGCCCGGCTGCACGCAAATACACTCCACCTGTTCCCATTGCAAGGTTTTGCAGTCTAAAGCTATGACGTCTGAACGCACCGTACCTGCGGTATTACCACCGATAACAATCATCTTATTCCCAATCGCATAGGCCGCGTGGCCGTGTCTCGCATGAGATCTCGATGAACGTGGCGTTAGCGCCGAGCCTAAAGTCGAAGTTCCTAAAGATGTCCAATTCCCATCCTCTCGAGCGGTTGCTATGCTCTCATGCGCCTCTTTCGTTTGCAAATACCACGGGCAAGTATCCCCATTGCCTCCTGCTACTACTAAACCTCCTCCTCCTCCTCCGTAAATTTGCAGCTGTTGCTTATTCTCTTGCATGTTGTTCAAACCGCTACTCCCTCCGTTACTGCTTCTTCCACCGTCGCGCTGCTGCTGTTGATGGTGGAACACCTGGGAAGTCGACGCGGAAAGCATCGCGTTTTCGTTATTGTTGTGCATATCTCTATTATCGTTCGTGTTCATATTGTTCATGTTGTTATTCGTTGCGATGTATCCGTTTCTACCACCCATAACGCGTCCTGGCATCGGTGGAGATAAGGGCGGCGTGATATCCGCGCCGTTTCCTCCCACTCCTCCTCCTCCTCCTCCTTCTCCTCCTCGTTGGCTAGACATCGACGCTGGACTCAACAAACTCCGATCGGCACTCCAACCCATTTCCATCGTCCATCTTCTCGCGTTTTCTATCGCAACTTGCGTGTCTTCCGGATCTCCGTCGTTCGTGGAAAGCTGCCACCAGTTTTCATTCTCTTCCTCCATCGTGTGCACGTAAAGCGTCATCGCCTCCTTCGCATCCATCTCTCCTAAACTGGACCAGGCGTTCCATTTCGCTAGCTCTAGACTCGACCACCCCCACGGTTTCGGTTCGTAATTCGGTCCAACCATCACTTGTTGATACAAAGCGTACAACAATAATCTTGTTTCATCGGAGACTTGACGCGAGGATGGTGGCGGATCGGTCGCGAAAGCGATAGCCGCATAGAAGCGCTCTGGGAACGGCAAAGGACACTGTAAGTCCGCACCATTATCCTGATTGAGCTGAGAGGAAGACATTATACTTATTCTCGTTTACCCTTCCTCTTTCTATTCTATAATCCTTCTTCTTCTTCTTCTTCTTCTTCTTCTTCTCTCTCTTTCTTTGATCGAAGAAACCTGAAACCACACCCACACACAAGAGCAGGAGAATAAATCTCTCTCTCTCTCTTTCACTCTCTCGTCTCTCTCTCTCGCTCTTTCTCCTCCTCCTTTCTCTCTCTCTCTCTCCCTCTCTCTCTCTCTTCCCTTGCAAATATGCGCGTGTTTGCGCGAAGAAGAGGACCGAGTGAGCCTTGAGAGAGCGCGCTCAAGCACACACTATTTCCCTCTTCTATGAAGAGCGAGAGAGAGAGAGCAATCTTTTTTGTTTTCTTTCTTCTCCATTCGAACTCCAACTCCATTCGAATTTTAATCCACAAACAGCGAGTGAAAAATTTTTCCTTCTACAAAACAACATCGCCCCCGACGAGAAAACACGATGCGCTCTTTCTCTTCTCACAAAAAGAAAAGAATAATGTTCGTGGCATCGAGAACGACGACGATGAGACAGTTGATGGCATCATATACGCGCGTGGTTTCTTCTGTTGCCAACGCTGAACGCACCGCTTTCGCCTCGTCCTCGTCGCCTTCAACTTTGGCGCCACGACAGCAAGAGGAGATGTTGCGCAGTAAAACGAATAGTTTTAGAAGAAGTTTTTTAATGACGAGCAGTAGGAGCAACAACAAGGAGGATGAAGAGGTGAAGTGCGACGCGATCAGAGTGAGAAGAAGACGAAGAAAGACGACGACGATTCCAACGCGCGGGTTCGCGGCGAAATCTTCCGATGAAGACCAAGAAGAACAAGAACAAGAACAAGAAACGACGACAGATTTTGCAAAACTAGATGGCGATTCTGTCGGGAAATACGTGCTGGTGAGCAAATCGCAACTTCCTCTAGATCAGTGTAAAGCAATCGAGAGAGAGTTTGCGTTTACTGGTGCGAATGGTTTGCTGTATAGAAAGTGCGACGACGCGCTCAGAGAGGTCGTAGCTCGTCACGAGCAAGTGCACTTGAGAGGATACCGAGGAAGTGGTAAATCTGTCTCTCTCGCGATGCTCGTATTACGCGAACGCGCTTTAGGATCTTTAGTCGTTTATTTGCCTCGTGCATCACACTTGGTGACGAGAAGTTCGTACCAGAAACACGGAGAAGGGGAGCAAGAGGATCTTTGGGATACGCCAGACGCCGCTCGAGTGTTTCTCCACGCCGTCGCGGCTGAGCCAAACGAAACGCTCTTGGGGAAGATAAAAACGAGCGATGGTAAACAAACCTTACTCGAAATAGTTAAGTCTGGGTTAGAGAAAGGCGATCAGCACGTCACGCAGAATGCAATTGACGTCGTAGATGAGTTGGTGAAGCAAAAGGACGTTCGAGTCGTTTTCGCTTTTGACGAACACAATGCGTTATACGGGCCTTCGGATATGCACGAGGTGAAAGGCCCACGATCGAGGAAAAATATACACACGGACAGATTGCGGTTAGCGTTGAAGTTGCGCTCGTGCTTTCCAACGGCGAATGGTGGCAGATATATTGCGTGTGATAGCACCACAGATGTTGGGAGTTCGAATCCAGTCTTCAAGAGTGAGGATGAAAACGTTTTCGATTTTGAGATTCCAAAGTTCAACGTAGCCGAAACGTATGCTTTATTGAAACACTACGAGGAAGTTGGCAAATGCTCGCGAGGGATAAACAAGCAAATTGCACTCGAGTTTAAAGCACTCACGAATGGTAAGGTGAAGGAAATACAAGAGTATCTCATGTTTCAAAACGCTTGAATTAATTTTTAAAGAATAAGGTTGTAATTTTGACAAAGTAGTACAGGAATATATAAAAAAGAGGGGGGGCTTTTTACCATTGCTCGCCTACCGAGAGTATTCCTTTCTTTCGCCCGCGTCCATTTGTGGCAGGTCTCGCGAACCTCCCTGGGCTAAAGTGTTCGAGATTACAACTCGATTTACCATCCATGATCAATTCGGAAACGATTTGACCGGTAATAGGGGCCCATAGAATCCCCCAACAGTTGTGCGCGCTCGCCACGATTGCGTTCTCGACGTTCGGCAACTTACCGAGAAAAGGTAACGCGTCTGGAGCGCAAGGGCGCATACACGCTTGCGTTAAAATTGGAGGAGAGGAACCAACGGACGGGGACATGGACTTGAAAGAATCCCATGCCGCTTGCACTCGGCTGGGATCTGCCTTGATGAGATCAGCAGATTCACAATCGCCCCCCGGCGCTAATCTATCCTCGTCCACATAATCGCTCCCGCCAATCCCGCATAAATACACCGATCCGTCGACTCTGGGGTACACTTCCAAGTGTGTTTGGAATCGAGGGTCTTCGGCACAAAATAACGCCGCTGGATTGCTTTTCACCGCGTCTGAAGCTTCAAAAACTATCGAAGTTGATTTAATGCCAGTCATAGGAAAGTCGGCATCGGGAAACCAACTCGCCGCTCTCGTCGTCCACGGACCCATCGCAACGACGACGACGTCGCATTCGAGAGTGATCGATTGCGAGTCATCGCTTTTATTCTTCACGTGTACACCGTTCACAACGCTCCGCGCTTCGTCTTTAAAACTAATCCCCGTGCACTCCGTACTATATAAAGTCTTCAATCCATTTTTCGTCGCGGATTCGTGCAACTTACTCGAAAGCTCCGACGGAGTTACTTGCGCAGTATTCTCGTCCAAAACCGAGTTCTGCTGAATATCGCCGTCTAACCATTCTACCAACGGATCCGCTAATCCGCTCTCACCGGCTTGCACCGATAACGTTCGAATTTTACGAAACGACGTCACATCCAAGTCTTTCGCCAACTTTTCGTGGAGTTCAAAACTCTTCGTGTGCAACTCTCGCGTTTGCTTATTACCCCAACCGCCCGGGGATAGAAATCCTCCCGCTTTCCCGGAAGCTGCTGGTGCCACCTTGTCGCACCGTTCCACCAACGTCACGTTCGTGCACCCTCTCTCGCTGCACAAGAAATACGCCGAAGCTAAGCCTTGCAAGCCGCCTCCAAGAATCACTATCTTTTTATCTTTTGTTTGGTCGTCTGATGATGATGAAGATGATTTCGTCGCTCCGCAGCGGACTCCTGCGTTGGCACGCATCTTCTTCTGTTGCTTTTTTAGGGCAAGGGTATCGGTTATTGAGCTGGCTGATGTTGTCGCAAAACTACTCGTTGTCGCTCTCATCGTGTCGTGCGCGTATGTCGTGGATGTGCGCTTTTATTTTTCTTTCTTGTCTTTTTGGTGTGAAACCGAGTCAAACCGATCTCGCCCTCGTCTCGCGCGTCAAAAACAAAGGAGATACGAACGAAGGAAATGACTGCCGGCATGGGAAGAGGCCGTCCTTTTTTAAACGAAGAGGAAGAAGAGGCGACGAACACCACCACCACTACCGCTGCTCTTCCGCGCGATGTTCTTGTGGTGCGTGTCTTCGCTCGAAAGTGAATCCTATTTGTTCTCTTTTTTTACACGCTTAAACTCGCATCTCTCGCATGTGAATCTCTAAGCCCCTGAGCAAAAAAGTTTGACTCGTGTGCGCGTGTGTTCATCGACCAAACCTCTCACTCTTGCGCGCGCTTCCTTTGATATAAGTCGCGACCAATTAAACATATCTTTCTCTTTCTCTCTCTCTCTCCCTCTCTTTCTCGGGTGGAATATCAAAAACAGAAACGAATGTGCGAGAAGATTGCTCAGCTGACGAAAGTAGTCTCCAATTTGCACTCTGAAACCGAAGACGCTCGAGAGCGAGAAAAAGAAATGGAAGAAGAACACTCGAACACTATCGAACTGTGTCGAGCGGATGCGGCGAGGAAAGTTTTAGAGACGCACTCGAAATGGCGCGAAGAGGCTAATGAAAAAGAACGGTTCGAACGAATTGCAAACGAGTTGGAAGCGAAGACGCGTATAATGCAAAGCGGCGTGGATGAAGCGTTGCGCGAGATCATACGAGAAGCGGAATCGAAATCAGATGCTTTGAACGAAAAAATGGAAGAGCTCGAAATTTTGTTTAAACTGAGCGAACAGAAAGAACGAGAGCAGAAACAAACGATAGAACACACCGTGAGTGAGACGAACAAAAAGTTATTAAAAGAGATGGAACTTCGTCAATCATTGGAGGAAGAGAAGAGTAGAATTGAAAGAGAACGGCGGGCGTGGGAGACGAAGGCTGAACATCTAGAAGAGGTCGTGGAGGCGCGGCGAATAGAAGTTGAAAGCAAAGATGAAAATTTGAAATCGATGGAAATAAAATACGAAGAAATGTTGAATGAGTACAAAACTCTCGAGACGAAAGGAAAAGAAAGCGTACGAGCGCTCATGGAGGAGCACGAAAGTCAAACCGCTTTAAATGCCGAAAAGTTTAAGCGTGGATGTGAAAGCTTAGAGAGAAATTTCCAAAAGGAAAGCTTGTTTTACCGTGAAGAATGCAATAAAGAAGTCAATTCGGTTCGTGAAGCCTTGGAATCGCGTCTCCTTCGCCAAGTAGACGCGTGCGACGTTTTATCTCGAGAGGTTGAGGCTCTCAAGGAAAACGTAAAGAAGGAACAGTCTCTGAGTATAGACCTTCAGAAGAAACTTCAAAACGAAATAAGTTCGAGCGTGAAACTACGCAATATGAATGAAGAGCTTAATAAGCAACTCGATATTGCTCATGCCTCCCGCGAAGATGGTATCAAAGTGAATACAGAACAGTCAAGTGTTATTGAAACGCTCGAACGACGCCTCGAAACAGCTTTGAGCGATAAAAGAGGAATTGCCGAGAATCTGCGTAAACTTGAAGATGCGAGACATGCGACACACCTCGCGCTAGAAAAAGAGAAGAAGGTGGCGCGCGACTTAGAGATTGCGAACGCGGACTTTGAGCAAAGACACGTTCAGACGCTCGAAAATTCTATGGCTATTTCGAAACAACACAAAGAGGAGCTTTTTGAACTCGACTCGAAACTTCGCAGGGAACATGAATCAGAAATTGAGATTTTACAAGAACAGCACAAGTGTGCGCTCGAGGATGCGTTGGCATCTCGACATGAACACTTACAAACACAAAAAAGAGATTTTGAGAGAAAGGCTGTACTCGTAAACGAAGAAATGAAAGAGAAACTGCGTCAAGCAAAAGAAGAAAACAAAACGCTCGCGCAAGCGCTCCGAGAGCACGAGTCTCAAGCTTCAGATTTTGAATACACGATCCAAGAACTTCAGAATTCTCACGACGCTGAAACTACAAGGCGAGATGCCGAACGAAGAGCAATATCTCTCGAGGCTGAAGCCTCCCGGGCGCGAGAAATACGTTTGAGGGAGGAAATTCTCGGTTTACGTAAAGAAAATATGCGAGCAAACGAAGCAGCACGGGATGTGAAGGAAGAAATGAATACTCGACTTCGCGAAGTCCGCGAAATATTCAACGAAGAAAAAAGAGCTTTGTGTGTATCTTTCGAGCGATCTCACAAAAGTGCTCTCATGGATGCAGAAAAAGTGCTCGACTCGGAAAAGAGGAAAGCGGATCTCGCGTTTGAAAACAAGGCGCGTGCGATGAATGAAGATTTCGCGAGAAGACTATCGCGAGAAATAGATGAAGCCGTCGAAGCGACGAAAAACATTGACGACGCAGAGATGCAAGATATGATCAATGTATACGAGAAAAAGATGTTGGACATGGACGCGGAGAAGGAGAGAAGCATTCGTAAAATTGAATTAGAGAAAGAGGAAACTATCGCGCATCTGAACCGCTGCCATGAAGGAACAGTTTCCACCTTACGGAAAGAGATTGAAGAAAGGGCGAGAGCCAGCGAAACGAAAATTTCTGGCATGGAAGCCTATTTTCAAAGTCAAACGAAACAAATCACGACGAGCTATCAGAATAATCTGGAGAAATCGTTGCGTGCACTTGAGAACCGACTCGAAAACGTTCGCAAATCTGAGAACGAAGCGTGGGCGAAATCATTGGAAGAGGTAAAATTGGCACATCAATCGGACATCGACGAAAGTAATACTCGCGAAGCAACGCTTTTAAGCAAAATCCAAGCCTTTAACGACCAAATCAGCGCCGAGCGATCGGCGAATGCACTCGAGAAGGAAAAATTAAGCGCAAGTCACCGAGACTTTATTTCAAATCTACGAAAAGACCACAGAAATTACGTGGAGAACATGAAAGCTATTCACCGCGATACCATCGAAGAGGAGCGCTTAAACACGACGTCCGCGAATGCGAACTCCGAAAAATGGAAACGTAAATACAATGCGCGAGAATCTAGAGAGTGCGACGTGCTCAAGATTCGGGCGCTCGAGACGCAGCTTTCCAAAGCGACGGCAGAATACCTCGAATCCGAGAAAAAGCGGAAAGCCATGCAGGAAGAAGTGCTCAAGCGCGAGATTAGTTGCGCAAAAGGTATAAGTTTTGACATCCCGACGCTTCGTACGAAGGAAGGTATCGTCACGATTGACAGATCGAAGATGAAAGTAAAATTTTAATCATACGCTGACACGCAAATTCACACCTGTCCCTTTCTCTTCCTCTTTATTAGTGACTCAGTCAGAGAGAGAGAAATGTTTTTACATATTGACAATTCGCCATATATATAGCCTATTTCCATCTTTTCGGAGCGCAAATTGCGCTCTGTCCAACACAATATTCGTGTTGATGTTTGGGTCTTTCCAAGACAAATCTGATAGTCGCTCGCTAATATAACAATGGACCTGAACAAGTGATAAAAGAGAGCGCGCGATGAAAACTGCAAAATTGAAAAAAGCGAACAAAACGAAAATTGAACGCACACAACGCACAGAATGAATTACATAGTGGCACCGATATTGGAACGGGTGCTCCGTAACTATATCGTTGGTTTGGACAGAACGTCTGTCTCGACTTCAGTGTGGTCTGGGAACGTAAACTTGGAAAATATCTGCTTAAATGCTTCAAATTTGAACAACGACTCTTCGTTGCAACTACCATTTTCCATCACGAAGGGAACGATTGGAAACTTATCGCTATCTATGGATTGGAAAACGTGGTATGCACGTAGGCATCCGATAAATATTCGAGTGAGTGATGTTGTGATACATTGTTCTCCGCGGGAAGAGGATGATTGGTTCCGAGCGTTTGGCGCGGCGGCGTCTTCTACGGAAGCAGAAGATATCGCGACAGAAAAGCTTCAGAAGAGTATAGACGACATCGCATCAATGCAGGAAGATCCCGCATTGATGGCTATTTGGGCACCTCTGTTTGCAAGTATGCACGTAGAGTTAGAGAACGTAACTATCATTTTCAAAGACATATCACCAAAACGAGAAAAAGAACAGACAGAAGACAGTGACGACGACGAAACGAAACATCTTTCAGAATTTTCCATACGCCTGGACTGCTTACGAATCGCGAATCCGAACGATGACGATGCAGATAGTAAATCTTCGGAAATTGCGAGCGCATTCTACAGCCAAGCGTCATCTGTTGATTTTATGGAAACGCGAGTTAAATCCATAGACGTTACCGGATTCCGCGTTGCGTTAGAGTGCGATTGTCGTACGCCGAGAGGCTGGTTTCCGGAACACCCTTTCCATACGATTTCATCACCTGCTAAAGAGCATTCGCATGAAGGATCACCATCACCGACCTTGATACGTGTTGATAATACCACTTTGCTTCTCAGAGTTTCTCGGCGTAAGAAGAATCGTGGTTTTGCCGCTGCGATTGTCGCTGTGAACGATGACGCGATTCACCTAGCCTTAACGCCCGCTCAGCTCATCTCAATTGCCCATCTAGAATCCGCACTGAAGGTTTGGAAAAAGAGAATAGAATATGCATTTGCGAAAAGACCATTAAATGAGGATGGAAAAAATTGGAAAGAATGGTGGCAGTATGCAAAACGTGCAGTCCTGAGAGGAAGAAGAGAGTCCAAGAAGTCAACGCCTAATCGACGCGGCCCGTCAAGAAAGAGGACAGAGGCGAAATCCAAGGACACTTCTCAGCGATTATCAGAAATAGTTAAAGACGCCATCATTGCTTCTTCGTCATCCAATACGACTGATAGTGATGATTATGATGACGATGGTTGTAGTAACGATACAGATGATGATATGGACCAAAATGATGACGCAGAATACGCCGAGGAAGAAGAAATCTTCGCTAGTCTTGGCTTCAAGTCATCTAGTACACTGACGGGCCTTCATTTGCGGCGTAGACTAAAGCGAGGTTTGGAAGCTACCGCGTCTGTAGCGACAAAACTGTCATTCACAACTATCGAACACATGCATCAACGTGGACAACGACGGCAACGGTATAAACGATCGAAGTTAAATAAACCTAGGCAAGCTGCGCGCATCAAACTGCACCAACAAATTATGGAGCACACAGATTGTGTTTTCCACGTAGCGATACCAAAACTTTCTGTTCGACTGCACGATAATTTTGGAGCCGATAAGTGCATAGAGTTAGTATACGACAAAGTCTATGTTCGAGTCAATGAAGAGGAGACCCTTGATCCCATGGAAAGCAATAGTTCTGATCTCAAAGTTGTTTTGCAAAGTTTTTCTGCTTACGTAGTATCGGGTGATAAGATGACGGAAATTCTCCGAGGGAAGGACAACCATAAACATGCGTCAATCACTCTTGAAACGAGTGAAGGTCAAAATATAACATCTCTCGTAGTCGCTCCGTTAAATGTTGTGATTGATTCGGTATCTTTGGAGTTGATTCTACAGTTTGCGGTAAATAAAGTTCCAAAGAGCTCGCTTTTTGCAAATAGATTGAGTGCTACTCTGTTCCCGCTTTGTGAAGCCTTGAAATTGAATACGAGTTCTCGTTTGCAGACGGTTGAAGCGTTGTTGGAGGCTAAAGAATACGCTAAGCAAATGGATATTACTCTAGAAGGTTTATCGGTGTGTTTGGTGCACAATGAAACGAGAGAACCTTTACTTTGTGCTGGATTTGATAGATTAACTTCGACTTCTGGTGGTGTGGTAAGAGACGAGAATGATGAAATCAACGTCTTCGTAGGAAGAGACACGTATATGAACGACTTACTGGAATCTGCGAAAGATATTGGTGATATTGCATCGTTAAACGAATTAGAAAATTTAGTAGGAACGATGAAAAGCTCGTTTTCGGTTGACAACATGTGCATCGGGACAAACATATCCGGTGACAAGACCTTCATCTTGAATGGTTGGAGCGCAGCAATTATTTCCGAGAAAAATACGGTAAATCGTACCCAGCGACTTGCAGTTCAGCGCTTTGACCCCATCTCTTTATCTATTTTACCTTCAGATGTTAAGAGTCTCGCCATGCTATTTGATATTTTTTCACGCATGCAGGTGAACAAAATGGATGTATCCAACTGGCGTTCGGACAAACTGTTCAAAGTTTCTGCGATGATTGCGCCTCCGATTACACTGGACGCCAGGGTATCTTTGCCTGATATTGACTTAGAAATTCTCGATGTGAACGGTAATGGTAAATATATTGACGAGGAGCCCGACTTTTGGTTACGGGTCAAAGTGAAGGGTCTCGCTTTTGATGCAGCTTCTACGACCATAAAGGAAGAGCCGATAGCTTGGTCCACAGTGAAAATCGATTCATTTTCGGTACTTTGTGAAAGTAACACTATAGCAGCAACTGTATCAAATATTTCAATATCGAGAGCAGAACGCAGAGATGAAAATGTATACGTCCATGCAGATATCGGTGGTATTGAGGTTGATGCATCTCTTTATGACTGCGTTGCTATGATTCGAAAATTCAGTTCAGCAACGACAGAAACTCAAAGTGATTCGAATCGGGAAAGTTTTTCTTTGCAATCACAGCACGCTCCGTCATCACATGCGTTGGAGGCACCCAACATGCGATGGAGCGATTTGCCAACGCGACGTGTATTGCTTATTGACGATGTTCCTCCATGCGTGGACTATGTTGCAAGAGCAGTTTTGGAGGTTACTGATTCGAAGTCAATCGTCACAGGCAAACTCGAACGAATCTCGGTGGTGAGTTCGCTTTTTGAGCACAAAAATGCTGGATCCATCTCTATGAATATCCCAGGCGGTGTTGAACTAAGAACTGTTCCCGTTTCGATTACGAGTGAAGCATATGTGAAGATGAACGAAATCAATTTGGCTTTCACGACAGAGGATGGATACCATCAGTCGGCTTCTATTTCCAGAGTGAATGTAATGGCCTCCGCTGACTTTAGAACATTTTCAGGACAATGGTCTGTAACCGTACCTTGGCAATTTGAAGCAATGAGTAATGTGATAAATGCCGACTTTGATGCGTCGGTGGATCTTTCGACCGGAGTAGATGTTGTCATCGATGAATTTTACGTATGCGCCGGTAAAAGTAAATACGGCGCGCAAGAAGCTATTCGAATGTTGAGAACATCGAGTCGATTACTGGAGGTAAAATCGATCCATATCGAAAGACGACAGGATCCCGATGATTTAGAAGTCAACGTCGCGCATATTGACGCTCGCTTGACATCGACCCATATCAGTATCGTAGATTCGTTCATCAAGAACGTCGTCTCAGAGCTTGATAGGGTTTGTAGACGAGGAGTGGTGCTTCCCTCCGCCGACAAAGATCGTCCACTCTCATCTCTATCATCGGCATCTTCTTCATCTTTGATATCAGAGCGCAGTATGGAAACGAACCCGAGCAGAACCGAAAATAGCGAAGGAGACAATACGAACTTTGTCAAAAATCTGCCCGATTCTACTAAACTTGGTATCCGTCGCATTAGCGTGCGTATCGATGATGATCGATACAGTATGGAGCACCCGGTTCCGGTCTCTTTCGCTTCTTTAACGAACACGTACGTGAATTGCACAAAGAGAAGCAAAGATTCCCTAGAAGCAAATCATATCAACCATACAATGAAAGAAAATAAAGTCATTCCACTTTCTTTATCAGTATCTTTCCAGGTCTGCGGGGGCACATATGACACGTTGAAACGCAACTGGGAATTTGCCTTGGAGCCAGTTGCATTGAAAAGTTCTGTGGAAACTGGAAACAAATCGTTCATCCTAACAACTTCTTCCATTGATTTCGTAGTTCGAAAAACGATACTTGAGTCATTAGCAGTTTCCAATGCCATAGTAAATTGTGACACTTTGAGATCTGCTTCCCGAGCGCGAGATACCCGCGCGGTTGAGCCCTTTCAGTGCTTCTGGCTGAAGAATTCTTCCGGAGTAGATCTTAGCTACGAATTTTTGACAAACATGGACACTTCATTGGGCGGAACATGCATCTCAAACGGAGAGGTTGCGGTTCGTTACGGAGATTCGTGGAAAGATGATGCATCTGAATACCTAGAGAGACTGGGAGATGGCGACTTATCTTCGCTTGCGCCGCCGTTGGGAATGAGCAACGAATACGGATATGAGCGTTCTGGATTGTCATTATTTCGCTTACCGACTGTTATTGGCTTGAAGATTCGTCTGACCAATGCCCCAGAATCGCGACATTATCTATCATTGGCTGATTTGGAATCTAAAGCCCGGAAATGCGAAGCGTTGCCAAAATCGGTCTGGGGTGGCACAGAGGGAGACTCGTGTTCGTTAGTAGCGGAGATTCGATGTCGCGAAAACGCAGTTGAGCAAAGAGAGGTGGTATTGCGTTCGAATATTGTTGTTCAGAATTCAACGTTAAAGCCAGTGGTGTTATCTTTCGCCGGAAAATCGACGTTTGGCCCAATTGAGGCTGGAGAGTATAAATACCTTCCATTATCGCTTGCCAGCTTAGATTCGTTCGTTTGGAAATTTGAGGGCGAAGGGGCATTCTCCTTACTGCCAAGTGATGAAATCTCACTTCATTCCGTCGATTCATTCATACCAGTAAATGCGAGGCGATGCGCGATTGTGATATCTTCCGACGAAGAATCTGTCACGCGGACAATTGCTTTTGTTGCGCCCTTAGAGCTGAGAAATCATCTACCGGTCCCAATAAAGGCAAGTTTCTTATCTGGAAATCGGAAGTTTTCTTCTTTTGTTGTTGCTCCTCGATCGACAGCGATTATAGAAGAGTCTGAAGATGTCTTGGACGCAGCTACTTTATCGTTTGTTCCCTTGGGATACGTCTGTGCGAGAAGTTCTATATACATCCCCACATTTTCAAACTTGTCACGACGACAAAATCCTCTCAAAGTATTCAGACATATGTCTCCGTCTATTCGTAGAAATACTAACGATAGGAGCGACGAGGATGTGACGACTTTGGAATGCTCCGTGTACTTGGACAAAAATACGAGCTCGAGAGTAGTATCAATCGCGTGCGCTATGACGTTGACAAATTTGACGACGCAGTCGCTCACGCTTAAATACGCGGACATGAAAAGCATTACGAGCGGCAAGTACAACGATAGATTGGGCTCACTCGATGAATCAAGCGCAAACACTGTAGTTTGTCCTCCAACGCCACCATCTACAAGTATCAATGAGATGGGAAGAATTGGAACCACGGAAAAGGCATTTGAACACACCGCTGCATCTGATTTATCATCGAAAGCAGTGCTCTTTAATCGAATGCATTCTACGTCGTTTTCTTCTTCCGATTTAGAAGCATCATTCACATCGACTCCAGTTCGAGCGAACTTGAGCGCTAGGTTCCAAACGCCTTCTCCAAATGCTTTTGGTGTATCTTCCGCAGGAGTTTCCTCACATTTATCTCGATTTTCATCTGATTCTGCACCTTATGCCTTACCTTCGTCATCCTCCGGAGGCAAGATTTTGGCAATGAAGAACAGTACGCAATATCCGAGAATACTTGGCAATTCGCGACGGCATCGGAGAGACAGCGGCTTTGGTCTATTCACGCTAGGATGTGAAGAGTATGCGTCAGACCCGTTTGAGCTTGCGCCCGCGTCTGGGAAATTCAAAATAGTACACGTAAAACCTTATTATAGCTACGTCATCACGACAATATACGAGGATTCCGACGGGGGATGTGCTCACATTTTTGTGCGTCCGAAAGGGACGATAACAAATTCCACAGACGAAATTGTAGCATTTAAGGAATCTGATTTTGAAGAGTCAGATGGGATTATCCTTCTGCCGGGACAGACAGCGCACGTGCGAAATAAGAAACCTGCCAACAGCATGACGAAAGACAACGCCCGTGAAGGTGAGAGAAAAGAAGAAAGTGCAGAAGAGAGTGAGGATGCCCCGCGTGTTCGCATACGCCCAGCATCATCTGCTCAGGAGAGATGGAATTGGTCCGATGAAATCACAGCTTCAACGGCGTGGTGTCGATGTACGAGAGCTCTCAGTTTAGACCGGACGAAAGATGACGTACATTTTTCGGTTCAGTTTAACGAGTCTGAGGAAGATGGATGCTATAATATCGATGTCATTGCAGGTAAGCATTTCGTAAATCAAGACGGCGACGATATCGACGACGACGAAGAAGAACTACCAGGTGTTAAGGAATTTTTTCAGACGTCACCTCCGCCCAAGTTCGTCGTTTCTCCTCTAAAGAAGCCTTCGTCTTCATCTAAGATACCAGTCTCTCATTTGCTATCGTCGCCAGTGTCTAAGTCATCAGCGACAGCTTCATCTTCGTTATCTTGGAGAACAAAACCTTTCTTTTTGGAGAGCTTTCAAATCAAAGTTGTATCAATCGGGCTTTCTGCTCAACACGAAAAGACAGAGTTGGTGAATGGTAGAGTGCACGGCATATCAGTGATGCTGTCCGAAAATTGTAAGGATGAAGAAGAGCCCGACCCGCTCGTTCAAGGGCATCTTATTGTCGAAAGAATTGATATCTGTACATCGAGCTCGAGCGAAGAAAATGAATCATCCATTATTCTCTCCGTGCCGAATGCCGAGATGAGGACGGCGAACATCGGAGCCACTTATTTTACCGCTGCAAGAAACGCGATTACGCTTACACTAAGTGGGCGCGTATTTTCACGTCACGTTACGCGATCGGGCGCTCGCGTAGATGTTGATGTTGCACCCGTGCGCATTGATTTGCAGGAAAGTTTGCTGAAAAAAGTTCCAGGATTTGTCGCGGTATGTGTCCAGTCGCTGGATGTCTTGGAAAAACCAAAACTAGAGACGCGACTCAAGATGGAGAGAAATAGGAAAGTGAAGAGTAAAAGCTTCAAAGCCATAGAAGATGCTGCGCTCTTTCGAATAGACAAGCTTTCTATTTCTGACGTGCCAATTGTGCTTTCCTTTACAGAATTGCCGTTTGTTCCGTTTTTGTTCTCAAAGCTAGCCGCGGTTGAACGGGCTAAAATTACTTTGAGCGGTTTCAAGAATCAGAAAGCGCTCGCCTTTCCGGACGAGGTTTTGAAAGCTTTAGAGAGACACGTAAAAAACCAAGCGGTTGGAAGAATTCGTGATTTGATAAAGCACAATGCTCTGTTAGGTGATCCCGCTCGTTTAGTGGAGTCCACTCGGCACGCTGTACATGAATTAGGCGAAGGGAATGGTTTGAAGGCTTTCGCTCGCGTTACTTCTGCTTTCGGGAGGTCTGGTATGACAACTTTAAATCGCATCAAATCGATCGCTGACGGTTGGGTAGAAGAGTTCGATTCCTTGGAAAATGAACGACGCAGAGCAGTGCGTGACCGTCACATCATGTCATTACCATCATCATCAATCAACGTCGTCGACGGCAACGTTCTACCCACGCGCTATTCCGAGCGCGTTGTTGGCTCTGTTTGTAAAGCAGTCATGGATATCATTCAGAATCCAATCACTGGACTCGAGTGCAGAGGCTTGGTTGGTATGGCAGAAGGAAGCATATTTGGAGCGGTATCTGGCATCTCTCGGATTCTTGCGGCGTTCATCGAAGGTCCTTTGTCTTTGGCGAATACATTTTTGGGTGAATAAGAATAACAATAAGAAGTGTTTCTTTGCACGTATACATACTGGTAGTTTAGTTATAAGAATATTTTAGAAACGTTAGTACTAACAGCGAGATCTTGGAGTTACGGACGGTATCACGCGAATAGTCGAGTTTTTGGGCGATGTTAGAAAATACAGTAGCGCGTTCGTGAATAATATACATGCATTAATTAGATAGATGAATTAAGCTCATTCCTCCTCTTTCGCTCGCGCGGCGGCTTTCTTCGCGGCTAATTCGATCATCCAAGCCGGCTTGGGTGCCGCCGGCGTTGATTGTTCTCTCGTCGCCTCGTCTCCCCCCTCTTCTTCCTCTCCTTTCGTATTATTCGTATTATTCTTCAACTTTAGATTCTGTAGAAACTCCTTCCCTAACGCCCCCCCGGCTTCCATGCCGGGAATTCTAACAGCACCTTTCGGTGGTTTGAACGTCGACGACGTCGAGTTCTCTTCTTTTCCTTCTCCTTTTTCTCCTTCTTTTTCGAGTTCACGAACCAACTGTTTCAAAGTTGAAAAGGTTGGCCGCAAACTTTGATTTGTCGTCGTTTCTGAAGAAGACTGGACGACAAAGTGCGTCTCTAATTCGTCCAGCTCTGCTCTGCTCTGCGCGATCAGCTTTGACAGAAGGGATATTTTAGCGTCGTCTGCAGTCGTCGTTTCCATTATTACCGTGTTATGTTGTCCGCGTGTTGTGTGTGCGTGTGTGTGTGTGTGTGTGTGTGTGTGTGTGTGTGTGTGTGTGTGTGTGCTTATAAACGAATGCCTTATATATATTGGCTTATATATAAAAAAAGTGTAGGACTGTAGGTGTTCAGACCTTCTTCACAGACAGAATCTCTCACACCCTTCTCTGTCAGAACTTTGATCGAACCAGTCTCTTTCTCCATGTTTCTCTCTCGATTCTAATTCATCTTCGGGCTCGCTTGGTTTAACTCGTCATCGTCAAAATAACCCTCTCGACTGCTTTGCGCACTGAATCATTCGCCTTTCGAATTCGCGTCGTCGAACTTCGCGCTCATAATCTCTCTTCCCTCTCTCGTCCAGTCCGATTTTTTACGTAATTTTCGGGCGCTTGTGCGTCCGAACGCACTCGTCACAAAACCACTCCGAATCGCTGTTTTTCAAGTTCTTATCCAGATCCTCTCTCGATGTTCCAATGCACTCGGGATGGAACCACTCTTTACATTCGCCGCACTCGACCATGAACAAATCCGGGTTATACGGCATCGAGCACTTACAAAATACTTGCACGTGGTCCGGTTTAAACTCGCTCGTCGCCGCTTTGTAGGCAAACCTGCTGAAGAAAGATTTTTCGTTGACCGATTGCAACTCTTGATAATCCGCTAAAGTGTACACGTGTATTTTACTTTCAATCGTGCTCGCTTTTACCCAATCGGTGTGGTCGCTCGCGAATACCTCGTGTTCGCCGTGGAACGCTTTCCGTCCCGAAGCCGATTCTTCCGGTCGGTAGTACCACGACACGTGCACGTTTATTTTATCCGCTCTGTTCTCTATTTCTTCGTCCGTTTCTTTCTTGTCTTCATTGTTCTTGTCCGCTTTCTTCTTCTCCTTCTCGTCTGCGTGCACGTCGAAGCGTAAAATTTTCGCAATGTACGGCTTTTCTCCTTCCGGTGCTTTCATGGAGACGACGTCGTGGACGTTGTACGTTTCGTCGCCAAGCTCTATGTATTTGATGACGTCTTTACTTGTTTTATTCGTGTTGTTGTTGTTGTTGTTGTTTTCAACACCACCTGTAGTATTCAACAACGTCGATGTTGATGGGGGTGGTGGTAACACATTCTCTCCGGCCATTCTTTTTTTCCTTCGCGTTTCCTCCTTTGTTGTTGCGCTTACGTAGTATTTATTATTATTATTATTATTATTATCTAACGTTCTTCTTCTTCTTTGTCTTCTTCTTCTTTGTCTTCTTCTTTCTCTCCTTCTTCTCTGTTGTGTTTCTTTCCTCTTCGATTTAGAGAGACGAGGAATGAGATGATTTTGATTTGACGACAAAAGAGAGAAAGAGAGGAAAAGTGTGTTGGACGAGAAAACAATAAAAATCGAAAAATTGAAAAAATCTCACAAAGTGATTTGTGGTGTACTGATGAAAAGAGGCCTGTCTTTCTGTAATTCCTCCTAGTTCTGTGTCTCTCCTCTGACCACACATACAGACTCCTCTCTCTCTCTCTGAACAACTGAAGAAGAGACGACGATGATGATGATGATGAGAACGAACGAACGAACGCACGTACCACCAGGAGTAGTAGTAAAACCATCATCAAAACAACAACCAAAAACTTTCGCTAAAAACGTAATACTTTTAAGAAGAAGAAGAACAAAAAGAGGAGGAAGACGAAGATTTTGCGTCGTCGTGGTTGGTGAAAACGAAGAAGACGACGACGAGGCACAAAACGAGGAGGCGGAAAGTCCGCCGCGATGTCTTCCGGGTTTCGCGGTTGGAGCGATAGCGTCAACGATTCTGTTGTGCGGTGGTGGTGGTGGTAGTATTATTAATCCTGAACCGGCGAACGCGTCTTTTGTGTACTACCCGACGACGAATACTGATACAAATCCGTTCGAGTTGAGGATGGAAAAGAAGACGTACATGAGAGAGGAAACACCAAAGAAACTCTCCGAGATGAATCGAATGGACAGGACGAGAAATACGAAAAATGAAAGGACGCCGTTACCGTTACGACTGAGCGCGAATAAGGAGAAAGATTTTGAATTAGATGAACGATACGATATCGGCGTGCCATCTTCTTCTTTCAACGCAAACACGACGAGCAATCTTCTCCCTTCGCTTCGTAAAGAAGACGTCTTCTCCGCGCGAACGCTCTCGGCTTTGTTGCAATGGTCGTTTATTTTCTACGTCGCGTGCGCGGCCAGAGATGGGAGAACGAAAGGTTTGAAAGTTACGAAAAAGCTCGGATTAGACGGCAAAGCGCAGAAGGAGTTGATTAATAAAACCTTCTTGATAACTTTAGATTTTGGACGAGAGGTGGGAACTTGGATGCCACCGAATTGGGCGGCGAGCGGGAAACGCGTGATTTTACCCATTCGGGTAAAGTTTTTAGAAGACAACACGGTCAACATCGAAAGCATCGGGGCATTTTGTCCCGTGAAAATCCTTCCTGGGAAAAGAAAATGGAGCGTAGATGGAGATACGCTCAGGTTTTCAATCATTTTAGGCGACGGCCAGAACGAACGGTTGGAGAAAGGCGATGTAGTTTTTGACGCGGAGGAAGAAATCACGTGTAAGTGCATGGCGTGGGGAGGGAAAGTTAGTCGTAGGGGTAAATTATTGATAAAGAAAACAAGATTTGGCATAAGAAAAGAGTGGAGATCAGTAGGGATATTCTCGTGCGAGGAGAATAGTGAAACAACTACGTTAGGAACGCTCAGAGTAAGAGAGAGATTTACGAGCGCGGAGATGATTGATTCTTCTTCTTCTTCTTCTTCTTCTTTTTAAGCGTTGGGCGTGTTTACACGCATAAGCTCTAGTTTAATAGCGATAGTGTGTATCCATAGTGCATAGTATCAGTAGTACCGTAGATGTTCATCTCAATTTAGCGCCCAATAACTCCTCCGCGATAAACTTCACGGTCTCCTCCATCTCCTCCTCCGTCTCGTTCGATCGCACGTGTACGACTCCATCCCCGGTATACGCCTCCTTCGCCTCTTCCACGCACTCCCCGAATATCTCGCACTCCACGTTTTGTCTAATCTTCTCTTTCGTGTACCCGTCTCTCTTCTCCAATCGTTCGTATAAAATTTTCGTATTCTCCCTCCCGCACGTCAAAACAATCACGTGAGAGAAAAATCGTTCCGGGAAAAACTCCGACGAGTGATAGTCTAAAATCATCCCTCCTCGACGAACGAGAGGTTCCAAGTGGTCCAGAATTTTATCCTCGTCTATGACGAACGAGTTCAATCTCTCGTCGAACAAATGGTAGAATTCCTTCGCTTTGCAAACATCGCCGACGTTGACGTATTCGTAACATATTCGTTTGTTGTTGTTGTTGTTGACTTTTTCCAAAACCAATTTCGCGAGCGTGCTTTTCCCAGTGCCTGGCGTCCCGCAAATTAAGATGTTTTTCAGCAGCGCTACCTTCGTTCTCTTTGTCCTTGTCTTCTTTGTCTTCTCATCATCATCATCGTCGTCGTCATCTTTTTTTGTTGTTTTCGTCTTCTTCTTTTGTCGTTGATCGTCTGCATCGTCCTCCTCCTCCTCCTCAAAGTCGTTAGTACTCTTCTTCTTTGTCTTCCTCTTTGCAAAAGCCATTAGTATTATTTTTTTTTTCTGAAGCAAACGTTTGAAAGCAGAGAAAAAGTGCATTTGTGCACTTTTTCAGTTTCCTGTTTGTTGTTTCCTGTTTGTTGTTGTTGCTGTCAGCTGTGTTTTTCACACCACACAACAATTCTGAACAACAACAACAACAACAACAATAACAACGACGACGAGTTGGACGACACAAAATGTCTGTCGTCTGACTACCGCGTGAACCCCTCAAAAAGAGAAGAAGAAGAAGAAGAAGAAGAAGAACGAGACAAAATGACGACGGTGGGAGGAGGACAACAATTCGTTCGAGTGGATTTTACAAACATCCGACCGAAAGAGAAAAAAGAGAGTTTTGTGGACGAGAGATTTCACGGATGTTTATCATCAACAACGACAACCCCGCGGTTAAACCAAGAAAACGACGACGACGAAGAAGAAGAAAGAAATCAAATCATGTGCAGAAGATGCGCTGCTACTGCGGCTACGAGTAGTAGTTCTGTTACGGAGAACAAAGAAGTGCACGAATTGAAAGCAATCGTGCTGAAGAACGTGCTCTCGAGCGAGGAGTGTCGAGAGTTGATCGAAGGCATCGAAAAGAGGACAGATCGCGGGTATTCGTTTTGGAGCAGCGACGATACATCAGCTACTTCCCGTATTAATGATTCAAAGTCGTCGTCGACGTCTATGTTTAGAAACTCGGATACGGTGGAAGTTCGATCGAAAGAGATTGCGGAAAATTTATGGAAGCGCGTGAGAAAGTTCATCTTGGACGAAGAGCTCGTCATCGACGAAGATCATCCGTTACACGAGAGCGGTTTGGAAGGTAAATGGAAGGCCAACGGAATTAACGACCATTTATTGTTCAATAAGTACGTAGGAAAAGGACATTTCAGCCCGCACACGGACGGCGCGACCGTGGAGAGTTTCAACCGTCGATCGTTTTATAGCGTGTTGGTATATTTGAACACGTGCAAAGAAGGCGGGGAGACGAGTCTGTTTTATAATCAGCCGAAAGAGAGTTCGTTGTCGCACTTTGACGTGGACGAGCAATCTAGATATCGTTGGCCGAAAGATTGGATCGGAGATGCGGCGAAGTGCGAGAGAGGAAGCGTGTTGATATTTAGGCAAGAGATTGTGCACGAAGGCGCGCCGGTTGGTGAAAACGCATTGAAAATAATCATCAGAACGGACGTGATGTACGAAAGAGTGGAGAAGAAGTGCAACGACGAAAACGGACGACGAGCGTACGATTTACACAAACGAGCGCAAAACGAAGAAAGCGAAGGGCATTGGGGAAAGGCGATCGAGTTGTTGAAGCAGTGCAGGAAAGTCTGCCCAGAATATGCCGATTTAGTTAGAATTTAGAATTTAGGTGAATGTAAGCAAAGATTCAGACAAGCAAGCGTACTGTACCTAGTATGTTGTGCTGTATTTCTACTTCTATTTAATTACTACTTTCTATCACTACTGCGCTACTCATCACTCCTTTCTACTCGAAGGTTTTCTTTTTACCTTCGAACGGAATCGTGCCGCCACCCCACGCATCTTGATCTAGCTTCAACTTTGCAGTCCACGAGGGGTGTAACGGTTTGTCGTCATCACCTGGTGTTGTTGATTGCATTTTGACTTTATACTCTCTCTTTTGAGTGCTCGTGGCCGCGTGCTTTCTACGATCGCCACCGTCGTTATCAAACACAACTTTCTTACCTTTCCCGTTGTTGTCTAGAGGAATAATCATCGGCTTTTTTGCATCCATTCGTTTAGCTTTCCACGAGGGATGCATAGATTTGAGATCCTCTTCGGCTTTCCGTTGCTCTTCCTCGACTTTTTCTTGCTCAGCGATGACGTGTTTTGCGCTTCTGCCGTACTGTTGCTCGGCCAGTAGTCTACGTTGCCTTTGGCCCATTCTCGCTTTTTGCTTCTTCTTCTTTGGCGGCGGTAACGGCGCCGATTTCAACGGGTCGTCGTCGTCATCATCGTCGTTCTCATCATCGATATTCTTCTTCCGTTTCTTCTTCTTCTTCTTCTTCTCTTTCGCTTCTTCTCTTGCTTCGCGCATGTCTTGTCTCGTTTCTTCTGAAAGCGACAGACTATCGTCGCTCTCCTCGCCGCCGCTCGAAGAAAATTTTTTCTCGTCATCCTCCTCGGACTCCTCGGATTCTGATCTTGACGACTCCGAATCGCCTCTGTTTGTATTATCGTTACTATTGCCGTTACCATTTTTCTTCTTCTTCTTCTTCTCTTCTTCCTCCGCTCGTCTCTTCGCCGCTTCTTCCTTCTTTTTCTTTTTCTTCTCCAGCCTCTCCTCGCTTCGTTTTCGCGCCTCTTCGATTTGCGTCGCACGCGTTTGCACCAACAGGATCCTCGCTTTCAAACTCTCCATCTCTTCTTTCACGCAGTTGGCGTGCGCGATGCGTCGAGCGACGACTTCTTTTGCTCTCTGCAAATCTTCATTTCCTCCTTCTTTTGAGGAGGACAGCCGCGATGACGCCGGCGGCGGTAAAATCCCGCCTTCTCCTTTCCCTTCTCCTCCTTTTTCTACTTCGTCTTCTCCTTTCGCTTCCCGAAAGCAGTCGTTCGCTAACTTCTTCGCGACGAATTCCAAGTCCTCCACAGAGAGCGTCTTTGCCGCCTGTAACTGCTTTTCCGTCGCTTTCTTCTCCGACGACGACAACTTTTTCGTATTCTTACTGCTGTTGTTGTTGTTGTTGTTGTTGTTCTTATTGTTCTTCTTCTCATCATGCATCGTCACGCGTCGTTTCAGTTTCCCGACTTCAAAGTTGAGCGCTTTCTTCAGTTGTTTCTTCAAGCATTTCACGCCGTGAAAGCACTTCTTTTCCTGTTCTTTTTTTATTATCTCCTTCTTTGTCTCCTCTTCCCCGTCGTTGTTGTTTTTCTTCTTTTTCCATTTTGGCGGCCGCCAGGAAGAAGGAACAACGACAGGATGCATCTCGTGTATACTGCGTGTGTTTGTGCTCTTTGTCTTCTTCTTCTTGACTACTACTTCTTCTTCTTCTCGATGTGCAAACAAAAAACAAAGGTGGTCTTTTTTGACGGCGGGGAAAAGAGTCTGTTGTGTTGTTTTGTTCTTCTGTTGTTCTCTTCAATCAAAAATCAAAAAAACGCTTCAATTTTTGTTTTTTCAAAAACACATAATCTACACGCAATACACGCTCTCTTTTTGCGTATTGTATCCGCGAGAAACCTTCTTCTGTCTTCTGAGCGCGACACTGCTTCTGGTATATACGCGCATAAAGAGGTGCGCGCGTTGTGAATCTCTTTCTTTCTTTCTTTCTTTTCTTTCTTTCACTCGTGTCGCCAGGAAGCGTTTAAAGCGCATTTTTTTTTAATCTCGCATGTGGACGACGAATTCTTCTTTTGCGTTTGAAACAAGAAAACGACGCGCGCGTCGTGATGGGAAGTGACAAATCTCTTTTCTTTATCCCTCCTCGTCGTTCTCGTGAAACAAAACATGCTCGGACGCACACGCACGCGCACACGCACAGGTAGCATCAACAACCAAGCATGGCTAAAATCACCGATTTGGACAAACCGTCGGAGAAAAAAAAGAAATCTTCGTCCAAAAAAAAATCCCTCAAAGAGCACATCGAGGATGAGGACGAGGAGAATAAAATCGACACGACGCACCTCTACGCGGATAATTTAAACGGTGATGTGTATACGGAGACGAACGCGAATCCGAAAGCGAAAGTGCACTCCACGGAGTGGATGAAAATCTTACACGGCGACCCGGTTGAGATTAATCCGTCGTTAGGTCAGGGGATGAAAATCATGACCGTCGCCGAGTGGACTTCGAGGTGGAAACAAAACGACCGGTTTCCGGACTGCCTCGCTTGCGGAAGCACAAACACGAAAGAACACCACTTCACGCAAACGTGGTGCAGAGGTAAAAAAAAGTTTGAATCGGAAACGATTTGTATGGATTGTCACATGTGGAGTTGGAGATCTTACGTGGATCCAGATTTCTTGACGCCGGAAGAGTTCGATAAGATTCGCTGGGAAAAGATGGTGAAAGAAAACGAGGAAGCCAGAAAGTTGGCGAGAGCGAAGAAGAATTGAAGAAAAAAAGATAATTGAAAGAGAGTCCATAATACTCATCCAATCGTCGTCGTCGTCGTCGACGCCGTCGTCGACGCCGTCACACAAAGTACTTCAACCGACGTACCTACAGGTACAGTTTTTAATATATATTTTTACAACGCGATACTATCGGTAACTAGAAAACTAGACATGGTTTTACTTTCTTGCTCTCAACGCGTTATCTTTCTTAATCTTCGCTCTTCTCACCAATTTCCTCCACTTCCTCATTTCTTCCCAAGTAAAAGCGTCTCCCCAATCCGAATTTTCTCCGTGCTCGCTGCAATACTCTTCTTTTCGTTTCTCGTAATCCGATATTTTCAACTGCGGCTTCGCTAGCTCCCACAACCAGTCCGGATATTCCTCGTCCGGTAAAAGTTTCGGGTCTTCGCCGGTTTTGAAGTAGTTCGCTCCGGTGCAGTGCGTTAAAGACATCCCTCCTTCTTTGTTATTCGATGAACCTCCTTTTTTCTCGTCGTTCGATTCAGAGGATGTGCTCGCTTTCCCTTTCCCGCCTCCTTTCGCGAACTGTAAAGGGTTCGTTCTCGAGTTGAAAAATTGCCTCTGAATCTGAATGTTGTTGCTAAAACTATTTTCCCGAATATTATTATTATTACTACCAATGGTGTTGTGTATCGTTGTCGTCCAGGACAACACGGGAGAGGAAGAACACGAAAAACTCCGATCTCCTTGGGATCCTTTCAGGAATCCTTTCCCGTCGTAAAAACGAGTGGTATTAAAGTCGTTCTTCTCGTCGTTCGCACGAGTCGTACTCGCATTCGAAGAAAAAAAGGGTCGCCGTCCTCCACCTCTCCTCGCTTCAAAAACAGAAGCCGCAGAAGAAGAAGAAGAAGAAGAAGAAGAAGAAGAAGAAGAAGAAGAAGAAGTGGATGCAGATGCAGCAGAAGAACGGAGTAAAGATTGCCCCACGATCCGTCCTCCTCTTCGGCATCCTTCTCGCGTCGTCGTCATTCTTCTTTCTTTTCTTTTATTGTGTTTAGCGTGCGCTAATATAACGACGAAAAATTGCTCGCGAAAAATTCTCGAAAAAACGTAAGCGTCCTTTTAAAAACGTAAGCGCTCTTTTTAAAAAACATCAAAAACTCGCATTTGTTCTCACTTTTGTGCGTCGTGTGTCTTTCTTAGAACGAAGAAGATACACACTTTACATTTTCGATAGAAGAGCATTCAATCGAGTTCGAGTTCGTTCGCTTAGAGATCGGCGGTCTTCCTCTCTTCCTCTTCTTCTTCTTCTTCTTCTTCTTCTTCGCGCATATACTAAAACTATATAAATGTCTGAGGCGTTGGAAAAGGACATCGAAATGGGCGATAAAAATAGCATTAGTATGATGACGACGACGACGACAAAACCAGGCGCGCCAACGCACCCACCACCATCACGCGATACAAACTTTCCACCCAGTGCTGCGAATAAATCCAAGTCTCGTTTAGAACGGACGGATACGACGCACATGAACATGACCCATATTAAATACGAGAAAAATCCATTCATCACGTGGAAAGCGATGGTGTTTAACTTGATTTCCAGCCTGTTCGGGGTTATGTTTTTAGCGATCACGTGCGCGGCGTACCCGATATACGCGTTTGCTATTCCCAGACAAGTGTGGGCGTTTCTCGGAGAGAAAGGGTTCGGGATTATATATTACATCTTTGCAAACTCGAGCATTTTACGGTACATCCACTTGCGTTCGATTGCGAAGAAACACGAAAACGACAACGGGGACGTGTTGAGAAGCATACACTCGTTCACGCAAACAGAAATGCTTTCGTCTGCCGCGGTAATTCCAATTCCGTTTTTATCGGATAATTACTCGTATTTGATCGTAGATAGGCAGTCGAAGACGGCGGCGGTGGTGGATCCATCGGATCCCATTAGCGCGTTGGGGGTAGCGCAAAGAGTTGGCGTGGAGTTGAAGATGATTTTGTGCACACACAAACATCATGACCACGCGGGAGGAAACGTGCGATTAAAAGAGTTGATGAAGAATGAAAATTTACCGGTGTACGCGCACAAGATGGATAATTGCCACGGGGCTACCCACTTTGTCGAGCACGGCGACGTTATTCGATTAGGAGAGGACGTGGCGTTGAGCGTGATACATTTGCCGTGTCACACGAAAGGACACATAGCATTCGCGTTGCATAAGAAAGGAAGTAAAAACGTGGAATCGTCTGATGAGAGCACCGTAGAGGCTTTATTTTGCGGAGATGTCATTTTGAATGGGGGCGTTGGTGCGTTTTTTGAAGGTCGCGCGAAAGAATGCGCGTCAAATTTACACAAGACTTTACAAAACGTTCCAGATTCGTGTCTCATATTTTCCGGGCACGAGTATATGACAATGAATCTACGGTTTGCAGCGTACTTGGACGACGACGACGATTTTACCAGATTAGTTTTGAACACGATAGTGCTTGCGAGGAACAGATCTTTAGCCACGCAACCGAGTTCGATGAAAGTCGAGCGGTTTGCGAATCCGTTTTTCCGCATTCGAGAACGGGCGTACGCCGGGCGCCTTTTGCTATTGAGACAAAAGTTGCAGAGAGAAGCAAAACGGCCGTGGTGGCGACGATACGTGCCGGAAAATAGAAATAGAATTGGGTATTACAAAGAGTTGAAGAGTGAATCGATTTTGTTGGACAAAATTCAAAGAGAAGAAAACGCTTACAACAATAACAACGACAACGCCGGCGGTATGGGACACGCACAGACGCCGTCTAAATTCATCGAAGACGAGGACGATTTGACCATGCTGACGGAGGCATTAAAATACGTGCTCACGAGTGGAAGAAATGAATACGATTTCAGCGAACCGACGGATTCGGAGAACAGACATTTCAACAATTTTATGAACGCTTTGAAAGCAGAGAACGATCCGAAATCGATGAACAGAAGAGTGCACCAGTTGTAACAGGAGTAGAAGTATTTGTATACTGTACTAGAAAAAGAGAAGAAAAAGAAACAGAGACGGCCGCGGCGGTGCGTGTAGACGTGATGAAGTTTTTTAAAGAACGTCGTCTAGATACGGTAGATTGTGAGTAAATTATATTATTATATAAAGTTTTAGTTTTCATTTACTTCTTCACGACCAACTCGTTGAATCGGGCGACTTCGTTCGCGGAACCAATCGCCAACGCCGTTCTTTGATCGACTTCGTTGATTTGAACGTCCAGGATACTGCCGCCAGTAACCCCATCGGAAGTCTTACCGCCAGCCAATTCGACCAAGGCACCAAACGGCGCGGCTTCAAACGCCAAACGCAACTTCGCCGGGGAAGTCTTGGAAGTCGGGTTCGTGAAGACGCCCATGTTCTTCGTGAACTGCTGGTACACATCCGGCACCAAACCGCCAGAGTAACGCAAAGTGTATCTGTTATCCATGTAGTAATCCAACAAAGCCTTGTAGCCCGGAGTGTCTTGGGCGGCTCTCATGTTCGCCGGCGCAAAGATCTTCGAGTCTTCGTTGATTTTGATGTTCATTCTGGAGCAAATCCACGGTTCGAAGGAACCGTCCGGCAATTGGCAGCCTTCCGGCGTGCACCCGTAGGAGAATTCGTAGACTCCATCGTCCAAAGTGACGATAACCGTCGTTCTCGGGCCGTACAACGCGACCATGGAGCACACTTGGTCTCTGCCAGTCGCGCCCAACATGCCGTCGTCGCCGGTGCCGGTGTTCTTCGGCCACACGCCGACGATGGTACCAACCGCCCAGTTGTTGTCGACGATACTCGAACCATCTAACGGATCCCAACACACGGTGTAATCAGAACCACTGCACTTGACCATCACCGGTTCTTCCTCGGAAGCGCCGAAGGCAATCGTCGGGGAAGATTTGACCAAATCCCACATTATGTTATCCGCGATGACGTCGACGGACAACTGTTTGTCGCCAAAGGAGTTGTCCGTGCCTTCGACCGTCACCAAAGCCGATCTCAACGCTTCTGTGATGTCCGCGCAGCCGTCCAAGAGCTCCTTGATGCACGCTTTCAAAGTCGCGTCCGCGCAGTGCTTGTCCAAGATGTTCTCCAAAGATGGGTACGAGTCTTGTTTCTCCGTCGTCGTGTAAAAAGACGTGCCAGAGGCGCCGTATTCGCCATCACCCGCACGAGTGACGGTGCGAATTCTTTGCGATTGTTGTTGTTTTTTCGCAGAGCGAACCGTGGACGAGCGAACGGCGGCGCGCATGGAAATTTGTTGCATCTGTTGTGTTATTTTTGTTGCGCATATAAAAGTCAGAGAAGAGTCGTCAGTTTTTGTTTCACGCGATGAAGAACGCGCGCTGGAGTGTGTATAGTAACGGATTGATTATTGTTTTGAAGAAGATAAAATCCAGGTGGGATCACAAAACACCAACAACACATTCCAGAGAGAGAGAAAGAGTGAGAGAGAGTAAGAAGAAGAAGAGATAAAGAGATACTACTACGAGATAACTACTCACAGCCGATGACATGATGATGTTATTTGTGTGTAAATGTGAATGTGAATGTGCGTCGGGGAAAGTATGAAGGAACAACGCGCGCGTGTGTTTCAGAGAGAGAAAAGAGAGAAAAAGGACCGAGTGAGAGATATCCAAAAAGAGGAGGGAGAGACTTTGTGGGAGAGACACAAACAGCCACAGAAAATAAAAATCTCAAAGCCTTTTCCCCCTCCAAACCAGACAGACAGACAGAGAGAGAGAAGAGAGATTTAGACACATTTTTTGCCTTCGATGACGACGACGGCGATGACGACGAGGAGCTTCTCCTACGGAGGAGGAGGAGTACTCCCAGCAACAAAAACTTTAGCGAACCACCACCACCACCACCCACGGGGACGCAACAACAAGAATACTAATAATACTAACAACAACAACAGTAACAACATCGTTCACTTTTCGCGAGCGACGTCTTCCACCTCCTCGTCGTCGTCTTTCTCTCTCTCTGGGGGGTGCGCGTCGTGTTGTTCATCATCCTCAAAATCATCATCGGTATTAAGAAGAAGATCATCATTCAGAGTAAGAGCCACGGGGACGGGAGAGGGAGAGAACGAAGAAGAACAAGTAAAGAGCGATGGAAACAACAACAACAACAATTTCAACGGGGGCGACGATCAATTCAAGCGAGCTCCCGGAGAAGATCAGGAAAAGTTTCAGAAATCCGTCGCCGATTCGCCTTTTTCGAGAAAGAGAATACAACCTTTACCGAGTAAGTTTGGCGTGTCCGATCGAGCCGCCGGAGCGAAACAGAATTTACCGTTTAATCAAACCACGAATAGAGCAGGGAAGGATGCGCCTACGACCTCTTCTTCTTCTTCTTCGGCGGGAGAGAGTAGTAGTTTCGCGGCGGCGGCGGCGGCGAGGAGTCCCTTCGATAACGTGTCGCCGCCGAAATCCTCGCCGCCGACGCCGCCGAAATCTCCATTCGCTGCTTCGTCAGCGGCGGCGAGCACTAGCACGCCATCCTCGCCGTTTGCGAAAGTTTCTTCTGCCACCAACGCGAGTGCATCTCCGATGGCGCCGATGAAGCCGGCTACAAAGGTGAAGAATCCATTCAACGAACCGGACGCGGCGACATACGGCGCGAAACCGATGAAGGTTGATAAACCGAAAGAAGTGAAATTCGAAATTCCTAAGGTGTCGTTTGGACAAATTTTCATCGTTTTATCGTTCACGACGATTATTGGATTGATGATTGGAACGTTTTGGGTCGTGTGGAACTCTGGAGGTATTCGTTTCAACGAGACGTAGAAGAGAGAAAAGAGAAGGATTTGCGTTTAGGAGTAGTCAACAATATAAAGATGTATTACAGTGATGATGATATCATGCCTTTCTCTCAAACAACAACTTTTTTTTCTCCCTCTCCCTCTCTCTTTCTTTCTTTGTCTCTGGTAGTGCACTTACTCAACTGTTTCCGAACGATTTCTTCGTCTTCTTCCGCTTCGCGGCTAACTCTTTCCAATATTTCGCGGTCGAACTCTGTATCGAGTCCAACAAGCCTTCATTTCTAAGCTCTTTAAGAATTTGCTCCGATCGAAGTCCCTCTTTTTTCGATCGTTTGTCTTCTTCTCCTTCTTCTCCTTCCTCTCCTTCATCGCCTTCTTCTTCTTCTTCTTCTTCTTCTTCTTCTCCATCTTCCTCTCTCCTCCTTTCTTTCGAGACGATCTCTTCGCCGGCGTACGAAAACGACCGCCCGGACTCGATTCTCGCGACGACGCTGTTGTTGTTATTATCCTTCTCTTCTTTTCCACCTTCTTCTTTATTTCCTTCCTTCTCCTCGCGTGGCGTAGATATGCTGAAAAGAGTAGTCGTGATACCAGGAGAGGCAACCTTAACCTTTCCTTTGTCTCTTTCTTCGTTTTCTTCTTCCTTCTCTCTTCTCAACTGTCTTTTCCTCTCTGCCATCTCCACCGTCGTCTTCTTCCTGATCATCGGTCTCGCGAAAGCATTCTCTTCGCTCGGTCGACCTTCTGTGCACGCGGTGAACGCCGAGCCGCACGAGGAGTTCTTCGATGGATTCTCCTCTTCTTCTTCTTCTTCTTCTTCTTCTTCTTCTTTATCTATATCTCTCCTCCTCCTTCTCCTCCTCCTCCTCTCGGAAGAAAAAGAAAGAGGCGCGAACCAGAGAGAAAACGGCAGACACCAACCGGGGAAGAAGAAGCACATGTTTTTCACGCCGCCAAAAGTCCTTCAGTCGTCGAGTCGTGAAATCGACCTCCGCGCGTTGTCGCTACAATAAGAGAGCAGCTACACGTCGTCGCATTTAAGTCGTGAGAAATGATGTGTGTGCTTTTTATGAATCGCGCGTATTTTTCAGAAATTTCGAAATTCAGAGATGAAAATTTCGATATTTTGGGGTCATTTTTTTTGGTTTACACAGCGGCCTCAAAAAAAAACGATTTCGATTGATTCTTTTTTTTTTCACCCCCTCGAAAACCAGAAGAATATATTCAAAAATGTCACAACAACACAAAGAGACGAATAGGAATACTTTGGTGAAGAACGGGTGGAAGAAGTCCTGAAAAGAGAGAAGAAGAAGTAGAAGACAACAAGAAGAAGGAGAAAAGCTCAATAAGTCTCCTTTTCAAATGTATCGTGACTGTGTACAAACGTACAAAAACGCGGTACGAAGACACGAGAGGGAAGCGGCGGAATTTGCAAAAGAAATCGCGCGCATCGTGTCTAACTCTGCTTCTGATACTTCTTTTAAGAAAGAGAAGAAGAAAGAGGGAGAAGACGAAGACAAAGAAGAAGAAGAAGAAGAAGAAGAAGGTTTCGTCCTCTCGCCTCGGTCGAGGAAGCTTTTACGCGTCGGTGTCGATGGTAATGGGAGAGGACGACAACAAAAACAACAACAACGAGAACACGAAGGAAAAAGATACGCAAGGGTGGGTGCTTCCCAAAGAGAGAGAGAAATAGAAATAGAAGAAGAAGAAGAAAAAGAAGAAGAAGAAAAGAACGAGCGAAGAAGAATGAGGAATAGGAAAAGAGATGGAACTTCGTCGTTATCGTTGCTCGGCTTAGCAGAGTTTACGTATTGCACTCGTTCGGCGCTTCTCGTCGCGGCGGCGAAGTTTTACGACTTGGGAGGCGGCGACTCAGATTTAACGGAAACGACGACAATGATAAATGGTACCAGTAGTAGTAGCAGCATTAGTAGTAATAAGAGCGATTTAGAGAGCATATTCGCCGTCGCGAGTGCGCACGCAGTGCTCGTGCTCATTTCAGACGTCTTGGCGCAGAAGAAGTACATCGAAAACGCCTTAGATGCGAGTGTGAGCGTGGTGTTGCGCGTATTCGCGCTTCTTTTGGGCACCGCGATGTGGTTTAGTATCGCTTTTCTATTCGGATCGAGCGTAATAGCGTCGAGCGAGAAGCAAAGAGCGACGGTGGCGTTTGCATATTTCATGTCCTCGTTAACCGTACTGCCAGGAACGCACGCGGCGTCGGCGCAAGCGTTGGTGCGAACGAGAAACACAAAGAAACAACAGCAATGGCAACAAAACCGGAGGAGAACCGCTGCGACATCGATGACGACGGTTGAAGCGATATTCATGCCAGCATTGCGTGTTATCGCGTTTGTGAAGCTCGCGCAAAGAGATTATCTTCGTGTCGTCTTAGATAGAAGATTCAGAAGCGATTTTGACGTGTTCTTCCGAGCGACAGTTATTGGCTCCGTCCTGTTCGCTTGGATGGGAGGATTACTCGCGCCTTTAGATTGGAGCACTGTATGGCACAAATACCCCACACTTTCCGTGCGTTTAGCGATAATTGGGCACATTCTAGGAACTGTACTGACGGCTGTCTTCGCTTGGCTCGATAGAACTCTACCGGAGAAGATGAAGTAACAACAGAAACGGGTGAGGAAGTACCGTGAAATAATTTGAGTTGACAATACGCTACGAAGGTCTGAACCCATAATTATCCATCGCGCCACCTTTATCCCCTTCCTCTAACTTCTTCCTTAACTTTTCCGCTTTCGTTTGGTCCCCGATATTCAAAGCGTAGTTCAACTCTTCCTTCAACATTTGTTGCTCTTTATACGACTGCAAGTCCCCGGAAACTTTCATCTTGTTCAACAGCGCTTTCCGCTGTTGCTCTTTCAAATTTTGCCTTTCGGTTTCCAACTCGCGTTTCCGCCGTTCCTCGTCGTTTTCAAACGCGAACGCACCCGCGCCCACGTCGTCGATGATATCGTCGTCTTCCTCGTCTTGCTTTCTTTTCTTCTTCTCTTTCCGTTTCTTCTTTTCTTTCTTCTTCTTCTTCTTCTCTCTCCGTTTCTTTTCCTTCTTGTCTTTTTTGCGTTTGCGTTTCTTTCCGCCGCTACTGCTGCTGCTACTGCTGCTACTGCTACTGCTTTCGCTTTCGCTCTCGCTGCTCGACTCCGAGGAAGCGTCGTCTTCATCGTCTTCGTCGTCTTCTCCTCCTCCCTCTCTTTGTTCTCCTGCTTCTTCCGAGAGTAAAAACTGCTCCAAAATCGCCTTTGATTTCTCCACGTCCCACCCCGTCTTTTCCAACGCAATCGCCATCGTTTCTCGTCTCAAAGTCGTCACTATTCTACTCGTCGTCGTCGTCGTCGTCTTTGCTTTCTTTGCTTTCTTTGCTTTCTTATTCTTCTTATTTACCGCCAAAACTCTCTTCTTTCTCCGCTCTAAAAACCAACTCGCTAAAGCGGTTAAACACTCCAATTCTTTCTTATTCTTCGTCTCTTGGACGTGCTTTTCCATCATGGACATGGCTGTCGCGTTCGTTTCGGTGAGAGAAGTTCCATCCGATCGACTGTAGAGAGTGCTGGAAGCAAGAGGAGGAGGAGGAGGAGGGGCCTGAGACATTTTTGTTTGTGTTCGTCGCGTCTGAATCGTCGTCGTTGAATTATTATTGTATGGTAAAATGTAAATGAGGAAAAATGTATGTGCTCGCACTGTACTCGTATACGAAAGAAAGCACAAGCGCACAACGATGAACACAACGATGAATAATGAAATGCGAGGAGAGGAAGAACGCGAGAGGCAAATCTATTTCAGAATAACTCATTTATCAGTCAACCCCTACGGCTAATTTGAAACTCTCGTAGCAGTAGTACCCCAACGCCGCGCTTGGCAAGACCTGTAACACAGACGGCGCTAATCCGGCGTACAAACCTCGAAAACCATTCTCTCGCAACACTTTTTGGGTGACTTCTAACATCATTTTGAGCTCCTTCGATCCAAATATATCTTTAGCGACGACGCGACCGGTGTTCATTTGAATGCGGCGCCTGGCGACTTCTAGCGGAAAGGTAAAAGATTCGGAGGCTATTCCGGCAACCATGCCGAAGAGCATCATGTATTGCGGTTCGATGGTTTTCTTGTTATTGAGTTCTCCCGTGGTGTTATCTTTTTTACCACTCCCTCTGTTGTTGTTGTTGTTGTTGTTCTTTTTCTTCCTTCTATTCGCTTTTTCCTCTCCTTCGCGTTTCATTTGCGTCAAGCGATACTGTTTCAAACTGTTATACACGGAATAATACACGGCGGCGTTGGGCGTCATTTGCGCCATGGCTGGTAATATTCCTCTATAAAAACTCGCCAACCCTTCCTCTTTGTACAACATCCGAACGCACGAAAGGATATTCTTATACTTTTGCGTCCCGCCTCGGACGACCAATCTTGTGCGGACGACGTCCATCGGGTAACAAATAGTCACCGCGGTACCGCACGCAAACGCGCCGGATAAAAACAAAGAAACCTCATCCGCCACGGTATTTTCCTTGACATCGAACGTCTTCGTGATTGCCGTTCGAACCGTATCGAACGCACTAAAATTAATCGCCTTGAATGGCGCCGTTCTCACGATATTCACCAAGTTACCCTTCCAAAACCCAATCACGCCTTCGTTTTTAAACACAATCTTAGAAGTTACGAACAAAGCTTCTTTGGAGTTGTTAAAGAGATACTCTGTTTTCAACCTTTCCAGCGGCGCTAACAGCGTCCGCACGCATATCGTCGACATCGTCCCTGCCAATAAGCGTCGATTAATCTCCTCTCTCTGCGTGAGTTCTTTCGTGCTAGAAGAAGAAGAAGAAGTAGTAGTAGTAGTAGTAGTGCTTTTCGTCGTTATCGCCTTACTCTTCTTCTTCCTCGATGTTGTCGTCTTCGTCGACGACGAGGAAGAAGAAGAAGAAGAAGAAGAAGAAGAAGAAGAAGCTCTGCTTCCGCTCTTCCCTCTGTTACTACTCTTGCTCGTACTGCTGCTACGTTCGCTACTCTTACTGTCTGCTGCACCGCCTTTTCCCCATCCTTCTCCTAAAGCTCTCATCGAACGCCAGGACTTTTGCAAAGCTTCTCGTCCTCCTTCTCGGCTGGCGACAGACGCCGCCGCTAAAAAGAAAGGCGCGCTGTTTCTGTTCTTTTTCTTCTCACTCGTCGTACTCCCGTCATATATGTCAGTGCTCGTTTTCACTTTTGCATCGTCCAACCTTCTTCTCCGTCGTCTCTGTGACTCCCCAATTTGTTCTTTGTTGTTTAAAAGAGGAAGAGTAGAAGAAGATTGTCTTTCTCGTGTACGTTGGTGGTGTTCGGAAAAGGGGCTCGTGGGTAATTTCCATCCTCGAAGAAGGGCCGTTGTTTTCGTCGTCGTTTTCATCGTTGCCGGTGGTTTTTTCGTCGTCGTCGTCGTCGTTCGTCTCCTCCTCGTCGTCTCTCGTTGTTGTTGTTGTTGTTGTTGTTGTTGCTGTTCTCCTCCTCTTCCACCAGGGAAGAACATCAGGAAAGGAGGAGGAAATGACTTCTTTGTTGTCTTCTTCTTCTTTCCGTCGTCTGAAGTCTGAATCGTCTTCTCGTTCGTATTGCTTTTTTTGACGCAAAACTGATTTTGAGCAGACAGAGTTTCGAAGCGAAAAAAAAAAAAACTCGTGTAAACAGTACGAGTAGATGCACAAAATGATGAGTATATTCGCTATATGGTCATTATTATTACTATATGGTCATTATTATTATTATTATATTTTACGATGAGTACATGCACCAGCATACGATCGTACTTAGCGTTCTCGCACCACCATTGATGGTATCGCCCGCTCGCATGCAATGTACGGGGTGGTACTTTTACTACTACGACCCGTACGCGGTGAGGCACTCGTCGCCGCACGCTTGGTCTTCGTACAAGCACTGGTTAAAGTCACCTACTGTAATACCCGTGGGCGCGTACTGGCTGCATTGCGCCGTGGCACCAGCTAACAAGTTTTTATATGCGCTCATTTGTTCGCTGAAATCGGGGATTTGGGAAATGTGTCCGTTTAACCGTTGATTTGCCTGATCGATCAAAGCGTAGTCTCTCGAAGCGCTCAACGCGTTCTTCACCTTCGCCAACGTGGCCGCTGACAACCCCCCGCCTCCCCACGTATAATCGTTCTCCTTCGCTCGTAAATACAGTAAATCCGAGTTCGATAAGCCTAACATGTTCTTCAAAACTATCATGCTCTCGTCGAACCTCTCCAAAACGACGACGTGATCGTATAAATTGACAACCCCGGCGGGTGACCATTTGTTATCGCACGCTTTTTGACTCCCAATGTAATCGTATTGGTGATCAATCGACGTTTGCATGTTCAAAAATGTAAGCAACCTCGACTCCCACTCCTCATTCGTCACCGGCATTGGCAGCAACTCGTCTGGCACTCGATAATCTTTATCGTGTGATTCCTTCGCGTCCATGACGTATTGAAACTCGGAAATAAATCTGCTCACGGGATCTCGTATGCTCGTGAGTAAAAACGTTGGATGGTCCAACTTACTCAAAGTTCCTTCGGTTTGCTTGAACATCCTATGGTCTGCGTATACATACGGCTCTTGTTTATCGTCGATCTCCGTGCTTCCGTTTTGGTTGTATCCGGTGCGCGCGCCGTTCAACCCGTGTCTGTTCGCGATTCTTCTACATAAACCAGCTATTGTCGTGCTCCCGGTTTTAATCGTTTTTACGAAGAGAATGTTGATCCCAGGTGTTCCGCCCACAGTTTCTCCGTTCCATCTGCGCCAGTTGGACATTCCCAGTTTTGGTACGAAAGAAGAAGCACCAAGAGATTCATCACTATTATTATTATTAATAATAAATGACGACGACGCTGACACGGACGAGTAATGATTCGCAGCAGCAGCGCATCCAAAAACGGCGGCCGCGACGAAACACAAACCCAAAAACACCGTCTTCTTCTTTACCCAATCGTTTTCTCTTCTTCTTCTTCCGCTCGCGAGAAGCTCTTCGTCGTCGTTTACGTCGTCTCCCTCCTTCTCGTGTGTGATATCCCATTCTCCTTCTCTTCTCCGCGGCGCTTCTTCATGACCACCGAAAATGATGGCGCCGTATTCAGTGTTGGTACTTTCCTTCTTACCAGATGATGATGATGGTCCACCACCACCAGTACTGCTACCAAACATCCTCCTCAAAATTGGGTCAATTGAGGGGACGCAGAAATTTGCTCGATGATGATGTCTTCTTCTTCTTGCGCAAACGGATGATGATGCAAGAGAATGACGCGCGATTTCTTTTTATGTTTGTTCTTTTTTGTAAAAGGGTGTTAAAAAAGCAAGAAAGCATTATTGTGTTGTGCAAAGCCAAAAAAATAAAAAAATAAAAAAAGGGCGAAGCTCTGTCAGTCTGTCCTCGAGAAGAAGAAGACAAAGAGAAGAAGACACAAAGAAGAAGTTTTTTTGGACTGATTTTCACCACAAACCAAGTGCACACAAACCACACATTTCTTATATTCATTCTGCTTGGGTGAGGACACTTTTTGAACACACACACACGCAACAAAAAAGAGAGCGCTCTTCTTCTTACTTGCGGCTGAGTGAACGACAAAGAGAACAACAACAACGACAAAGAGAACAACAAGATCTCTCTCGCATCATCATGCGCGTTGTGGGAGTGGGAGTCGGATCAGCACCACCGGTATCTTCTTCTTCTTCTTTGTCTTTGTCTTCTTTAGTTACGTCGAGAAGAAATTTTGCCGTCGTCGTCGACGCCCAAACGAAAAGAAGAAGAAGAAGAAGAAGAAGAAGAGGAGAAGGAAGTGCGACGACAACGACCACAAAAGCGAGCGCGTCCGCGATGAACGGTGGCGGTGCCAGCTTTGCGACGTCGTCTTTTTCTTCTTCTTCTTCTTTTGAAGGAGGAGGAGGAGATCGACGAAAGGGTGGGCGTTTGCTTCGAGAAAGAAATACGACGAACGCAACAAAACAGAAAACGAGAATAAAAATAAAAGCACAAGTGGGACGAAATTTCAAACGCCACGAATTCGAAATAGAACGACAAATAGGAGAAGGATCGTTCGGGATCGTCTACCAGGCAATCTGGAGAGGGAAAGAGAGAGTGGTATTGAAGAGACCAAAACTAAACGTAGAAGGCGCGGCAGAGCTTCAAGAGATTGAGAATTGGATGAACGGTCGCGTTTCTCGAGACGCGAAAGGGGCGTGCGCGGAGTTTTTAGGCAGCTATCGAGTGACGTACGACGAGTGGAAAAAGTTGATGGATACGAATCAAATGAACGATTTAACCGCGAAAGAAGGGTTGTGGTTGGTGTGGAAGTATCAAGGCGATCGGACGTTGGCGCAGTTTATGGCACAGTCGGATTATCCCTCCGGATTGGCGAAGAACCTTTTGAAGAGAAAAGGCGTGCGCAAAGGAGACGCGGCGTGCGAACTGGAGATTGCGCAGAAAGTCATGAAACAGTTACTCACGAATTTAGCGACCATGCACAGCGCTGGTTTAGTCCATCGAGATATAAAGCCGCACAATCTCGTGTTGGCGGATTGCGAAGCGTACGACGAGAAAAACAGAGGGAAAAACGTTTTGGAAGGCACGGGGAAATTTCTCAGCGAAAGTTTATCCTCGATTAGAAGAGGCGGGAGTAAAGGTTCAGGAAGAGAAGGAGGAGAAGAAAATGGCGGTGGCGCTATGTACGAGAGGAAAGTGAAGGATTATGTCATGATGGAAGAACCGGAGTTTAAGCTCATCGATTTAGGCGCGTGTGCGTGCTTTCGCACGGGCACAAACTTTGCCCCAGATGAAACCATCATGGATCCAAAGTACGCGCCACCGGAAGAGTTTTTGATTCCGACCGAAGACGCTCCAGATTTACGCAAGTTGCTTGGTCCTCTCGCGTACGCCGCGGGTAGCGCGGCGTGGGTAAAGTACTTACCCGATCGATTTGATTCGTACTCCGCGGGCGTTATCCTCATGCAGTTGGCGTTGCCAAGTTTACGAACCAATCGAGGCTTGTCGAGCTTCAACCGAGGATTGAAAAAGTGCGATTACGATTTGGATTTGTGGAGAACACAAAATAAAGGACAGCTCGGGCGATCGAAGACGGCTCTTTTAGACGCCGGGGGCGATGCTGGTTGGAAATTAGCCGCCGAACTCTTGAAAGGGCGTCCGTACTGGTTGGAGAAGAAAACGGCGAAAAGCGGCGAACAGCTGCTGAGCAATAACAATGATAACACGGATAGACCGTCGGCTTTAGACTGTTTAAAATACGATTTTTTCAGCGTCGATCCAGCTGAATTAGAAGTTAAACAGGGCGGAGCCGCTAAGATTGGTGAGAGTATCGGCCAATCGTTGGACAAATCGAGAGAGATTCTTTCGGACATGTTTGGTTTGCAGAAACGCATCGAGCGACAACAAACGAGCATTAAGAGGCAGTTGGGCACTGTGCAAAGATTAAAAGCGAAAGGTGCGCCTATCGATCAAATCGAAAAAGAAGAAGCCGTCCTCGAGAAAATGCAAGCTGGTTTGCAAGGTTTGTTCAGATCGCTCCAGTTCAAAGACACGCAAGTCCGAACGGAAATCATCCTCGCTGCGAGCTCCTTCAAGCAACAAGCGAAGAAAGAAAACGTCGACACTACCGAATCTTTTGACCGATCCATGATTAGTCTGAAAACGAGAGAAGTGCTTGAAAAGGACATTACTAAGTTTGCGAAGAATTTGAGTAAACAAGCGGGGAGGATAGGGGACGCCGCGACTGGAGCCGTTTTGAAAATACTCAAATCGCGAGACGATAGTGATGAAGTCTCGTCCTCGTCGGATGAAGATGACGCTTCTGAGACTACCGATAGCGCTATTAACGATGTCTCTGATGTAAACAAAGTTGAAGCAGACGAGAGTAACAAGACAAACAAAGGCGTAGGCATGCTCTCCTCTTTGCTCTATGGCGTCGGAAAGAATTTAAAGAAACCGAGCGTGAAGAAAGAAAACGAAACGGTCGTGTTTAAACCGGATAACTCGATCGCAAAGATTATCGACAAAAGGAATGCCACTAACGATGATAGAAGTGTCGGTGACGACACCGACTTTGTCGTTTCTGATACCAAATTTATCCGCGCGAACATGGAAGTCATCGAAGCGGAAATGAATACCGTCATGCAAGAGCTCGCCAAGTTGGACACGCAACTCGGCCTTCGAGAAATCGAAGAAGAAACCGAAGGTGACTTCGGAATCGTCGAGGAAGAAGAAGAAAAAGAAGATGATGATAATGGCATGGACGGCAGCATGGATGAAGACACGCAAAACTTCAAGCGCATGCGATGATCGGAAATGCACGTATCGTCATCCTCGGTCTGTTTTAAATGAAAACGAAAAACTGCTGTAAAATACATACAACTTCTGCGCTTAAAAATCGATTTTTGGCCACATCTTTCTTTGCGTTAACTTCGTTAAAATTTCGATTTACTCGCTTATTTCTTCTTGGAACACACCGTTGGAGTAGGATATTTTCTCCACAGTGTAATAAATTAAACAGACGAAGAAGAAGAAGGAAGAAGAAAAGCAGTTTTGACGAGGAGGAGAGCAGCGCGTCGTCGTCGTCATCGATGACGCCAACGAGAGATAATGCCCACGATCCTGCTAATAACAAGATGAAGATGAAGACGGTCCGTGGGAACTCCGTGAAAAAAAAGGTGGGAGCGCTAAAGGAAAAACTGAACAGCGTCCAAGTGGAGGACTATAACGAGCTCAATTTTGTTGTCAACGATAACTTTGAAGAAGAAGAAGAAGAAGAAGAAGAAGAAGAAGAAGAAGAAGAAGAAGAAGGGAACAGAAACAAAGACGCGAAGAAGTCCTCGTCGTTCGCATCTTTTGGCCCGGGCGTTTTAATCAAGCAGATGAGCAAGAGAGCATCCTCAATCAACCCAGCCTCGGTGTCGAGAGATTTAGAGGTCAAGATATTCGAGTGCGAGAAGCTGTATAAAAAATACGAAGCGAAACGGTTGTCGCGATCGAGATCGAAGAAAGCCGGGGGCGGGACGGTGGATCCAGTCGTATCCGTGCACGTGAAGAAGAAGGATGGGAGCGAGTACGTTGGAGTGACGAGACCTATTTTGAATACGGTGGATCCTGTGTGGAACGCCGGAGAGGGCGAGTCGTTCTCATTTCCAATATTCAGCGAACAAGTAGAAGAGGAAGAAGAGAGGAGAGGGATGTTTGCCTCGTTTTCACCGAAAAAAAAGAAGAAAATTTTGAAGAAGACGAAAGGAAAGGATATAGACGACGGTGGTAAAAGCGAGGAAAACGGTGCTGCTCCCAAGGTGGAGAGTGGGAGCGATGATGATAATGATGGTTCTTGGTGTTCGAAGGAAATTGTCTTTAAGATTTGGGATTTGAAAGGCCCGTCTGAAATTGATTCTAAGAAATCGCTCATTGGGACGTGTGCGGTACCCATCGAGCTGTGCCCGCTCGATGGACATTGGAGAGAAATCACTTTGGAAGTGGAGCCAGCCGGGTCGCTCGACTCTTTACGATCGCGCGAAGGTTTGACCCAAAACGCGAAGAAAAAAGAGTTGAAAAAAATGATGTCCAAAAAACGGATGGAGAAAAACAAAGAAGGCGGTGGCGAAGGTACTCTGAAGATGGCGTTTAGACGGCCGCCAAAACTGTTGCCAGCGCTCGGTGTGAATGGAAACTGGCACGCTTTGCAAGTGAACGAGGGGAGCGAAGATCCGTTGGAGCCTTGGATCGCAGGTCGGTCGGCGGCAAGACACGGCGCGACATCGTCTACATTCGTTGAGAGGAAACAAGATCAGAATCTCAGCTTATCGGCGAAAGAAAGAAAACTCGACGAGCGATTGAAGAAAAGTTTTAAATCGTTCACCCCGGCCGAACGAAGTGCGATGCAAAACGAGAGACGAGGTCGATACTACGTTCACGTTATGGAAGCTTCGAACATTACGCCAATGGATGGATGGTCGGGATCTGATGCGTACGTTAAAATTGGAGGTGATTCTATGCCGGCCAAAGAGAGATACAAAACGAAAGTTAAAAATGACACGTGCTTTCCTCGTTGGGACGAGAGGTATCTCGTTGATCTCACCAGTAATGATTCGGCGCTCGTGTTTACCGTGTTCGATCGCGATTTTGGGAATGCGGATGACTTCTGTGGCGCATGCGGTATTCCATTGGAATGTTTACCGCAAGATGGCTCGTACCGAACGTTTAATTTACCGCTAGGAACGAGAATCAGTCCACGAAGTGCCGGCGAAGAGGTTGTTTTTGAAGATTATGAACGTCGACTGGACGTTGGATTTTTAAAAGTTTCCGTGGCGAGAATGATGGAACCTTTGGAAACGCAAAATAAAATTTTAGACGCGTGTGGAGGATTCGGTTCTATAACATTGGAGGATTCAGGAAATTTGACAAAGTACGCGCGGAGATGTCACGTCAGAGTGTTGGCAGGGAGATATTTGTTACCGGTTGGAAATACGAGTAAAGATTTGTGTGATCCCAGCGTTACCCTCCAAGTCGATAACGCGCCAAAGTTTGAGCGCTTTGCAACATCCGTGGTATACGATACATCCACACCTGTTTGGAACGAAGGTTTAGGAGAAACGTTTACACTTCTCGTTAGACCTGGGGCGAAAGAATTGATTTTGTGTTGCGTCGACAGAAACTTTTCCGGACAAGTTGAAATGGGAAGAGGACACGTCAATTTATTAAACGTCGAGGCGAATGGAGATTGGACGAGCTCGGAAGTTGCAATATATCGACCAGATCCGAAAGATCGAGAAATGATGATTCCATCAGGTTTAGTTTCTGTTCAGATATCTTTCTCGCGTCCTCCGTTTGCGGAAATTATGGAACCACCCGTCATCGACGCGGATAAAAAGATGCTCAACGTTCACGATCCTTCGTTGTATCTCTACGTTCAAATTTTACGGATTCGTAACATAGCACTTCCAGCGTACCGTAAATCTACGGACGTGTACGTCAACTTGACGACAAACACAAACTTACTACCAGTCAAGGGTAGAGTGCAGGAAGATATCAAGTCTACTGCTGAATTTGATACGGAAGTTTTCTCGTTACCGATGAATCCAATGACCACGAGTTTTCGCGTTCGCGTAGTCGCTGAACTAAAGAGCGTATACTTTGGCGTCGCGCTCGTAAAAGCTTGGAAGCAGTTTCAAAAATATCTCTACGGGAAAGATGGAGCTGATGATGGTGGTATGAGTTTTATCGATGAAGACGGGGACGGAGAACTCGACGATCCAGATGAAGCGCTCACGATAAAAGCGGAAGATTTCTTTGCGTTGAAGAAATTTTACGTCGGCGGCACCAAAATCGGTGAATTTACGGTCAACACCTCCGGTTTAGCTATTGGTGAAATGAGAAAGACGTGGGCAAAATTGGTACCGTTGAAAAATACCACAGTGTACGGCTTTTTGAATAAAGCTGGAAAACAACTCGGTCACGCTGAAGTCGCGTACTCCATCGGCCGTCGATCGCTTCCACCCGCAGATTTAGAGAACACTTTTGGAGCGGCTCGTCCGAGAATTGGGAATTTAAGCATTCAAATCAAATCTGTTATCGGCGGTGTCTTAAATTCGGGGAACCCAGTCAAGGATATGCACTACAAACAGAATGTACTCAAGAATGCGAATGAAAAAGATGAAGGCTTACTTGGAACGCACATCTCGTGCGCAGTCATTTTGGAGAGCTTCGAAGAAAACTTCCGGACGGCCTTCGAGTCTGCCACCTTTCCTGTCACCGAAATCATGGGTGAAATTCGCGTCGTTTTGTTCGCGAGAGATCCCGTGACGACTGCATTTACCAAGCCGGTTGGCGTCGCGTGCGTCCCGCTCTCAAATATTTTGGCGAGTGAAAATCACGAACTCGACGTGTGGGCTAACGTCATCCCAACGGACGAAGATGGTCTCTCTGCACAAGATTTAGTCGATGTGGAACGTGAAATGTTCATGCGCGAGAGGAACAAGAAAACAGCGACGAAGAAATGGCAAGGATATTGCCGCATCGTGTTGAAATTTACTCCGATGATAAAGAAGAGTTCTTGGTATTTGCGTCAAATGCCGTTGGAAAGACCGAAAGAAAAACCAGAGGATACAGTAATTGGCATCATAAATGCTTTATCTCGATTAACTATTGCCATTCTCGGCTTTCCACACATTGTCATGCAATCGTTCGCGTGGTTATCTCTTTGGCCGTTGAGAGAAACCTTCGCGTTGAGGTTGTATTTTGCATTTTTTTACACCGTGTTGTGCTTTTATCTTAGAGGAGATATTTTGGGTGCATTTTTACCCCTCTTGTGCGTTGTGGGTCTTTTATTCCTCGGTTACACGTCGCGAATTGTGGAGGATAAAGACGACGCGCCAGTATCGTGCTTTGGAATTAATGAGGACGGTTCAGAGAAGGAAATCTTACGAGCGCAGGTCATCGACGAGTTTGCGAAGACGAAAGCGATTGAAAAAGAAATCGACGAAGAGATTGAGGATTTGTACGAATATTCGAGATTAGTACACATGGGGAAATCACACAAAGAAGCGTCGAGAGTCGTCGGGAATAAAGCCGCAAAAAGAATCAAGGCTGACCGTGAAAACGCCGAGCTCTCCGGTAACAATCCGGTCCAGAAATTACGAAACGTGATAAAATCGCTTTCGTCGAAATCGAATCCAATGGACGCCGTTTTGAAAATCGTCAAAAAATTGTTGGCGTTTTGCATAAACGTGGTGAAGACAATCACTAAAACGGCAATGTCGCTCGATCAAGTTCAGGCGCCGAAAATTTTATCCGGTCCGTGTTTGGCGGTTATCGTGCCTTTGGATTTAATTTCGCAGCCTTTGGAGAGAATTATTGGCGTTTTCGATTGGAGAGATGATAATTTGTCGCATTATTCGGCAATATTGATGATATCGATTGCGATTATTTGCGGCATTGCGTTGAAAATCGCGCTTGAGATCCGATACTACATGGATTTATACTCACCAGTGCGATTGTGGTTCTTCGTCTGGTTTTTCGGCGTTGTCTTTTTAATCCCGCAAGTCTCTAAAGCGTGTTTGTTCCCAATCGTCGTCTTGTACGAACATTCAATTCAGTACAACATCTCCGCGAGTGGTATTCATGTCCCGGCGGTGTGTTTGCGTTCAATTCAAGAGGTTGATAAGTTGACAAAGGGCAGAGTCGCGAAATTATTCGAAGGGACCGCTGAAGAACGCGAGAAAGCTCGAGACGACCTTTTCCAAAACAGGAAGAAAAAATACTTGGCGGCGAAAGCGGCGGAACTCAAGAAGAGAAGGATGAAATCGACTGCCGCTCTTAAAGGATTTTCCTCGAATCCAGCGTCATTTTTTGGTATTTTGATGGGTCGTTCGCTCACGGCGAAGCAAGAGTTGCACCGATCGAGGCTTGAAAAATTGTTCGTCAAGAATCCAAATGCTCTGGCTGCGGCGGCGATGAAGACGAAAGAGGGTGGAATGGAAGAAGAGTTCATGGAGAAGCCGGACTTTGTGAAGATAGCGGACATCAAGATAAAATCAACGGCGTCGAAAGGTGCCATATTCTTACTATATTTGCCGAAGTTGATTGTCTCAAACGCCGTGGCAATTCCTCGCCGAATAATTTTGTCGCCGATGGTGATTTACGCGGCTTTAGAAAAGGTTGTTCCGTCGAAGCAGCAAGTGAAGGCAAACTTCAAAAAGATGTTTGCCCCCATGTCCAAAGACGAAAAGAAGGTCAAGGGTATCGGTAAGGTGAGAAATCCGCGCATTTTAAAGAATGGCGAGGTGATTACGCAGGACGTTTTGAGAAAACAAGTCGCCGAGCGACGAGCTTCGAGGAAGCGAATCAAATCGGAAGCGGCCAAGTCTTTGAAGTCTAACTCTCGAGCTAACTCGAGTAAATAAATAGTTTACAAGTAATAATACACATCAGCGCACGCGCGCGATAAATAATACCTCTCTCTCTCATTCCATTTACCGATCTTCGTCGAACGATGAAAACCAGGCACCGACGCCGGATTTATGCCGTCGCCACATTCCAACCACGTCCCCCGGGCAACTCACTTCATACTCCTTACTGTTCGATTTCGCATTAGCCAAGACGTCTCTTTCGTCCTCGCTCACCGTGAACCTTCGCGCGGAATCCCAAATTAAAGCCGCGTCTGCGTTTTCTAATAACTTCAGTCTCGCAATCGGCCGCTTCTGCGCCGCTAATCGAACGGTGTCTAAATACGCACTCCAACTTATTTGATTAAGCGAATCTTTTCGTCTTTTTTCTCCTCCTCCTCCTCCTCCTCCTCCTAAACGTCTGAAAGAGGTCTTCTTCTTTCTAGAAGACGACGAGACTAAATTTCTCATCTTTTTCGACGAGTTGTCCACAAAGTTGCCAATCAACACCACGCAAACGTCCATCGAGATCGCGTAATCTAGCGGTAACTTCAAATCGCGATCGTTCGTAACGACGATAGCCACGTGTTTTCTATTCTTTACAATCTGACGTAATTTCGTTTCGTCTGGCGAGCACTTTTCCTCCAAGCACGTGGCGTGAATCTTTTCTCCTTCCAGTTTGAGCAATTCCTGCTTCGCCATGGCCAAGTTTCTATATTCTCTTCTGGTTTGCTCGCAAAAGGAAACGTGTTTAAGTTCCGGGTCGCACGACGGAAAAGTTGTATCGTATTCATCATCTTCATCGTTATCTTCATTGATGTCGTCGTTTACGTCGTCGGAGGTAAGAAAGCATGCCTCTTCTGCCCGCCTGGTAATAAACGCCGGCACGTCTTGAATCTTCTTCCCTTGACTCTCGTTCGCGAATTCCATCAAACGTCTCCCCAACCTCAAATCCGCGGCGTCCGGCCCGTCCAGGTAAAACTCCGTTTTCAAATTTAACCTCTCGAACGTTCTTTTAAATCCTTTTATTACTTTCGTCGAAGTATCGTCCTCGTTTTCGTCCTTATTTTTAGTATCATCTTCGTTATCGTTATCGTCTGAATCGTCTGAATTGTTACAACATTCGCTCAAGTCTCGACTCGTTTGCATTCCAGCGAACGCTCGAAAAGCGACAACTCGACCAAATTTCTCCCCCGCTTTTTTTATTCTCTTTGCGTTTATGGCGAATCGTTCGCACGTCGTCCCCGGGTTCACGTTGTCCAGATCCCAAAGAATGATTACTTTTCTCACTTCTTCTTCTTCTTTTCGTCGTGGTAAAAAGAACCTTTGGTCCTTCTCTTCTTCCGTGGTTTTAGACGACGACGGTGATGAAATCTTACCGTTATTCTTCAGGGGGGCGGCGCTTTCCCCTCGCGGAACAGAAGAAGAAGAAGAAGAAGAAGAAGAAGAAGAAGAAGAAGAAGAAAGAGAAGAAGAAGAGAGAGAAGATCGAAAACCCACCAAAAGTCTTCCGTTCCTAAAACCCCTTTTAGGAGTCTTTTTATTAATCGTCGACTCGCAGGAGGAGAGAGTGAGAGAAGGAAGGCGCGTTGACCCCGCTAAGGGGGCGGACATGAATGAGATGGTTTTTTCTCAGAAAAGGGGGGGTCAAATTGGAAGAATTCTGAAGAAAAAAAGATATTTTTCTACTGAAAAGTATGTTTGAGTATGTTTGAGTATGTTTGAGGGGGATGTTCTAAAACAAAGTCCTAGAGGTATTCTATCTAAACTATCTACGTATCTATCTATCTACCTACCTAACACACACACAAACTCTCTCTCTCTCTCTCTTTCTCCATCACTACTGTTCTTCTTCTTCTTCTTCTTCTTCTTCTTCTTCTGCAAAAAGGAGTTGTTTCTCGAGCGCTTTCGCTTTCGTCTCGGCCAAGTCCATCTTCTCTTCCGCCTCGGTGCACCTCAATACGGCATCGTCGACGATTTCTTTCGCCACGAGAGCTTCTTTCATCAATTTCTCGTTGAATAATTCCTCGTTCTTTTCGATGGTGAGTTCTTTTTGGATCAAGATTTCGTCTTGCACGTCGATATCTTTTTTTAAACCTTCGATGACTTTTCGCTTGTCCTCGAGTTCGTCTTTTAATTCTCGCGAGGACGTTTCGAGGAGGAGAAGTTTCGAGGTGCACTCGTTCAGCTCGTGGCGCACAGATTCGACTTTCCGTTCCTCGGTGCGTAAGCGGTCTTCCAAGACTTGCTTCTCGCGTTCGGAACTTTTGAGATTTTCGAGATGTTGAGCGGCTTCGTTTTCCGCTTGCGCGGTGGCGGATAAAAGTTGCTCTTCCGCATCTATTGCCCTTTTTTGGTACTCTTTGAGGAGACGAACATGTTGCTGCTGCCGTTCTTCGAGCTCCTTTCCATCTTCGACTCCTCCTCCTGCTGCTGCTACCGTTGCTGCCGCGCTTTCTACAAAATATTCCTCTTGTTCCACTAAAAGCCTTTGCGCTTCCTCCAAACGCCGCTCGAGTTTCTCGCGCTCGCGTTGCGCGTTTGCAAACGCCACCATCGCGCTCGCGCCGCGCTCGCGAGTGAACTTCTCTAGAACATCGTACTCTTTTTTCATTTGCGTTAAATCTTCCTGAAAATATTTCTTTTCGTTTTCAGAATACGTAAACTTGCGCTCCATATCTTTCGCGAACGACTCCACGGATTGAATCGCCTCGTCGGCTTCTTTCAACATTTTCGTGAGATTTTCAACCTCTTTCGCTTTCTTAACCATCATCTCTTTGTGAAACGGATTGTTTCGGACGTCGTCGTTGTCGTCGTTATTGTCGTCATTTGTGGCGGCTTTTGTTTTCTCTTCTTCTGCTTCTTCTTTTCCTCCTCCTCCTCCTCCTCCTCCTCCTCCTCCTCCTCCTTTGCCTTTCTCTTCTTTCGTCGTCGTCGTCGCGTTTCCGTTGCTGTTGCTACTGCTCTTCCCGTTATCATCATCGCGATCTCTCTTCTCCTTTTTCTCCTTCAACGTCTTCGCCTCTTCTTTCCAATCTTCAATCTCTTTCTTGCACCTCTCGTTCTCCCTCTCTAATGCCTCGGTGCGGTTTCGTAAACTTTTCTTCTCCTCCTCCTCTTTCGCCTTCATCGATAAAGACACGCGCTCGATTTCCTCCCGCTTCCTCCGCGCGTCGTTAAGTTCGTTCAATAAATTTTCACGCTCTGACATCATCTCTTCGATTCGTTTCTCGTGCGCTTTTGAAAGTTTCTCTTCTAAGTTTTTTTGTTCTTGCATGTTCTTGTTTTTAATGTTGTTGTTGTCGTCGTTCGCGCGTTCTTTAAACAGTCGCAGCGTCGCGATTTCCTCGATGAGTTCCTCTTTAATCTCCAATTGCGCTTCCCGTTCTATAATTTCTGTCTTTCTTCTTCTCTCTTTTGTTGTTTTATTATCACCGAGAGTTTTGTCCTCTTCTGTCTCTGTCTCTGTCGTCTGAATCGTCAACGCGTTGTCGTTGTTGTTGTTGTTGTTGTTGTTGTTGTTGTTGTTGTTGTTTACGTAAGAATCGTGTAAAGCTTCTTCTGTTCTCGTAACACCAAAATTTGTCTTCGATGCGTCATCGTTCCTGTTAAAGACTCTCTCCGTCTCTGACGCACCGCTGATGCTGACGCCATTCGTTAAATCATTTTGAGAGAGATCATCTTTTAGAACTCCTTTTTTTAGAAATCCTCCTCCTTTATTCTTGTTCTTGTTGTTGTCGTTCTCGTCGTTCTTTTTCTTCCTCGTCGTTCGAAAACCCACCATATTGGTATTCGATTTATGTGCTCTACTTCTCTACTAAATGTTCTCTTCGTTATTTATTTTATATGGTGGATGGATGATTTGGTGCTTTTTTTTTTCTTCTTTCCTCGTTCTTTCCTCCTCCTCTCTCCTCCTCCTAAAAGAAAAAATTTTCTCTCCTCTCTCTCTCTCTTTTCACAGAAAAAATTCTTCAGAAGAGAAAGAAAAAGGTACGCTTAAAATCAATCCGACGACGACGTAAAAACAGACGACGACGCGAAATTCTCGTCGCATTCACCGTCGAAAGTTTTTATTTACTCGCAAAAGCATTCTTTCTTTGTCGTCGTGTTGTTGCATGGGCTTCTTTTGTCGTCGCGTTCTTATTTCTGTTGCATTTTCTCGCGCGCGACACATCATTGGAGGAGGACTTTTGCGAGAGGAAAAAGGGGGCTTGCGATTTTTTTTATTAGGACTTTGGGTGCGCGTAAAAAACGTGGTTGGTGTTTTGGTGGCAGACGCGAACGCGTGGATGCAGATTTTGAACTTTAAATGCGTTCGACGAGTTCGTTTACCTGCGAAAGAAGGTTTAAACTGTTCTTCTTCGCGGTTGGCGGTGATGATGCTCGCGCGTGATTTTTTCTCATCGCGTGCGTGTGACAAAGACCTCTCTCTGACGACGCTCCTCCTTTCCTCTCTTCTCTTTCATTCTTATACAAAACAACAAGCAGAGCGAAAACAAACACATACATACACATAAATTATGCCGCCAAAATTCGATCCAAACGCCGTCATCGAAGTCTTTCTTCGTGCCACCGGTGGTGAAGTCGGTGCAGCCTCTTCGTTGGCGCCGAAAATCGGTCCTTTGGGTCTCTCCCCGAAGAAAGTCGGGGAAGATATCGCCAAGGAAACTGGCAAAGACTGGAAAGGTTTGCGCGTTACGGTGAAACTCTCCGTCGCAAACAGACAAGCGAAAGTATCCGTAGTTCCGACCGCGTCTGCGTTAGTCATCAGAGCGTTGAAGGAACCGTTCCGTGATCGTAAGAAGGAGAAGGATGTGCCGCACGACGGTAACGTGGCGTTGGATGAAATCATTGAAATTGCGAGACAGATGCGACCGAAATCGAGAGCAAAGACTTTGTCTGGCACGGTGAAAGAGATTTTAGGTACGGCGAAGAGCGTTGGTTGCACGGTTGAGGGTGAAGATCCGCAAGATGTGCAACAATCCATCGATGATGGAGACATTGTCATTCCGGAAAAGTAAGAAAAACGACAGCTATGAACGTGAAAGTTTTTTCGATAAGGTCGGCTAAATTCTCTGGAGGCTACTTCTGTACGAAAGAGAGTCCACCCTAAAATGTTCCTTATTATTAGACGCGTCTATATCTATGTCGTTTGAACTATATACTTTTCTGTCTTTGATGATTAGAGAGAAATAGATTAAACATTTAGAAATGCATCAATAATAATAGAATTTTGCCTTAGCTGTTGAGATTTGTGAATGAACAAATACACTTAAATGAACAACAACTTCTTTTTATTAAAATCTTTTGGTCGTGACTGCTTAATTAACTCTTCTTTTATTCTTCTTCTTCTTCTTCTTCTTCTTCTTCTTCTTCTTCTTCTTCTTCTCCTTCCTTCTCCTCTTCTAGTTTTCCGCGACGACTTCCTCTTTCTTCGCTTCTTCTTCTTTTCCTAAATCCTTCGCCTTTTCCTTTTTCTCCGGCGACGCAGCTGACGCCGCCATCGTCGGACGCTCTTGCTTCGGGCGCTCCTCTTTCTGCTGTTGCTTTGGAACGTACGCTTCTAACTTCTCGTTATCACTTTCCTCCGTTCCTGTTTCATCGGAAGGATAGTTCGGGTCGTGATGTCCGTCGTTGTCGTCGTCGTCGTCGCTTTCTTCGTCGCCTTCCGAATCTATCTCGTCCTCGCTTGCGACGATTCCTTCTTCTTTTTTAGCGCCTCGCTCCTTCTTCGGGGAATCTCCTTTACCAGCGGTCGTCGAATCTGATGCCGCTGCTGCCGTTTTCGCCGCTTCCGAAGCTGTAGCTGCTGCCTCTGCCGGAGGTAACGCCGCCCCTTTACTCTTGCTCGCAGCGGCTCCCTTCCTCTTCTTGTTGCTCGACGTCGAATCTCTCTCCTTTTCCGACTCGGGAGTTCGTTTACTCACTTTAAACTTCGCGTTTTGTTTCTTATCGACACCTATCCAGTAGTCTGAAACTAACGCAAACGTGACGGAATACAGCGCTGCCGGTGGAGCCATAAATTTGACGGCAATTTTTGCCGGCTCGTCTCCCGTTTCCGCCGCCAATTTCTCAGCCTTTGTCAATTTCTTCATCGCCAAAGTTAAGTTTGCTAACGGATCACAGACGAGTAAATACCACGACTCTGGTTTCTTTGTGCCTCGACCGAACGGAACGGGCGGCAAATCAGCTTCGCCTAAAGGTCCCCCTCCGCGCGAAATTTGTACCGAAGCTCGCGCAGTGACGATATCGTCTTCCAAAATGAGCGGTTGTTTTTGTTGTTGCTGTTTTTGTTGTTGTTGTTTCATTCCACCGGCAATCACTCCGTCGTTTCCAGCTTGGTCAACCGCGGTCGACGACGACGAAGGAGACTCGCCTTCCACGAAAATCTCGCACTCAAACTTGACCACTTTTGGGATAATGTTCATGATCGTCTCCACGTCCGCTCTTTTGTTTTCGTCAAATTCTGCAAACTTTTCCAAAGCCGCCGATCGTTCCTCTTTCGGCATCTCCCTCAGTTCTGCCAACGATTTCGCTTTCTTACGGATCTTCGCGCACTCCTTCTCGGTAAAATGCGGCAGCTGCAACAAACCTGCCGCGCCGCCGTCCTCGCTGTTTGCGATCGATCCTACCCTCCCCGAGGACGCGGTGGAACCGCTGCTCGTAGACTTCTTCAACGTAATCGGCACCGCTTGCGTGAACAACTGCGAATACTCCAACACCATCTGCGTTGGTTTCACCGCGGTGAATCCTGCTCTTGGGTTCCCGCTCGTTTGCAACAACATTTGCAAAATTTGATCGATGAATCTCGGCACATTTCTAACCACGAAATCGAAATCCTTCATCAACTCCTTCGGAACCTCCTCGCCTCGTCGCAACAAGTGCATCAACTGCAGCGCGTGCGTCCTCACCACGCTCGGGTTCCTTCTCACAAACTTTTGTGCCAGCTCTCCACCTCCAATTTCGTTCCTGCACTGTTTCAAAACCTCGCTCAAACTCTCGTTCAACTTCTCTCCTTTATACTCCATCTCCACGAACTCTTGCGCGACTGAAACCAACTCAGGCACTCCCGTCAATTTCATCATTGGTTTCAACATCTGCCCAAAATTACTCTGCGTTTGCCTCAAAACTTTCTTCCCGTCCACGCCGGTGTGCGCGTACTTATCGCCCTTCATCAAGATCCTCACAATAACAATCAACGGCAACAAAATCGTCACCAAAACCATCCCGAGTAACACAAACGGCGCCAATCCTTCGAATCGCCCTCTCCCGAACAATTCCTCCGGTAACGCCACGCCCAATTTCGTCGACTGTCTCCCGTCTGGATGTCCGTACTTCTCAAAGTTTTCTCTCGCGATATCGTTCGTCAACGTCTTATACGCCGGCGCCACCGATTCCGTAAAAAACTTAATCGCCTCTGGATCTGAGTTTTTGTCAGGGTGGTACTTCAAACTCATCTTCCTGTACGCTCTTTTGATATCCGACGGCGTCGCCCCGATCGAGAGCTCTAAAATATCGTACGGATCAAACCTCTTCTCCTCGGTTTGCATGGATTTCGCCCAAAATAAGAGCAGGAAGAAAAGAATCCATCCGAGAACGATCGCTAAATTCCACCCGCTGAAAAACATCTGTCTTTTCATCGACTGTCGCGATTGGTGGACCGATTGTTCGAACGATTTCGCCCACAAAGAGTCTTTGGCTTTGATTTGAATGTCTTGAGAAATGTTGTCGTTCTTTTTTTCCATCGTGTTTGTCTTCGTCTTTATCGTCGTCTCTTTTCCTCCTCCTCCTCCTCCTTTCGTTTTTGTGTCTTCCTCCTCTCCGGCGATGAGGCTGAAAAGTCCAAATCGACGGCCGATTCTGTACAACGTGATTGGAAAGAGGAAACAGGAAAGAATGGCGACGAGGAAAATAGGAAACAGCGCGGCCACGGTTTCGGATGGCGTCTCCTCCGAAGAAGAAGAGGAGGAGGAGTCTGCCATCTTCTCTTTCTGGAAAAGTTACTAAAAAAACGTTTTGTCGTTATATTATTAGTCTGTTGTTGTTCGTGTTCTTCTTACTCTCGTATATTCTCGCGACACTACCACGCAATGAAATGGCGATTAGAAGAGAGACTGAGAAAAAATTGAAAAAACTCGAATAAAAAAAGTTCTTCGTCATAACTTTTTTCTCGCGTGCCACGTGAAAGACGACGACGACGACGACAACAACATACCATATAACACCAAAACAACAACAACTGTGGAGATACATAAAACGTCCTCGATTGCTCTCGATCATCGCGCGTATTCGCGAAAAAAGATACCACAGGTAAGAAGAAGAAGAAGAAGAGAGAAAGAACACCGAGCGTCTCTCCTTCCTTTTCTTTTTTGTTTCTCTCCGCGTTCTCTCTCTCTCTCTCTTTGTTCATCATCGTCGCGTTCGAAATTCTTCTTCGTCTCTCTCGGGTGTTCTTCTGTCCTCCATTTGCAAAATTCTCTCGTCGCGCTTTTCCTTGGTGCCGAGATGGCGTTCGCGCGACGAAGTGTGCGCATAAACGCGTTCAGAAACAGTCTCGATCGTTTTACTCGGTTATGTGTGATTTTGATGCTTTCGCGCGAGTGAGATTGGTTGTGTTCCATTTCACCGAGAGAGAGAGAGACATTTTGGAGAGAAAGGGTGTTGGAAAGGGTGTTGGAGTAACACTTCCCAAATTTTATCGAATCGCTACGAACCGCTTCGCTTCAAACACACATCTTCGATCGTCTCGTGCGTGAGGATTCTTTTGAATCGTATTTTCTGGCTGACAGTGACTGACCGGCGTTAAACGTACCTCTCTTTCCACGCACGCAACGAACGATGTGATAAACATGGCACAGATTTTAAAAAGAGCACGCAAACACGAAAAAAGACGCGACGACGAAAATGAAGAATTACTCGTTTTCGTCTCGGACTTCATCGCGGGCTATGGCCGCGAGGTTGGTGAACCCGGCGGCGGTTCTCCTCTTCTCAATCTTCTTCGCGCTTTTAGCGACGAATTTTTTCGTTTTGCCGGCGAAGGCGCTTAAAACTTCGTCGAAAACGAAGAGGATGATAGGAGTAAAATCTCGATCGGAAGAAGAGTTTCCTACTCCCTACTCTTCTTTAACCGATAGTACTGAAAATCTTCCTCATGGATTGATGCTCACATCGAATGCTGCCGAAGAAGATACAGCTTTATCGAATACTTCGGCTACATACGAAACGGAGACAAGAAACGTTTTGAAGCAAGATTCTACCTTTGAAAAGGACATAAGCATGGCTGGAGAAGAGAAAAAAAGCGCTTCTTCGTCGGCGCTTTTGGGCCATTCAAAGGGCGCAATTCATCATCACCAACACGGCGAGGATGAAGGCAACAGCGACAACGATGATGAAGATGATTCTTCTACTTCGTCTACTTCTGATTTCTACGAATCCCTTGCTCTCGACGACGATGCCGTCGACTTTGTCGACTACAATACGTACGGCGCCAAAAATGGTGACGATACCGACAAAGTTCTCGAGGCGATGTTGGAAAAGAAAGATGACATCTCTCTCTCTTCAGATGGTAATGCGGTCACTTCCGGAGCGCCGGCGAAGAATGTTTTGAAGCAAGATTCTACCTTTGAAAAGGACATAAGCATGGCTGGAGAAGAGAAAAAAAGCGCTTCTTCGTCGGCGCTTTTGGGCCATTCAAAGGGCGCAATTCATCATCACCAACACGGCGAGGATGAAGGCAACAGCGACAACGATGATGAAGATGATTCTTCTACTTCGTCTACTTCTGATTTCTACGAATCCCTTGCTCTCGACGACGATGCCGTCGACTTTGTCGACTACAATACGTACGGCGCCAAAAATGGTGACGATACCGACAAAGTTCTCGAGGCGATGTTGGAAAAGAAAGATGACATCTCTCTCTCTTCAGATGGTAATGCGGTCACTTCCGGAGCGCCGGCGAAGAATGTTTTGAAGCAAGATTCTACCTTTGAAAAGGATATAAGCATGGCTGGAGAAGAGAAAAAAAGCGCTTCTTCGTCGGCGCTTTTGGGCCATTCAAAGGGCGCAATTCATCATCACCAACACGGCGAGGATGAAGGCAACAGCGACAACGATGATGAAGATGATTCTTCTACTTCGTCTACTTCTGATTTCTACGAATCCCTTGCTCTCGACGACGATGCCGTCGACTTTGTCGACTACAATACGTACGGCGCCAAAAATGGTGATAATACTGCCGCAACAAACGAACAAATGATATCGGAATATACCTCTTCGAAAGCGGCGTTGACAACAACATCTTTGAAACCCCTTTTAGGTGCTCCGTTCGAATTACCGTCGGCTGGATCAAGCTTTAACTCTGTTCCTTATCCAAGAACCCCATCCTTGTATCACGGTTGGAACGGATACGGACACCATTATGGTTATTACCCGACTGTATGGGTCAACGACGGCGTTTGTGTCGTTGAAGGTTTGCTATCAGGACACCATTGGGGACACATTGGTAACTTGCCTGGTGACTGCCGCCCGTCCGGTCGAGAGATTTTTAATATGAACAATCACCAATACACGAGTCGCGTGGATGTCTTGTCTAACGGCGATATTCATTGGATTACGGGCGGTCATTCTCATGGGTGGCTATCTCTTTCCGGGATGACCTTCGTGACCAACGCCGGGCCGAAAACTGGATTACCGTTCAATAACGGCTACAAAAACTATGGACATTCGTATGAAGGGCCGTATTACTCCAAAATCAACAACGAGTGCATTTTAGGAGGCTTGATTGGAGGCGGCAACGGGAAAAATCACGTGGGCACTTTACCAGCGGGCTGTCGTCCAAGACAAGGTTTGCTTTTCAACGTGAACAACCATCAGTGCACCATGCGCTTACATGTTGCGACCGACGGTAGAATACATAGAGATACGGGTCGTTGCCATGCCTGGACCTCATTGGCTGGCGTTACTTTCCCGGCGAGCGAGGCGACAAAAACTACCTTGCAACTCTCAAACGGTTGGAAAGGCTATGGTGGATACTGGGGGACGCCTTACTACTCTTTGATCAAAGGCGAATGTATCGTTCAAGGTTTGATCAGCGGAAACAAGTGGGGATATATCGCCACGTTACCGGAAATATGCAGACCAATGAAGCGTTTGATTTTTAACTTGAACAACCATCAATACACGAGTCGCGTGGATGTACTTCCAAACGGACAAATACATTGGATAAGCGGCGGTGCTCATCACGGGTGGTTGTCACTCACGGGTATTAGGTTTGAAGCGTTGCCGCCATTGCCGCCCGTAGTTTCTATTAAGATTACTCCGGGACAGGTAACGAGTAAAGAATTTAATTTTGATATACGAGTCTCCCATGCTGTGTGTTCTACTTCTTCGTGCTTTGAGTCGTCCGTTCAAAAAGATGCAAATGTGGCAATGGGTTTGAACTGCAAAGCTTTTATACAACCAGTGGGCGACAATAAGTGCAATTACGGAAATGCTAAAGCGCACATGCCATGCAAAAAGTGGGATAATTTCTTTGACGGTACGAAAGCTTCGGACGTGCAAACGTATTTGAGCCTCACGGACAAAGACGATCAGCTGGCTACAGGAAAGTATGAGATTCTTTACAACTGCTACTACGGAGAGCAATCTCAAACGAAGTTCAAAAGTTTGCATACGTTTACAGTCATGTCTGGTTGTTCTGACTGGTTACCAACTTCGTTCCGAGGCTTATCAATCGTTGAATTATTTTTACAATCTGCCCCGGCTTTTTTGGATGTCAAACCTCCAGAATGCGACCAGATTGATCGGGTGAAGGAATCAATCTTTCGAGAATTCGATACTTTCCCGCTCGATGGTAAGCTGTCTGCGGCCGAGATAAGAGATGCTTTCTTTAAACACGACGTTGACGCCACTTATTTGGATCGTCTCATCGAAGAAGACTATTTTGAAGCTCGCAACGGTGGTATCATGATGAGTGATGTTATTTCTTCTCGAGCGTTGCCATTGGCTTGCACGGGCACAACGTTGACGGATGCGTCCGATGTTTTCTTTACGAAATCAACATACCCTACCATGCAAGCCAACGAAGCAGAGTGTGAATCGAGCAAAGAAGGCGTAACTTTAGAGTGGGATTTCAAACGCGTTCCGAGTACTAATGATCTTCAGTGTTTGTACACCGACGGTCAACTGTTACGCGCATTTAAGACTGACTCAAAAAAGAAGTCCGTTCAAGCATTTAAAGATGAGCGTCCTACAGCAGGTGTCGGTGAAGATGCCGTGAAATTGGTCACGCAACTGCCTTTTGATGTTGACTTGAAGAACAGTGTCGATAATTCCGGCGCGTCAACTTTGTCAAATGTTAACCACGGTTACATCACCTCTTCTGGCTGCGTGACTGCAACCGAAGATGGTGGGAAATGTTTCAAAAGAACCTCCCATTCCACTGCTTTTGTTTTGAACGACCAAAAAGCAATGTCGAAGTCATCAATAATGACATGGGTAAGACTATCGCAACGTACCGGTGGTGATCAGTATCTCTGGTTTGCCATGGGTTACGACTCTAAAGATTATCAAAAGTCCTTTGGTATCGATGCTTCTGGCCACGCATTTGCGCAGTTGAACGCAAAAGTAAAGGTCACGGGATCTAAAGTGTTGGAAGTTGATGAGTGGTACCACGTCGCTATGAACTTAAACAAGCAAACTGGATTGTCTATTTACGTCGATGGGACTCTCGATAAATCTTTGGAATCCATCGATAACATTCAAATGGACTTTCCGTTCGTGGCATCCAGCGTGAAAATATTGGACGCTTTGGGAACATTCGATGACTTTCGAATCTATTCCGGTTTGCTTTCGAAGCTGCACATTTCTTCCGTATACCAATGCGGGAGACGCACATCGTGCGCGCAGTTGGCTCGAGCTACTCCACAATCGAGACGGGTGTACTGCATCGTTCCAAGCTACAACACGGAAAAAATGAGCAGTGGTTTCACGCCCCCTTGCGTTGCTGGTTTATACTATAACGGAGCAGCTATTGATTTGCAGTTGTCACCGACGCAAAAGGGTGTCTTATTTTCATTCAGAGACACTGCTTTAGATGAGTTATCGTATGAGATACTGCGACGACCAAATGATGCCATTACTGGTCCTCTGGGCAATTACAAAGCTGTGGTGATGATTGACTCTGCGTTGGATTATTGCGCGACGACGTTTTCTTCGCTCACCTTCTTCGACGATGAAGCTATCAAGTTACCGGGTAAGACCTGGGAATATGCAATAAAAACGAAATTTAAGGGTGTCACCAAGATTTCAGATCCAAGATCATTCGTTACTCCTTTTTACGCAATGTTCGAGGGTAAAGTAGTCGCCGGTAAATCAGGCGTGCCAGTTCCGAACGTTCGTGTCTGTACTCGTTTACTCAGAGGATCTCAAAGTAGCTCGTCTTTGATTGACCGCGATGCATCCGATATTAACTTGGCTGCATACATGAATGCGTGGCACTCAGAACAAGAGGATCCAAACAAAAGGTCTTCTGCGTACAAAGTGACCGATCAAGACATATCTTCATATTCTGAGTTGGAAGGTGGCGAGTGGTTTAACGTCACTCTGTCCTTATTTTCAAAAATAGATCGAGTGAATGTCTGTTCTGTGGAAGAGAAAGTTGAGCTCGATGTCCGCGTCTTAGATTATTCGGATCCTAAAGATGAAGGAGACTTGGGTGCACCCTGCATACTCGAAGAAAATTATGCCGACGGCTATCCAATTTTGTTCAACATTGGTTCTTCAATCTGCAGAACTTACGATTGCAGAGGTACCAAAGTAGACTCATACCTTGGTAAAGTTGTCACGGTGAAATCTGTTTCGAGCTCGTCTCAGAAATATCACGTCTCAGAAATCCAGGTCATGGGAGTTGATGTCGATTGCCCTTACACTTCATTTTCCGATGAGGATGGCAATTATGAAATTGATGTGTTAGACTTGAGTGGTCAAACCATGCGAAAAGCATACATCGGTACCGTGGCATTTAAAACTGATGTTTTCGATGAAATTGATACGTTGATGGTAAATGCCACCGGAAACAAAAACCCAGAGTCATTTCTAATTGCTTTATCCCTCGATGAAGATCTTTTGAAGAAGAACTGGGAAACATATGGAAATGTAATGTCAGACGCGGATGCTCTTTGCTATCGAAGTAAATACTCCGATATAAAAAAGGCATACGGTGACGATCTTGAAAAAATCAAATCGCATTATGACAAACACGGTAGTTGGGAAGGGAGGAGTTACCATGGTTGCAACCCGACAGCGGAACTAGGAAGCGCGATAGTGCCTAGAATGGGCGCAGACTACGAAATTGAGTGGAAAACAGGCATTAGCTTTAACTCTGTTCCTTATCCAAGAACCCCATCCTTGTATCACGGTTGGAACGGATACGGACACCATTATGGTTATTACCCGACTGTATGGGTCAACGACGGCGTTTGTGTCGTTGAAGGTTTGCTATCAGGACACCATTGGGGACACATTGGTAACTTGCCTGGTGACTGCCGCCCGTCCGGTCGAGAGATTTTTAATATGAACAATCACCAATACACGAGTCGCGTGGATGTCTTGTCTAACGGCGATATTCATTGGATTACGGGCGGTCATTCTCATGGGTGGCTATCTCTTTCCGGGATGACCTTCGTGACCAACGCCGGGCCGAAAACTGGATTACCGTTCAATAACGGCTACAAAAACTATGGACATTCGTATGAAGGGCCGTATTACTCCAAAATCAACAACGAGTGCATTTTAGGAGGCTTGATTGGAGGCGGCAACGGGAAAAATCACGTGGGCACTTTACCAGCGGGCTGTCGTCCAAGACAAGGTTTGCTTTTCAACGTGAACAACCATCAGTGCACCATGCGCTTACATGTTGCGACCGACGGTAGAATACATAGAGATACGGGTCGTTGCCATGCCTGGACCTCATTGGCTGGCGTTACTTTCCCGGCGAGCGAGGCGACAAAAACTACCTTGCAACTCTCAAACGGTTGGAAAGGCTATGGTGGATACTGGGGGACGCCTTACTACTCTTTGATCAAAGGCGAATGTATCGTTCAAGGTTTGATCAGCGGAAACAAGTGGGGATGGATCGCCACGTTACCGGACGCGTGTCGCCCTCATTATCGTTTGATTTTTAACTTGAACAACCATCAATACACGAGTCGCGTGGATGTACTTCCAAACGGACAAATACATTGGATTGCGGGCGGTAATCATCACGGGTGGCTATCTTTGACTGGAATCAAATTCGTCGCCGTTCCGAAAAATGTTGTTCCACTGTCGTGGTATTGGCAGCCTTACGGTTGGTCTTATGGTCAAATAACGTACACGGTGCAGGATAACGTGTGCGAAGTCCAAGGCTTGCTGCGAGGCAACATATGGAACTATCTAGCCACGTTACCCAGTGACTGCCGCCCGTCCGGTCGAGAGATTTTTAATATGAACAATCACCAATACACGAGTCGCGTGGATGTCTTGTCTAACGGCCAAATTCATTGGGTTACGGGCGGTCATTCTCACGGGTGGCTATCTTTGACTGGAATCGTCTTCGTGACCAACGCCGGGCCGAAAACTGGATTACCGTTCAATAACGGCTACAAAAACTATGGACATTCGTATGAAGGGCCGTATTACTCCAAAATCAACAACGAGTGCATTTTAGGAGGCTTGATTGGAGGCGGCAACGGGAAAAATCACGTGGGCACTTTACCAGCGGGCTGTCGTCCAAGACAAGGTTTGCTTTTCAACGTGAACAACCATCAGTGCACCATGCGCTTACATGTTGCGACCGACGGTAGAATACATAGAGATACGGGCCATTGCCATGCCTGGACCTCATTGGCTGGCGTTACTTTCCCGGCGAGCGAGGCGACAAAAACTACCTTGCAACTCTCAAACGGTTGGAAAGGCTATGGTGGATACTGGGGGACGCCTTACTACTCTTTGATCAAAGGCGAATGTATCGTTCAAGGTTTGATCAGCGGAAACAAGTGGGGATATATCGCCACGTTACCGGAAATATGCAGACCAATGAAGCGTTTGATTTTTAACTTGAACAACCATCAATACACGAGTCGCGTGGATGTACTTCCAAACGGACAAATACATTGGATTGCGGGCGGTGCTCATCACGGGTGGTTGTCGCTCACGGGTATTAGGTTTGAAGCGTTGCCCAATCCACCTCCTCCTCCTTCTCCTCCACCTCCTCCTCCGTCACCACCTCCACCTTCTCCGCCTCCACCTTCTCCTCCGCCACCACCTTCTCCGCCTCCGCCTTCTCCTCCGCCACCGTCGCCCCCTCCCTCGCCTCCTCCATCTCCGCCGCCATCTCCGCCCCCATCTCCACCCCCATCTCCACCTCCACCGACGCATGCATTTGTCGACGTAAATGATGATAATGTCGTAGATAAGACTGAATTTATATCTTACTGTAAAAACAGGACGAGGTATATCGACGCACACGTTGTGCTTCAAGAGAAGTTTTGGAAAATTCTAGACAGAGATGAGACGGGAACCCTGAATAAAATTGAGTTCACGAACGCAGTGACTGCTTTAGACAAAGGGATTATTTATGGCGTGCCTTGGCTGGTTTATCCAGCCGTTGGCACGAAGCACTTAACGCAATTCTCGGCAAAGTATAAGGACGTGTCTAAAATTAATGCAGTCTTTTCTGTCTTACCTATTGACAAACCAGCGTTGCCTTTTTCCGAGGAAAGATGGCAAAAGTGGTCCGATAAGTTTGAATCGTCTTACACAGATTTTACGATGGGTACTCCATTGAAATCTGAAATTTCCAAAAACTCTCTTTTGGCGAGCATGGGCGTTGATGCTCTTCCGGAAACGAAGCTTTACGCGGTCCCTTTGGCTACTTACCCCACTTCAAAGAATATGAAATTGACTAAACATATCGATAAAGCAGATCGCGTTGCTTTCTCTCACGCCGTCCACGGTATCACCAAAGAAATGTTTGACCCGGATGAAGTGGAAGTGCATGCGATCCAAAGATTACCGGATGTAGTTCACGTTTTTGGCGACAATAGTGAAAAAGTTTTACCCATAAAACATCTTGGGGCGGCTGGCGAAGATATCGAGGATAATACAGCTGTTCTCGTCACGGGGATGGTACGATTTCCAGCATCGCGAACACAAGATTTCGTCTGCGGCCTTCAATTTGCAACGATTAGTGCTTACGAGGGAAAGAAATGCGATGCAGAGGAGATCGCAAGGAAAGAGTGTTCTCCGAAAGGGTACAAATATGATGTTGAAGCAACGAACTATACCGCAGACGATTTGGGGAGATTTGATTTAAGCATAACACCCGGGGAAACTTGGGCTTTTATTGCGTCCTACGACGGTCACGATTTATGTTTCGGGGGAAACGATTTAGATGACTTTCCTTGCTCAGTGCAAAATGAGACTTCTGTTAAGTTATACGAAACAATCTTCACTAAAAACATATACTATGAGTTGGAAAACATCGTAGGTGGTGAGTTTGTGGTCTATTTTGACGTCACAGAACGGCCGGTAGATGTTGGATTGTACGCCGGCGCGTGCGGGACTCCATATACGGAATACTCGTTATTGATAACGCCTGCGAACGGGTGCGGGGCACCAGTTGAAGTTTTCGATAAAGATATTGTTGGATCTACAGGCTCGCGCTTTGCAAAAGATCAGTGGCCTTTAGTAGATCCAAAAAATGAATCATCGAACGTACGCCTTTGGCCGTATGCGGCCATGGATTACTACATTCAACTTGCTCAAGCTCCTGATGTATCCGCTTTAACTGAATCAAAAATCATCGCTGAATACAACGGCGCTTCATGCACGCCGCCGGGATCTAATATCATGCAGTTCTTCCGCGATAGAAATGTTCTCGTACAAACCATGTTATTATTAAAACGTACTTCCGCAGAAGTGAGGTACGTCTATCACGGCTGGTTTTGCGCAGAACCAACGTTTGGTGATATACCGGAGAAAGCTTTGCAAACTCCATTCACTGCGATCCGATCGGACGAGACGTGTCTTGGAACGGACTTGTCTAAGCACGACTTAACGCAAAAACATTTAATTGGATCTTCTAATTTGCAATACTCCAAGGTATCGCCGCAACTATCCACTATGAAGTATGTATCGATGAAAGTAATCGAAGCGCATTATACCGGGCCGAATACCATCACGTATTGTTCAAACTTCCAGTCCATCATTAACGATGTACCGACAAAGTTAGGAGTTCAAGTTCAGATTCAACAAGATGTCAGCCCACAAGCGATGAATCCTTGTCATTCATCTAGCGAACCGTCAGACGAGTGCGTCTTTACCGCTGTAAACGCCTCCTCGAGCTTGGTTCAATTTGCTACCGTCGGGACAGGAAAGGATCCAAACTCTCTCGAAATTTCATCGAAAGGCGCTGTTCCAAATCTTGTCTCGCCGTACCGACGCAAATTTCTGGCGCGCATTGAACGTAACGATGGATGGGCCGTTACAAACTTGGCGGTAGAGCGCGAATTTGTCACGGTCGCGAGTAAAATACGTGGTGGAGGATCTGATCCAAGCGCTAGGTTTCAGTCTGACACGAAATTTTATGCGACGGCGCCTATTCGCGGACTGGTGTACACCGTCGTTCACGACCCTCCTGGTGGTCATTCATTCGCTAGTATCATGCAAGGAACTCATATCGATTTAGAGCTTGGCCTTGAAACGACGAGGGGTACCGGTATTGATTTCGCCGCGGACTGGGCTTTAGGAGCCGAGCTTGGCTTCAGTGTTGAAGTTCCCGGATTATCCGCTGGGTCATCGTACGCCAACGTACTTCTTGAATTCGATGATGAAGCTCCGGAGGGCTCAAAGGGGACGTTGGGTTTCAGCGTTGGCCAATCGGGAGGAACTGAATTTTCCGGCCCAGATGTAAGTGTCTCTGCAACGACCGATAATGGATGGGACTTCCATTTTACTTTAGACAGAACAATCAGTTCATCGGAAGAGGAGGGATTACCCGGTCGCGTTGGCGACACAATCTTAGGCGGTGGATTTGAAATAGTCTACTTGAGAGTTGACACTGTTGACATCCGAGACAGCTGTTTAAAAGTAATCGAAGAAGTGCAGTGGCTTCCGAGAAAACCTACATCGTACGTCGTTTCCATTTTTCACGTGGAGTACAAACTAATTCCAGAAATCGACGGATTAATTGCCACCGCGAGTGATAAAGACGCGATAATGACCGACGGCGAGTTTGGTAGTAAATCCAACGAAGAGATTAAATCAATCTGGAAGCACCGTTTGAAACAATCCTTGGAGGATTGGAAGAAAACAATTGAATGGTCGTCACCGGATTTCAACCCAGAAGGCTTTTTAGCTCTTAAAACTCCAGAACAAAAGACAAAGATGGGTGAAATTGAAGCAGCATTCGATAAATCCGCCGTTCCTTTCAGTTCCGATAGCTCTGTCTTTGGCAGATTAATGAAGCCGAATATTGATGATGCGTATGGAGCGTATACTGGCGATAAAGATCGATCGGATTACACGGCTGAACAGGATTGGAGGGACTTGAATGCCGTCTGGAAATCAATCCCCCAAAAAGGAGCCACGGCATCTCTGAGCTCCTTGAAACAAAGTAGTCTTGATATGGATGAAATTATTGAAGGCGAAGGCAGCGATCCTGACCAAGGCAACACCGGCAGATGGTTCCCAGATAAAGGTTCCGGGTTAGAAAGCTGGCAACTGAAGGGTGATGAAGTTGGTAAAAATGTATTTACTTCTGTTGAGAATGATAGCGATGCAGTGCCTGATAGCCTCTTCTCTCGAGGTATGTCAGATGGCGCTGAAGCGGATGTGCGCGCGCGCGGTGATATGGCTCTTGACGATTCATTCTTCGAAAAAGATACAGTTGCGCAGTATATCGATGCTTCTATGTACGGATCAAAGGCGCCTTTCAGCTTCAGTGGAGGGAACACCCACGATCCGAAAATGAACCCATCGTCAAAAGGTCCGGAGCAATCAATCTATTTGACGTTCTCCGGAGGCGGGCACGTGCTTGAGTTTCACTCTGATTTATCTTCTAATATCGACGGCTTTAGTTATTCGTGGGCCATTGAAGCTGAGGGCGGTTTTGGAGGCAGCCGGTCAGGCGAATACTCCGTTTCCATCGTAGATGGAGAAGATAACACGGGCTGGGGAAAAGGAAAATCAATCGCTCTCGAACATGCCGTGGCGTGGTCAAAGTATGGAGATTTGGAAGTCTCGTACACACTTGGTGATGGTGATCCGTATGACAAATTCGTGGTTCAGGTTTTGAGCGACAAGCGTTTTGGGACACCAATCTTCCGAACAATCGGGGGCGCGTCAAAATGCCCGGGCGAACCAAACACCATGTGGAGAGAATCTGGCCTAATTATTGAAACCGAGTGGAGCGCTGGCGCAAATAATAAGTTTATCCCCCCTGGTCAAAGGGCTTTGTTTGATCTTATGATTACCAACGAATCGCCTTATAGGGAAGGGCACATCTATGGGTTGTTGCTCACCTCGGGAAGTAAATATGCGGGCGATTTTGGCGGGAACATGATGGACTTATCATTCTCAATCAATGGGGCGGACAGTCTTGCTCCTTTCCATAGCTTAGTTCCTTTACACGACGTACCTTCGGTTGACTCCAACGGAGATTTGAAGTATACGCGTTTATCCTTGAATGTCATGAAAGGACAATTTGCTCATAAGTATTCTTCTATCGGAGTGCAGTTGGTATCTGAATGTGAATGGCAAATGTCGAGAGACTGGTTGTACAGATCGCCCATCTCTTCAACAGCGTTTTTAGGCGATTTTAAATGGGAACGCGAGTGCCCAAAAGTTAATTGGGATCTGACCACGTACAATACCTTCTTGAACGCGGTGCTTTCGAAACAAACTTCGCCGTATGTGAATATGACGCTGATGAATCCGGATCCAATGAATTTGTGGTCTGCCGATGAGATTGAAGGCAACACAAAACATACAAACCATTTGGTTCATCCAAGTGTTGAATTCGTTCGCGTGCAGTGGAGAAAACTGGGGGTCGGCGAGTGGATAAATGCGTGGGACATGATCGGTAATGATTCGGATATCTGGAAACGCGACGTGAAAGATGCTGACGCGCAGTGTAATTCGGCGCGCGGCGAAGGATGCACTTTCAAATGGAATCTTCAGCGTCAGTACTTTATGAACGGTTTGAAAGACGGATCTTACGAAGTCAGAGCTAAAGTCTTCTGCTCCGGGTACGACTCGTTTGCAACTGCAGATGTAAAAGGCTCTGTCACGGAAGAAAACTTGAACATCATCGTTGATGTGAAGAAACCCGAAGCCATTGATATGCGCATGCTCCACAATCGTTTCACGATTGATTACTCCGAGCCAATTGTTTGTCCTCAGCTTCAAGCTGATCACATGACATATGCGATTAGGCGCGTCAAGACATGCGATGGAACGAAGATAACTTCAGGTGGTGAAGTGGACAAAAATGACGTATATTTTCATTACAATTTTGCGTGTCTGGACAGAAATTCTCTCATGATTTCTTTTCCGTACGATGCGGAGCACGGTACTTACGAAATCACCGTAAATGCAGATAAGCTCGGAAGTAAAATAATCGACGCGGGGAATAATCCTGTCGCGAAAGAGACGTTCTCGACGACGTATGGATGTGGGGAAACGATAGAAGGAACACAAGCTTCTAAAGCGCCCACCACCAGCGCTCGAAGCGAGCTTGGATCGCCGAGGACGGTGTCGTCGTCGTCGGGAGTCCAAGCGGGAAAAGAAAATCCATACTTTGCGAAGGGAGGCGATTCTTCCACCGTATTCTACTTGAAAGTGTATGGTTTAGCTGCTACGGTCATCGCGCTGTACGCTCTCTTCTCATCTAATGAACGCCGCAGCTTGTTTTACGGAAGTCCCTTCTCTCTCTTTCGAAACAAAGATGAAAGTTCATATTTAGTGTCAAAGAGCGAAGTATTAGAGAGAGAAAACGTGCAACAACGCTACGGGAGTGTGCTTTAGTCGAAGTTTCATGTGTTCATCTCGTCGCTGTGGTGAGTAGACGCGTATTTGTAAAAAAATATTTTTTTGAAAACCACGTGTGGAAGATAAAGATAAAAAATGCGCTACTTCCCAATGCAAAACTCGGAAAACAAAACATCGAGAACGTTTTCTGTCACATCCAACCGACCAACTACGCGAGAGCAATTGTCCAACGCCTCCCGTAAATCCTCGGCGACGAGTTCAGTTCTCACATGACCCAGAGAATGGTTCAAAGAGCATTTACTTCCTTCATCTTCTGTTGTTTTTTTGACGTTATCATCGCTAGTGGTTTCCTTATTTAGCTCGGAGAGACACGCGCCAAGGGAATTGGATATTGCGCGAGCGTGCGCACGATGACGAGATCGGGCAATGGCAGCCGTAGCGCCGTCGCTGGCTTGAGATGAAGATGACGATGCTGTTATTGTACACTCTTGGACGGCATTAGAGACAGCTTTCGTTAATGCTTCTAGTCCCTGTCCGGTTCGTAAACTGAGACGAAGAAGGGAACGATCATACCTTGAATATACTTCTTCTTCTTCTTCTTCTTCTTCTTCTTCTTCTTCCAAAACATACAACGCGTCGCATTTATTCACGACTGAGATTATTTTAATACCATCCGCACGTTTAATGTTCATATTCGCAAAATCGATTCTCTTAGGATTTGTGGCGTCGATCATTTCGATGATGATATCCGCCATTTTTGCTACATTTTTACCTCTTTCGATGCCTTCTCTTTCAATTTCATCGATTAAATCTTTCGTGTCGTCCGAAAGCTTACCGACTCTTCTTTCGTACTCGTCGTCGAAAAGTGATTCGTCCTCGTCTCCGGCGTCGTAGCATTCTTCCATTATTTCCGACGTTGATGAAGTTTTTCCCGCTATTGGCAAAAATCGATGCCCGGCGGTATCAAAAATAACTACTTTTCTCCCATCTAACTCTAAACTCACCTCGACGACGTCTCTTGTTGTTCCTGGAACTTTCGAAACGATAGCCACGTTTCTTTTCGCAAAGTAGTTCAACAACGTCGATTTCCCCGCATTCGTGGCACCCACTATACACACGCGAACACCGGTCCGAACTAACTCTCTCGCCTCGGCGTCTTTTAACGCCGCGTCAATTTCACCTTTCACGCGGCAAATCGCTGGTAATACGTCTCGGTGAATCAAAGACGATTCGAGCTTTGGATCTTCGCCAGGGAAATCTAAAACCGCTTCGCACACGGCTAAAGCCTTCGTCAACACGTTCGTCCACTCGTCTACTTTCCTCGACAACGACGAAGCAGTCGGAGCACGACGATAGCTAACATCCCCGTCAGCGCTACCGAGTTCTATTTCACTCACAGCCAACGCTCGTTGTGCTTCTGTTTCCGACTCTATCAAATCTGCCAAAGATTCCGCTTGAACTAAATTCATCTTCTTGTTCAGAAATGCGCGTTTGCTGAACTCTCCAGGTTCTGCCGGTCTCAAGTTTCGAAAAGACAACAACGTGGGACTATTTTTTCCATCATCCTTTTCGTCGACAGCGCTCATCGTCGCCAATACCTCCAATACCTTTTTGCACACGGCTATGGAACCATGCATGTGCAACTCGCACACATCTTCTCCCGTGAACGAGCGCGGCGCTTCGAAGAACACGATTAATCCTTCATCGATAACCCCGATGGTATTTTTCTCTTTCCTTCTCGCCACAGCTGGCGCTTGATTTTCTCTTCTTCTTCCTTGACCTTTACCACCTTCCACTTTGTCGAATTCATCGTCGTCGTCTTCTAGTTCTAACTCGTCCATTTCCTCTAATTCTCTCTCTCTTGTTTCAAAAACAAACTGAGCGCGTCGCAGTACCCCCGGTCTCGCCATTTCCCTCCTCTTCTTCCTCCTCTTTCTCGTCGAAGAAATATATTCGTCCACATCTTCCAACCTTCCCCTTTTTTCTTTGAGAAGTCCAGTTAACGTCAGTCTCTCCCCAACTTCCCAGCTCTTCGGGCCGGATATTCGCAAAACGGCCACGCCACCTCTTCCCGGCGGCGTAGATATCGCGTATATCGTCGACCCTTCTTCTTTCTCTTCTTCTTCTTCTTCTTCTTCTTCTTCTTCTTTTACTTCTACTTTTACTTTCAAAGCGCTGCTACACTTCGTCGCAAAAGTACTAAAAGAAGCAGTTTTTCTCGTCGTCGTTTTCGTCGTCAAAAGACGCGGTTTTGATGGGAACGCTGTCTTCTTTGCCTCTGCGCTTTCTTCTTTCTGAGAATTTAAGAATACACGATGTGTTTTGCGTTGTTGTTTTGAGGAGAGAAGATGATGAAGCGAACGATGATGATGATGATGATGATGATGATGATGATGATGATGATGATGATGATGATGATGATGATGATGACGACGACGAGGAGGAGTACTTTCGAGAATACTCCGTCGAAGAAAAAGGAAAAGACTTTCAAACGAGAAGGAAGACGACGACGACACATCAAAAGCACACGGTTCAGCGCTTCTCCGCAAAATCCGCATCTTCATCGTCATCTCAAATCATATCATCTTTTTTACTCATAGCTAAATGTACTCTAGGGGATTTGATGAGTGTCGTTAAAATACGTAGCCCAAATTAGATTTTAGGGCATTCTTAGGCACAGCTTTTAGGGTTTGAAAAAAATCAAGAACAAAACACAGAACACATCTCATCTTTCTTTCTTTCTTTCTCTCGAAAGCGTCTCTCATCACAGTTTTGCGCGCGTTGTTGTTGCCCGCGTTTTAAATAATAATAATAAGAAGAAGAAGAAGAAGAAGAAGAAGAAAGGAGTATGGCGGCGGCGAAGAAGAAGAAGAAGATGAAGAAGATGAAGCAAAAATGGGCGGCGATGGAGGAGGAAATGATGATGTCCTCCTCTCCATCGAAGGCGGCGGCGTCGATGGAGAGGAAGAAGAGAGACGAGGAACTGTTCGTGGTAGATACTGCGACAATCACGCACAAAACGTCTGCTAATGCTTCCGCGGGAGGGGGTGCTTTGTTTTTAACGAAAAAACAACGAGCTCGGATGAAAACGTTACGGGTGGATTCGATATTGAGAAGGGAAAAAGTGGAAAAGTCGTATCCGAAACCGACGAAACATCGAACGGTTGACGGAAACGTGGCGGTCATGAAGAAGAAGGAAAAAGAGGAGGAAGAGGGAAAGAAAACCGAAAGAACACTCGAACGCGCAGACGAACAAAACGGTCTGAGCTTGTGGGAAAAGCACTTCCCGAGGGCCACGGGAATCGCCCGACAGGCGATGAAAATTTTGCGACCGACGGTGGATCGAAAGCACGCGAAACCGGTACAAGTGGACGAGGCCGGATGTTCGTACAATCCACCAGAAGATTTGCGAAACGAAGTCATCATGAAAGCGGCGGCGAAGGAAATCGCAAAGGACTATAAAGAGCAATTGAATCCGGTGCGACCGCCGTTGTTAGGGCAGAAAGCGGACGCGATGCGGATAAAAGAGTTGTATTACGAAACTGGGTTTGGGGATGAGGACGACGAGGACGAGGACGAGGACGACGAAGGAAAAGTAAACGCGAAGAAGAACAAAAGTGCAGCGAATACCTCGGAAAAGCTCAACAAAGCCGCGCGAAATAAACGCGCCCGACATCAACAGTTACAAAAAGAAATCGAAGAGAGAAAGCAATTGAAGAAACAACGACGGGATTTAAGCGAATTGAAATCAATAACGAAAGATATCGCGGAAAAAGAAAAACGCGACGAAATGAAACGGCACAGGCTTCACTTAACGCGAAAAGAGCGCGAGGAAACGCAACCTCGGCGGTTAGGAAAGCACAAATACGAGGAAGATTTACCGGAGGTGTTGTTTACAGAACAAGTCAATGGAAATTTACGAACGCTGCACGGTGCGCACACGTTATTAAAAGATCGTTTGAAGTCCTATCAGAGAAGAGAATTGATCGAGCCAAGGAAAAGACAGATTAAGAAGAAATCAAAGATGTTGATGAAGTACGAACCAGGCGCGAGAGGCGCGAGAGAGAGCGAGAATCAAAAAGAAATCGATGCTCTGAACGCGCAGATCAAGGAGAAAAAAAAAATGTCTTCTTCCGTTTAGTTTACTTTTTAGTTGTAACGCTCGTTTTTCAAGAAAAAAAAAAAAGTTCCTTCTCTTTCACAAAATACGCGCACGATCGATAGATATGCGGCGGCGGCGGCGTTATAGAATCGAAATCCTTGCACATCGAGAAGATCGAATCTTTGCTCCGCAACGCGATGATGATCTGCAACCGCCCGTCGATATCCCGTTCGCGCCGATCGATAAATATCCCGCGATATCGAATTTACAAACGTGTTGGTCATTTTTTTTCACCTCTTCTTCTTCTTCTTCTTCGAGATCTTTGCCTTCGAGTTGCCTGCTGAAGCAGGCACTGAGCGAGACCTTGAGGTATTTCCCGCTGTCCATGAAAGTGGTGGATTGGCCTGCAATGCCAAGCCTTTCAGGTAGAGAACAATGCGGCGTGTATTGGAAAGAGGTGGACGTGTTATACCATCAGGAGGAAAAGGAGGAAAAGGAGGAGGAGGAGGAGAAAAAGAGAATAATGGAAAGAGTTGAAAGAAAGACGAAACCTTTGAAAATTCCTCGAAGAACGTGCATGGCGGTACAGAAAACGAACGTTCGTTCATTTACTAAGAATAACGAAGAGAAATGGGAAGTTCTGACTTTCTTTGTGAAGCACTACGCGTGCGACGGGGACTCGATGAAGACGTTTCTTTCTTTCTTTTGTCGCATCATCCAAGAGCAAGAAGAGCAACGACAACGACTACAACAAAGAGAATACTTACTTTCTAAGCGACGTTTGAGTGAGATTCACCTGCCAACGAGTAAGCGTTTGGAATACTTTAAACTCTCAAAGAGAGAAGAAATGAAAGTTAAAGAGTACGGCGAGTTTATCGCGTATCCTGAACTCGTCGAACACGGGTGCGTAAAAGTAAAACCGTCTCGAGCGCTTCGCGGTATTTTGGTCGGTGGTCTAAAATTTATCTTTTCGAAAACCACTAGGATTCAAATTAAATTGAGCGAAACCTTCATTCGCAACATGAAAACGAGAACTGCGCAGTTGGCTCCAGTTGAAGATTACGTCGTCGAGGATGATTACGTGAGCTCGAACGACATCGCCACCGCGTTTTGTTGGAAGCTTCTTTCTTTAGTGAACGAGAGGAAGGAGAAGAAGAAGAAGAGCACGAAGAAGAAACCATCTTACGCCAATATTGCAATAAACTATAGAAATTACGGTGTTCTGCCGAGAAACTATTTCGGCAACGCTTCGTTTGCGCATATTATTGCTGTCGATGATGTGTACGCATCTGTTGAAAAACGAGCGAGAGAAATCAGGAGATCCTTGCAGAAATATCGCGAAGGAGACTCGCGCGTGATTGATTCGCGAACAAGAGTCAGACTCGCGCTCGGATCTTTGGATAATATATCGTTTCGCGAACATTTAATTTCATTGCATTCCATGTTGAATTCGCTCGATTTAAGCGCGACGAATTGGATGACGTTCGATTTTTACAATTTGGAGTTAGGGCGCGGCGTGAAAGCGACACAATTTGATGGATACGTAACGCCGCGCGTACCGAATTCGTGCGCCATCCTTCCTACTCGGGCCGGTGATGGATGTACGCTCATGGTGGAAATGAAAAAGAACAAAGTTAAAAAAGCAGTTGAGATTGTTCGAAGGATGTTTACACTCGACGATGCTGATAATAGCTGATGATGATAAATTAAGAAAAAGAAAAAGTGAGTAACAGCGTTCTGGCACCTCTCTCTCTTTATCGAAATGTCTACGCGCAGATGCCATTCCGCGTTCTCAATTCGTTCATCTTGGCCTCGATGCGTTCCTCGACTCGTTTGCGAGCGTATAATTTCGCCTCAATTTTAATTTTTGCAAACTCACGCAACTCCCGCGCCTCTCTTCTTGCCAAGAACCCTCTCGAATGCGCTTGCAAAAGAATAGCCGCGCGTACTCTCTTTTCATTTTCAGCCTCTCTTTTCTCGAGTGCAGCCAGTAACAATCGCGCTTTGCGATCGTTTGCTACCTGTTCTCTCGTTTTTACACCTCGGTAATAACTTTGGATGTGTGTAGCTGCGTGGTCCCGCGCTTTACAAGCTTTAAATTCGCCGTAAACTTTTCGTTGCTGCATACCTTTGAAAGATTTTTGAATAGTTATCGCGCTCTGCCGTTCGACGCGCTCTCGCTCTCGCTTAGCTTCAAGCGCGACGCGCTCTTCTTCTTTTCGTCGAACTTCTTCACGAAGTTCCGCGATGGTTACTCGAGCTTTACTTCCTCGAAATCTCGATTGAATCTTAATTGCCGCTTCCGTTTCTTTTTCTATTCGCTTGACTTCTTCCTTCATTTCTCGGACGACGCCGCTACGCGCTTTGTTTCCTCGAAAACTCGATTGAATCGTCGTCGCCGCGCGTTTTTGGTTCAAAAAGGCTTTGCGCTCGTTCGATCCTTTCCAGTGTTTCTGCACCGCCGTGGCAGCTTCGTTTCGAATTTTGACGAATCTCACCGAACGAGGCGATGAGGCTAATCTTGACGAGCCATCGCTCGAAGTAGTAATATTACGCTCTTCTTTTCTTTCCTCTTCTTCTTTTTCTTTCACTGAATTGTCGTCGTCATCAACTTCGGCGACAATTTGGTCGATTTCGTTGAGCAGCTCATCACTATCGCTACTACTATTACTGCTACTATTGGTCTCATTACTTTTATCATTGATGTTCGCGCCAGTGGACGATACCTCGGCGGCGGCGGCTTCCGCGATAGTTTCAATTTCATCGAGTAAATCTTCCTCTTTTCCGGGTCGTACCTCTGCTTTCTCCATCGTTTCTTTCTCGTCGTCGCTATTATTCTCTTTATCGCTGTTGCCGCTTTCGCTACTTTTCGTCGTCGCCGTCGCAGTAATGCTTTGCACCCACGTTCCGATTTTATTCAATCCGGACGTATCGATAGACTTTAACAAACTCGTCGGACTGGAAAAAAGCGACGAAGATGTCGTCGTCGTCCTTGTCTCCTCTTTTGATTCGCTATCCGGCGTTCTCGGTTCATCGCCGTCATCTTTTTCTTCTCGTTTGTTCTCGTCGCTCTTTTCTTCTTCTTCTTCTTCTTCTTGTTGTAGTCGTTCCTCCTCCTCTTCTCTTCTTTTCTCCTCCATCAACTCCTTATCGATGTTTGTCAACGCCGAACCCAAACTGTCCGATATTTTTCTAATCTTTTTCTTATTCTTCGTACTCTTATCGTTGCTACTTATGCTACCGCTTTCGGTCGCCGCGTGATAATCGTCGAGAAACTCTTTATACTCCTCTCTCAACGCGTGCATTCGCATCGAACTTGCCATCGCGAGTTCCACCCTATACGCTCGCAATTCTCGACATTCTTTGTAAAACTTCACGCGATCTTTCGCGTTCAAGTTACCCACGATGATACCGTGCTCGTTTTTAAGGAACAAGGACAAAGCGCGGTTACCGCCGGCGCTCAGCGTGGCCAGTTCGAGCTCCGTTAAAATCGGTTCTCGTTCTTCGCTCAAAGCGTTCTCGTCGTTTTCAACACCACCATCGACGTCTTCGTCGTCGTCTGAATCGTCTTCCAACGCGGACGACGAAGCGGACATCATCATCGGGGAGAACAGCGGCGAAAACTCCTCTTTAACCTGATGGTTAAAAAAAATGCACTTCAGGTACTTCCCGCTTTCTATTTTCAACTGCCCATCCGTTTTGTGTTCCTCCGCGCACGCTCGACACAACAGCGTCCCAAACTTACAGTGCAAATACACGCCCAATTTCTTCTTACAATCGAAACAGAATTTGTTCTCCTCGTCGTTCTCGCTCATCGAAGAAGAAGACAAAGAAGGGGTTTCGGCGTTTGAACAGGAGTTTTGGGAATACACGGACTCGTGTATCGTTTGGAGGATGAAGCAGTTTCGTGGTCCCATGTGCTTTTTTTCCATCATCATCATCATCATCATCATTTCTCTCGGTAAAGGTGTCGTCTCTGATGGTTTTCTATAATTCCTCTTCTTCTATTCTTCTTCTCTTCTTCGTATCACGACTCAACGACAACTAAGAAAGAGAGCGCAAAAGAAGAGCGTGTTTCGTCAATACTACTGCTAAATGCGTTTTGCATTAACGCGTAGTAGTAAAAGTGTTGAAAATACGAAATGTCCTTTTTTTTTAAAGCCTCTTCTTCTTAAAAAGGGTGTTACTTTTTCTTCAGTTTTTTTTCTGAGGGAGTTTTGCGGTTACACTACGTTGGTCTCTTTTCTCGATATCTCAACACTCTACTTATTTAAAAGAAGAAGAGAAAAGTCTTCCGGCTAAAAGCCTCTCACACCTCTCTGTGTCTCTTTTTCCCATCAGTCGTAAAAGTGACGAGTACGAATTCTTTGTTGATTGAGGGCAAAACTTTTTATAGTATCTTCTCTCGTCGGGCTGTGAGAGTACGCGCAACCAACCTCTGGAAGAAACATATGATGTCTCAAAAGTCTCATCGTCGGGAGGAAAAAGAGAAAAAAGCTTTATACCAGATGAGTGAGAAACGAGAGCAACGAAAGAAGAAAGAGACAACGATGAAACCACAAACGATATCGACGAAGAATAAAACGGACGATGATGGTATCGTTAAGAAGACGTTGATCTTTACCACGACGACGACGACGACAAAAGCCAAAAGTACCTTCGCCGACGCGGAAGAAGAAGAAGAAGAAGAGGAGGAAAAGGAGGAGATTTTGCATCAGACTTTTGGTGTTGAAACCACCAAGAAGAGAGAAGAAAGAAAAGAGGGAGAAAGGACGACGACGACGAGGCAACGAAGACGACGCAAACGACTCTCCTCCGAGGAAGAATTTACGACTAAGATGACGCCAGAGATAACGACGCCGCAGCAACGAATACAACGTCCGGCTTTGACCACCGGCGCCGTCTCTCGACCGGCGAACAATCAGCTCTTATATCGCGCAAAGTTCGACTGGTCGCACTATCCTCTCAACGCCTTGGACGAGCATTTTTTACGGACAAAATTACATCGGGAAACAGTCGAATGCGCGTCGGTGTCGTCGGCGTTTTTACAAATCATGTCGGCGATACAAACGGCGGAGAAGAATCGCAAGGACGGCAGGAGAAGAAACGCTTTGAAGTTGTTATCGAAGAATACGAGAAAGACGAAAGTGGTCGCGCTCTCTTCTTCTTCGTGCTCATCTGGTGGCGACGGTAGCGTTCAAAAGAGTAATATCAAAAAGAAGAAAGGTGGAAGTAACAAGGGAGAAGCGGCAGGAGGAAGAGCTGAGCTGACGACGCATCGAGTGCTGCCCGAAGATTTGAAAAAACACGACGGTTTATACGAGAGCGAAGACGGCGTAGAATACGGCACGAATTTGGATCGAAACAGGTACGGAACAGATACTGATTATTTGCACACGTGCATAAAATACAACGTGTCGTCTCTCAATTTATGCGAGAAATTAGTAAACATAGAGATAGTAGATTCCAAGGGAAGTATCACCGCCTCCGCGGCCGCCACTTCAGACGCGAGCGGAGGGAGTAGTAGAAGAAAGAAATTCACGACATCAGCGCCGGCTTCTTCACCACCGTCGAAGTGCGTTCGCATCGTTCGCGAGGGTGAGTGCGAGTGTCGATGCGAGGAGATTAATAAGGAAATCCAGTCGATGATGGAAAGGAAAGAAATTTTTGATTCGACTAAGGAACTCGTTTGGCCTCAGGTTGGAAAAAAACACGGCAACTTAGGAAATAGGAATCGCACGAAGAACAAGAGTAACAACGATAACAACAATGACAACAACGCGACAGGCGCCACGTCAGTACAAACGACTACGACCAATACGACTACTACGACTACTACAACAAACGTAATGACTACTAGTGCGATGGCGGCGATAGCAACGCCAAGAATGCGCGCATCGAGCGAGGATCAGAATGAGAAACGCGGTGAGAGTGGTAAAACCAATAATGACAAATTAGGCGTTCTCCTGGACGCGCTTACGCAAGTTGGAGGAATACAGATTACTCCAAACGGGACGCCTTCACGACCGACGAGGGAACGTAAGATAACGAAAATGGATGATGTGATCTTTGCCGAATACGAAAGCCAACGCGCGGCCTCACCGGTGGCAATCCAACCGGCGAAAGACAAGGCGTTCGGTGGAACTCTACCTCTGGCCATTGAGCAAGCGTTCGCATCAACGCCTCCACGACATAAAACGGCAACAGAAATAGCGTCAAGAGAGGTAGAGGCAGGAGTAGCGACGACAAATAATATCGAGAACGTACAAAATACAGAGGCGATTCGGGAAGCTATCATCGCCGCAACGAAAGAATCGATCGATATGATATCGGAAGAAAATCTTCGCGACGAGTTGCGCAACGCCGTCGTTTGCGCGTACGAACGTCACATACACGCGACCGTTGCAGAAAACAACAGAAGATACGCGGAAATTAACGTCAATTTACTTAGCAAAGAAATCTTGTCCTTGCGAGAAGAGTTGAGATCGATGGCGATGACCAACGCTTCGTTGAGATTGAAGCGCGCCGCAGACGAAACCGCTAAAGCAGGGGTAAAGACAAAGATGCGAAAACAGAAAGAGAGCGCCACAAACGCTTCTTCTCTGAAAGTCGAACAACAAGGTGAATCCAGCGAAGAAGAAGTCACGACGCCGAGAAAAGGCGACGACGCAAACAACAATAACGTTCTCGTCGCGCGTTCTTCCTTACAAGACGACATCGCTCAAGTCAAACGTCGATTGGAACGAGCGCTTGAAAACGACGCCGAGCCGGTCGCGACGAAAGCGTTGTTCTTTCAAGAAGTGCAGGACCATTTGACGACTTTGTTGCGGTTAGTCCACTGCGAGGTCCTTCTCAACGCCTCCTCGGAAGGAAGAGAGTGACGAGTGAATAACTTTTCGTGAAATTTTCACGAGGTTCTCCCTCGGATTCTAGTATAAGAAAATAATTAATCGTTCTGATCCTCACTTTATAGTACGTTGTGATCGACAGCTCTCTACCGGCGCAGATAAATACAAACGAATAAACAAACCGCCACTTTAATAAGAAAATGCTCAAAACTAACGCTACAAAAATCGCACTCGATCGCAAAAGTCGTTCCTTTCGCGTCGTCTTTGCCGCTCTGTCTGTGTTCTTCTTTATCTTTTCGGCGGAGGGAGCTTTGGACGAAGAAAACAACATGGGGCGTTCTTTACTTCAGGATCATTCCTCCGCGCACGCGGTATGGCACGGACATTCCATGGACGAGAGAGGGGAATTCTGGGATCGCGTGGGCGGGCATTTCGATCGCAATCGCCGCGAAGAAGAGGAAGATGGCCCGTTGCGGTGAGCGCGTTTCTCTCTTTTTTTTTTCTCTTGTTTACCCTCGTGTATTTTAAACACTCACATCCCTCTCTCTCTTCCTCTCTCTCTTTGTCCATTTTATACACCACTCGCAGATGCTTACTGAACAAGTGTGGCGACCAAACGCGCGATTGCATTCACTCGAAAGCGTGCAGAGACTTCATGAGGTGCACAATCAACTGCGGCCGCGAAGGCCGCCGAACTGAGAGAAAAGATATCGATGGATTATCTTTTAATCCGACAAAGTGCGCGTTCGCGTGTGTCCAAGAACAAAGCGAATCGGATGCTGTGAAGAAGTTTTCTTTGTGTACGATTACGAGCGGGTGCTCTTTACCGCTTCAATAAGAAAGAAGTTGCGTTTGAATTACTACTACTACCTAACATTACTACTACAATTATTGCAATTTCATCTATACGAGCGCATCCGGCGCGTCGCCTTTGAACAAATCTTTCATGTGTACGTTTGTCAATTTCATTCTCTCAAAGTTCGGTGCTCGCTTCTTCTTTTTCATCAATTTCTTCTCCGCCTCGAGTTCTTCTCGCGAGACCTTTCGAAACGACCGTTTCGCCGCCGGTTCCATGTTCGCTTTTCGCAACTCCTTATCAAATTCAGCCTCCTCCTCCGGAATCTTCACCTCGGCGTACATCTTCACAAACTCCTCGTCGATCAACTCTTTGTTGACGTTCTCCTCCTCCTCCTCTTCTCCCTCCTTATTATTCGCACCGTCTTCATCCACGACGCTCACCCTCGGATACGTCACCCACTTCCTCGTCTCTGAATTTTGCACTCGCCACACCTTTCCGCTTTCCTCCAACTTCATCACGTCAACCAACACGCCGTCGTAACTATCGCCTAAATCTTCCTCCAACACCCCATCCGCGTGCTTCACAATCAACCCTAAAAGCTCGTTCTTATTCTGTATGTCGAATTTCGGCTTATACTTCAGTGTATCTCTCTTCTCGTCGTACAAAATCTTCTCGTTCGCTTTCAAAGTCAAAAACAACTCCGACTGCTTATCGAGGTGCGTGTCAAAACCGAGCAAAGCTTTCAACTCGCTGTTCGTCATTTGCTCTCTCGTTCTTTTCAGGCAATCAATGGTCGCTTTTTGTCGCGCGAGCAAAGACGTCGGAACGTGTAGTACTTGTTGCGGTTGATTCCCGCCCGCCTGCGCCTGTAACGCCGCCTCCCTATCTTTCAACAACTTTGCGTTTGCTTTCTTCAATTTCTCCTCCTGTCGTTGCCTCTCCTGCTCCGCTTGTCTCCGTATCCGATCTTGTTGCGCTTCCGATCGCGCGTCCAACGCAGCTCGATCGCGGGCGACGTCAATCATGATCTTCGCCGCCGCTTTCTCGCCTTTGCGGTACTTCTTCAGAGTTTCCTCCAGGGTGGATTTGCCTCCCGATTTCGAAGATTTTTTCTTCCCCGACATGATGATTTGATGATGATGATGATGATGATGATGCGTCTCGCTCACAATCTCTCTCTCTTTCAAACAAACAAACAAACAAACAAACAAAGTTGAATATACTACACTATCGTGCGCGCGAGGAGCACAAAAGCAGAGGAGAGAAAGAACAAAAAGTGTATAATAATAATACGATTTGCCGATTTTTTGTTGTCACGGGAGAAAGAAAAGTGAGGTTCTGCCCCTCCTTTCGTCCAAGACTTTTTACTGCTTTTTTCCAAAATGGTACTAGTGATCTTGCGCGTATCGTCGTCGTTTGAGCAGCGCGAAAGAAAGATGCCGCGTTAATAATCGATCGTTAGTATTTAGATTGTTGTTATTCATCAGTTATTAGTGTGTGTGTTTAAAAACTACGTGTTACAAAAATTTCCTCCTTCTCGTCTCTTCTCACTCTCTTTATTATTATATTTAGTATTCCTTCTTCTTTTTTTTTAAGCGACGGTGTACTCTTCTACGGTTAATTTAGTCTCCCCGCCGTATTTAACCGGCGTATCGTCGGTCGTTCGACTGACGCCGACGATTTTCACGTCGCACAAGGTTGATCGGGCGGAAAAGTTGACTTGGACTGGGAAGAAGAGTTCGCCGTCGCACGCCGGCGTGACGAATTCCATGCTTCCGTTTCGATTCGAATCGTCGATTAAATCAATGGTCCATACCAGTTCGTTTCGTCTAGAGTCAACCGTGAAGTCGCCATCGCAGCTGTTAACGGTTGGTGGTTCCCGGGAGGAAGGCAAAGGGATGACGATGGAGACGTTTTCGTACTCCATGCCGTCCGAGGCTTCGTATTCGATAGAGACGAAGGATTCGCCGCCGGACACAGACGGCCAGCAGTTGATAACAATCGGCACTTTGCTCTCGTCTTTGGTTTGGAAACGCCATTTCAAAATACCAAGCGGGCTACCACACGGAAACGGTCGGTTTGGATCTTTCAATCCCAAAATACCTTCGTTAGCGTGTAATTGCTTGTCAATGTTTGGATGCGTTTTGAATTGGTACCCTTCGTTCGCGCCGGTATCAATCGCAACCTTTACAAACGCGTCGTCTTCGTTTTGGATTTCCATCATCATCGTACCTTGTACTTCCATGCTTTCTAAACCACCATCTTTGGATAAGTGAACGTTTAACTTCTCCTCGACGATGATGCTGACGGATTCTTGCGGGACTTGCGGGACTTGCGCGCTCGCCTCGTTCCCTTTGGTGTATTCCGTCTCCACGGATTCGCCTTCCTGTCGCAAAGCGTCCATGAACCGGTTCGTTTTTTGCTTCGACCCCAAAACCATCCCTTTCTTCGGCCCAGCTTTTGCGGCGAGGCCTTTGGGACCTCTCGGTTCGCCGTAGCCGTCCGAGGCGGCTTTCGAGCTGCCTCCGTACCCGCCGATGTTGTCCATATCGTCGCCAAAACCACCACCTCCGCTGCCAGATCGGCCTCCCGATGACGCGAACGGATCGGAATCTCTCTCTTGAAACCCAGAGATGCCACCACCACCAAATCCGCCGCTTCCTCCTCCGCCTCTTTCCATCTTCTTCTCCACTTTAATCTTATCAATCTCCATCGCCTTCCTTTTCATCACGTCCCTCGTATCGTTAATCTTCGATTGAATGATCATCTTGTGTAACTTCTCCTCGTGCGATTCCATCTCCATAAATGTTCTAATTTGACTCATGGTCACGTTTTCTTTATGTCCGGCTGAGATGACTTCATCGAATGCGAATATCAACTCAAACGCCGCTTTGCTCACGCCTTCTTCGTCCACTTGTTGATAGCAGTACTCCGGCAACGTCTTCGCCAGCATTCTCAAAACGTCCAAATCCTCCAAAATATTCGACGCTTTATTCGTGACTAACAGTAAATACATGGTTCCATTTTCCAACGGTTGATACACGTATCGCACGTTTTCTGTTTCCACGTACGTGTGTTGTTTCCCTTGATTGGCGGTGCCTCCGACCAACTTTGGAAACGCGGCTAATAAACCTTCGATGCGTATTCGAGTCATCGGGACAAACTGGCGAGAGACCAAGGCTTTGCCCGATTTCGTCACCACCGAGGCGGCGAGGACAACCTGTTTGTTGTTTTAAGAAAAAGATTAAGAGAGAGAGAGAGGAAATGAGGATGACTTCTGAGTGAGTTGGTTCTTCGATTGGGTTGCGCGAATGAGATCGCCTTCTTAGCTCATCTCTTTCTTTTCTTTTCAACGAAGATGAAAACCACCACCCCCATATATATTCTTTTTCTCTTTTCCGAGACCGCGAAAAGACGACGACACCCGACGTTCTTCCAAACGCAACATCAAAGAACAGAGAGATGATCATCATCCGGAGATAACAACAACAGAAGAAGAGAGAAAGAGAGAGAGAAAGAACGGACGAGAGAAAGAATTTGACGAGAGAGAATGCGACGAGAGAAGGAAAAAAAAAGAAACGAATTTTAAGCGCGAAAACGCATCGAATCGCCGTTGACACGCCTCCTCGTTCACTCGAACGGTATTCACATCGCGTACCATTTTTCTTCTCTAGTATTTCTTCCCGCGACTCTTTTCTGCGCAGGCGTGAAAAATTTTCGCGTCGCGCGTCGTAGAGTAGTGTGTGAGTACTCCGCGTTGTTGTGCGTTCGTTCACCCGCCTCTTCGCCTAAATCTCTCTAATTCTTCTCTCTTCTGTGCTCTACAATAATAAATGACTCTCTTGCTCTTTCCTCTCCTTCTTCTTTGCGAAAATTTTTCAAAAAACCCTAAATACTGACCGTGATACAAAAATTTCAACAAATTCTGGAGCTGCCACGACGCAAAAAAAAAAAAAGAAGAAGACGAAAAAGCAGAGAGACACAAATTTCCTTCAAAAATCACACATACCACAAATCACAACAATCTTCCACCTAGCACATTTGAGTACGTGATGCCGGGTAAGCTAACG